TCCTCAAGCACATCCCGTGATGCTACAGCTGCAGACCTGAAAGAGGCATATCACACCTACCCACTATGGAAAGGGGTAAGTCTTCTGCTTTTAAGATAAATCACCATGTATTCTTTAACCAGCGGAAAATGAACTAATTCTTGAGGGAAACAGATTCATCACACATTCATTATTTTGAATATAAAGCAATCAATCTTTCGATGAATAATCTGACAATATAACGAACTTTGAGAGCTTTATCTTATTTACTAGGCTCTGGGAACATCTAATTTTTATAAAGCGCCATTTATCATTTAAAACTTATGCTTATTCACTTTACTTAATATATAAAACATTAGAAATATTTCTTAGTAAAACACGCAAGAAAAAACAATTGATATGATGCTTTGCTAGTGGAGAGTCCTACATTTGAAATTATGAATGCATGTTTATCAGTATTTAGACTATCCAAGATTATGTTATCGTCAGCTAATTTTATCAAAATTAGATGATCCCACCTCATGATGTAAATGAATTCAAAAGTTTATAACCTCTCTCCTTTGGAAATTCAAACTTCCAAACTGAAGGTACTTGTACTATTTCAGGAATGGCCAGATCAATATGTGCCAGGGTTCAAAGATCAAAGCCTCAATATCATCAAACCCTGTTTGGAGCTCAACAACAGGATCCTCCAGACTGTGGCTCTGGGATTAAAATGGGTAAACAGGAAATTAAATAATATAAATAATATATTTTGAGAATTATAATATTCATCTTTAATTAGGATTTTTATTTAATATTTGATTTCTTGAAACAAACTAATTAAATGAGTCATTGACCTCTGACCTCACAAAATTCTAAAAATCCTGGAAAACACCAATATACTGTATAAAAGACTGCGAACCCAATTGCCTAGTTCAACAAGTTAAACCCAATACCACAACTTTCATTTATTAATCTGAATGTTCTTGTTGCCGTGATTGGGTTTAACCTCCATGCTATGCTTTAATTGGTTGCAAATTCTCACTATCAGTTATTAATAAAACGCGCATAGAATTCTATGCGCTGCCATAGGCCACCATTAAAATTTTTTGTATCAAGAGCCGAATAGGCACAGATGTTAAACCTAGGGCGGGCCACAAGATACATGTATGTCAGATAAGAAATAAGGCCAAGACTAGGTTTAACTTGTTGAACTAACCCAAGCCAGGAGCACAACAAAAAGTAGTCTAGTACAGTATGACACAATGTTACCATCTGGTTGCACTTACAAACAAGTTATTATTTCTTACAGTAACCACTTAACCGAACACCAAACACTAAATACCTGTCACTAAAACAATGGCTGCAACAGTACATGAATACACACAGATAAATATGAACCTTTTTTCACAGATAAAATAAGGCTACGTGTACAACAATATGTCATATTTTGTACAAATTAATATTGACTACAGTATTTATCACAAACTTTAAATATTTCAGCCTCGAGACACATTGACAAAGCTCCACAGCACAGTCAGGCCCAGTCACAATTCTATGCGCACACTGTACTATTACCCAGTACCTGAAGGGTATAAACCAAAGCCTGGTCAGAGCAGATGTGGACAACATACAGATGTTGGCTCCTTTACTTTCATCTTTCAAGATAATGTTGGTGGACTTGAGGTATGCATTTCAAAATGTCTGGAACATCTAAAAGCTTATGACAGACATTTGTATTGCTTTTTATTTTAGAAAATAAATGTTCTCCCATAATTCAATGATTAATATATACATAAAAATATTGGTCGAGACTTGAGAATAAGTGTCACTCAAAATTGAAACTTCTGACTTGGTTTGGAGCTGAATTATTGTGAGATGCCCAGATATAACCGAGCAAAAGTTGGAATTCTCGTGATTTTTCTCAAAGAATCTTGCTTAACTCCGGCTTTTTGGCCATTTAAGGAGAATATGTCAATCCCCTGATTGTAAGTATAACTCCACCCTTTTGCCCTATTGAGAGGCAATACAATGTTGGATTGTCAGAAGTTTGAAGTGAAAAATTCTGAATTTTTTCTTGTCTATTACTCGATACTTCATTTGTATATTCATGGGCTTTCAACTCTAATTGAAAGCCCATGGTATATTGAACCATTTTTTCGTCATATTAACGATATGAACATCTATACATCTGAATAATCTATTGCTGAGTAGTTAATTGGTAGTAGTATTGGTTTTGATTCGATCAGAAAATTGATATATTTCTAGCAAATTTCAAAAACAAACTTAACTGCTGATTTTACTTCCTACTCATTAAAAATTGTTAAAACACCAATGTAATTGGGTAGATATTAGGGGTTTGCTTTTATGACTGGATGTGTTGTGTTAAGCCTTCCAAATTTGACATCTCTGCTTACTTGTTCAACCTGTTTTACCTCTAGATTCAGAATGTATCTGGAGAGTGGATCCCAGCAACACCCCTTCCTGGAGCCATTTTGGTGATAATTGGTCATGCCACACAAGTCTGGACAGATGATAAACTTAAAGCTACAGTAAGTAGATTCTGTCACACTCGAATCAAGATTCCAAGTAGAAAAATATCTAAGCACAAATGCCAAAAGGGAAAGGACTAAAAACTTTAAAGAAACATACCAGGAAAAGCAAACACGAAGTATAAACCTTTCATACGCAAAATAGTCCCTATATATTTCTTGAGCTTTTTAAAAATATGACCTTGACCTAACAGTTTGATCACTTAAAAGATTCAAACCCAGCTATCCAAAAATAATTGCCATCAAAATTTTTATGCTTTCATAAATAGCATTCATTTTATTTACTTGTAACTCCTATGAAAGGGCATGAGAGCTTCTTCTGAATTGTGTATAACCACTTGCAATGCATTGCTACAATATGAGAGGAATACATCGATAGTTTCATGATTCTGCAGTTAAAAGGAAGTCACTTGCATCATGATCAAAAACATTATTTCACCCCTGAATCTGAATATTGTTTCTGTGAGCAATGCTTTGATGGCTAGTTTATCTCGGTTGATGTCAAGCCCGACTTAATATTCCTCACTCCATAAAATTATTCAGAGAGGCTCAGAACCTCAAGGTAGCACAAAACATTTGACATAACCCATTTACTGTTTATTTCCAGGAGCACAGAGTTGGAGTACCAGATGGTGATGTTAACATTGCTAAAGGGAGGCAGTCTGTTATATTTTTTGGCAACCCTGATAATGATGCTATGCTTGGGTCAATAGAAGGGACAAAATACCCAGCATCAAAACATGATGAATTTACTGCTGACTATATTTATGGTATTCAGAAGTAAATGAATCGAACAATAACAATGCAAGGCTATAATCAAAGAGTTGAGTTTATTTTTGGTAGCCCCTGACTCAATCAAGAAGATGGAATAAACATTTCAAATGATGGGATTCAGAATTGTACAATCCCAATCCAGATGATGATAATGCCCAAACAAATTAGTCAAAGCCATGATATTGGACAAAACAACATTACAGCAATTTCAAAAAGGATGTAAATAAAACAAGAAGGTGTATAACTATTGATTCAATCAAAAGATATTTTTAAATAACTGCTGACAATGATGGACCTCAGAATTAAGCAATGACAATGCCAGGACAATTTATTCTGATTAATAATCAATAATTAATAATAAACACAAATGACAAAATTTTATATGTGATTACTTTTCTCCAAACAGGTATGAAAAATATTGAAATCTTAACAAAAAAGTTCTCAGAGATATTAATAGACAGTGGCGTAGCTACGTGTACGCCAAGTACGCCCAGGCGTACTCTCAAATTTTAAGGAAAAATAAAATTTACCTGATTAATTGTGATGAAAAATAAATATTTTACCAAGGGATAGAAATCGATAGGAGATCTATGAAGACTCGTGTTAATAAATAAAAAAGTTCTCGATTATTTCATTTTCTTTGTTTTGAATCAGTTAGCTACTGATAATTAGAGAATTTTATTTCATTTCAGTTGAGTTGACATTTCTTCCTTGGCCATGATACACATCCATAGGGAACAGGATGTAAACATTTACATTGTATACTGTTATTGACATGTTCGCAAATGCAAAAAACAGAAAGATAGAATTTATTCTATAGAATCACGTACAGATTGTTAAGATCCGAAATGGAGTTGAGACGGTCATGTAACTGTTCTTTTATTGTTAATCATCTTGTGAGCTAGATAAAAACAAACAAAGAAAAAATAATAATATTTCATGGAGAATGACCACAAAAGCTTAAAACAATGAGCCTCATACATACAGTTTTAGGTAGCCAAAAAAATAAAATCGCCTTGTTGATAGACGGCTTCAATCGCCGATGGCATGATTATATAGAATCTGTCTATTTTGTTTCCCGAATATTATCTGTTAATACAGTTTATTCAATCCCTTTAAAAAGCTATGTCAAAATGATCAAACAATACATATTTCCTTCATTGAATTAAGAGTGTTTAGTGTGTCCCCTATCTTCTGAATCACTATCTTAACATGTTTTCTTATACTTTATCACTTCCAAATCTTATCTCATATCTGGTATAGTTTATCAACATTTTTAAAATGGGTTAAAATATGGGACTTTGCGTTTAACATGCCTACAAATAGTGAAGATGTGATCACTGGTATATGCATTCAATGAATGATTGAAGAATTTATTGAAAAATGACTATATTGGCTTTGGACCCCATGATTTGTTTTCAAATGAACAATGATACCTCAATGACGCCACCACCCCCTCCCCCCAAAAAAAACTTCTTAGCACATTTTACTCCACTTACTATAGTGTCAGTATTCATTGAAAGATGGTGTATGCATAATCTACAACCATAACAAATAATAGTGTTGTTTACTTTCTCAGAAGTCGTACTGAATTACACTAACTGAACCTTGAAATGATTGAATATTAGTTTTTCATAGAGCTGGTTAACTCATTGCTTCTTGTTTTAAATGTCAAATGTCAGATGTTTGATGATGTTGGAACAACTGTTTTTCACCAAAATGAAATACCTTGGAATATATTTTAGGTTTGTTATTTGTGAATTTGAAGATGCAATACTTTTACGGGAACATTATCTCTTTAAGTATGTGTGAAGAGGAGGGGGTGGGGGTTTTAAATACCTTTATTGGAGTCTTTGCTATCTGCTTTCTTGTTACACCCATTTTTTCTAAGAAACCCCAAATTTTCTAGATTGATGACTGAATCAAAAAATTGATAATAATTTTTCATCTTAAATTGAATCGAAAAAAAAAACAAACTTCTATTTAAAGTTTCATTTTATTGGTAATATTGCCCTTAAAATGCTGTTATTCACAGTTATTAATAATGCCATTGTGACCTTTGTTCCACCAAAATAAACAAAAAATCTGGGGGGGGGGAAATACATATATTCACCAGACAAAGAAAATAACTATAAGGCTAGTCAAAAGTGAGAACAAAATGTATCATGTAACTTTCATGTACAAAATTCAAAGTCTTCCTTTTAAAAGGGAAAATAACACAGAAATCTTCATAACTTTACATATTTTGTTTGGGTTAACATCTTCATAACATAACATAATGCAAAAAAACCAAAAGGGTGAAAGTCAGCATCAGCAATGCCTACGTGCTCCAGAGAAGCATTTCAAACATGGATAAAACAGAATAGGATCACCCTTGTCATGATTCCAGCAGTCATACTTGGCACTGTCATTGGATGTGCAATCTGGCAGCTTCAGCCATCTGATGATGTCATAATGTGGGTTGGCCTACCCGGCGAATTGTTTCTAAATATGTTACATTTGTTGGTTGTACCTATAGTTATAACAAGCGGGATTAGAGGTAAATTTTATATTTCATTCTTGTTGGCTGAATACCTGTGTATCTGTTAAAAATGTTTTCTTTTGTGAAATGCAGATTTTGCACTCCTTGTAGTTTTAGAACATCTAAAATGAGACTTTTGCATCATAGATTTGAATCAGCATATTGAGAACACTACTGACTTGAATCTGAAGGGATTCCTGTACTTTTTATGGGAATATACTATCTTTGATTAAAGGGGCAGGAAAGAATAGAGAATGTAAGATGGGTGGGAGCAACCTTTTCAAAAAATGTGCCATGGCTTCCTTTGCCTAACTGAATTACCTGAAAAGAGGAATTGAGATATTTGATCACATATTTGAAGCTATTAAGATATAAGATACAGAAATTCATAAATTCTTATGCTACAGATACGAGCAGAAGCTTTTATGCTGCTCGAATCTTGTTGTCCCTTTAATCTCTATAAAATTAATAAAAAAATTAATTAATTAATAGACATTAATAAAATGTTCATGCATCCTGGTGAATCATTCAAAGTACAATTTGCATATTACTTTAAAGTCATCATACTTTTTCTCAACAGGGGCATCTACAATGGGGCTAAGAGCTGATGGCAAAATCATAGCAGTAGCTCTTGCATATAGTATAATGACCATGACCATATGTAGTTGTATTGGGCTGCTACTAGGGGTCGCTGTTAGACCAGGAGAGGGGGTCAGGCTGACAGATGGAGCACATTCAGCCTCTTGCTACAGATTAACAGATGTTTTTGCTGATTTCATAAGGAAATTAATTCCAAGGAATTTACTACAGGTGACTGAGGAAACAGTAAGTTTTACATAGTAATAGCTTAACAAATACAGTAATAATATTGAGTATGATTGATTTTAAATCATGTTAATAGATGGTGTATTGGTATATTGAGCAAATGCTGATCCTTGATATATACTGTACATACTCCATTATCTATAGATACCCAACATCTTGATACAGATCTTTAAAAATCACAATGGTCATGACAGCAAATAATACAATCTTATTTTTCTGAAACTGCGTCATAACTTCAGAGTTTATTGTTTAATCTTCTTTTAAAATATGCTATTTTTCAGAGAGGGATGTCATGTATTGAATATCAAAGAACGAATATGTCAAACACGACTGACGTAGCGAACTATACGACATATGGAGATGAGATGAATATCTTAGGTAACTTGAAACATTTCTTTGTCTCCATTGACAATTTCTTTAGGATTCTATTTCATAAGACTTCAAATACAACAAGGCACTAACATGCAAAATGTTACCACCTGTCATTTGTTACATATGCCTAAAATGCACATAGCAGACTTCTTCTTGGGACTTTCTTCAGTTTAAATATCAGCTTTTTTCCCCGGGAAATATTCTACTTTGTACCAGTCATAGCATTGGTATGGCATTGCTCCAATATTTACACATTTGGTATGGCATTGGTCCAATATTTAAACATTTGGTATGGCATTGGTCTCATATTTGGGCATTTGGTATCACATTGGTCTCATATTTGGGCATTTGGTATGGCTTTTGAGAACTATTTTGGTTGGTATGGGAACACATCCAAATTTGACATTTTGGCATGTGAATATATTGATATATGAGGGTTCAGCCCAGGACCCCCGCCGAATTTTATATACAGTGAACCCCCCAGGCCCTTTACCTAGTTTGGCTATACAACAGTTTAGCAGTCCTACCTCCATGACCATTGCACATGACAGCCTGAGTCATAAATCATTTCAAACTAACAGCGCTGACCTTTTCTCAACCAATCAGAGAGATGGAAGGAACACATGGTAAATGTGTGCTCATTTACTATGTTATCAGGTCAGAGGAAATGACCATACATAGAAAGTTGCCCATATTTCACAGACCAACTCTGATTAGCTTGGTGAGTTCAGAAAATTGTAAACTGAAAAAGTGAAGACGAAGCTCTTTTTTAAGAAGTGAAGTCAAACGAATGCAAAAGGTAATAATTGAGTATATATATCCCAGATGTCTTATTACTTTCCTTAACATATTATTACCCACATGACGCAGGTGTAAAAGGAATTATTAAATACTGTATGGCTTTAATTAGTTGACTGAATAGACTAGATGCAAGCTCGTGTATAGCTCATTTATATCATTGTTATTTTTAATAAATAGAAGGGATAGAGAATGCATCAAAATTACTGAAGCAATATTTTCAAAAAGCAATGATTCCAAAAATAACACGGAATGATAAAAGCAAAAAAAAAACTTTAAAGTTGTGACATTTTTTCCAAACTTATTCCTTTCTTTTCTCTATTACTCCCATTAACCTTAAGCTTTATTGGTCAATATTTAACATTTGTTTTTCATTGTTAAGAATTGTAAGGCAGAAGCTTTGCCACATGCAACAAGGAAGTCTTGATCTTTCACATCAAGTCCAACCATAACATCTGTTGTCTTTATATAGTCTGTGTTTATTCCAATGGTCCTTTTCACATCAGTATTCTTCATATATAGCTGTTTCAAGTTCATTTCAATCATTGCCTGAAAGGCGGAGAGATATCCACCTATTGTGTCAGTGCCATCCTGGACTGACATATTGTGCATGTAGCACATGAAATCAACGCTTTTCTTCTCCATGTACATAATGAATTCATCGAATGTCACCTCCCCATTTCCATCAATGTCCATTTCTTTGAAAATAGTACTCAGGGGAGTGTCACCAAAGAGAGCCTTGGCATGATGTTCCTTGAAGTCACTGTGCTCTATAGCCTGTTGTAACTCATCAATGTCAATTGTGTTACTGCCATCCACATCGCTGCTTCGAAGGACCATCCAAAAATTCCTAGCAGCTTCAAAGATGTTGGTCCTTTCTTGCTCTCTTGCTTTGTGCTCATCAATAATTTTACCGTTCTTTCTGGAAAGTTCGGTATTTGGGCGTTCAATAGGGATCGACCTTTCTTCAAAAGCTTGTACCATGAACTCAGATTCATCACCAGAATACAAGAGAAGTCCAAGTGTTTTGTCATTGTATCCCCCAAATGTGTGTCCTCTGTTTGTACTAGTCATGTCTTCAAGTTTCCGAAAGAAACTGTCCTTGGGATCCATTGATAAGTACCAACCATCGAAACAATGTATGGGGTAGTTGCAGAGTACTCCGCCATCTATGTAACAGTGATTAAGGCCATATTTTTTCACCACTGTTGGTTGAACGAAACCAGGTAATCCAATAGACATTCTCACGGCGAGAGCTATTGATACATTAGGTGTTGTTTTTGGATGGAAATATTCCACGCTCATTGTGGTCAAATTCGTCACAATAATGCACAACTCTTTCCCCGTTTTTTGATACAACTCTAAGAAAGTAAGTTTGCGCTTTCCTTGTTTTTCTTCAATGTAGAGTTCAAACTGGTTCTCAACTTTTTTACATGGATGCCAGCCTTGATATTTGACCATGTTCCATAGTAAGGACAATTTGCCGAATGTGGCATCTTGGAAAAACTCTATGCTTTTCATGTCCCGTCTTACGATGACCTCCAACTCTGCAGCCGAGAACCCAACAGCTATGAGAGTTGCCAACATAGCACCGGCACTCGATCCAGCAAATCTCTTCAAGTTCTTAGTAATACCCAGATCCTCTAGAACAGTTAGGGTACCGCAGTAGGCAAGCCCTTTTGTACCTCCTCCTTCCAAGATAAGATTCTCATAGTCATACTTCCTCTGGTTAAGTTCATCAATATTCTCAGCATATTCACCAACTTCTATTTGAGCAATATCACCTGATATGGATTGCTCAACACCTTTCATTGATATGATATGCTCCTGGTCCCCATCGCTATTGTTGTCTTGTTTCGAGTTTGATCCACCCATGTTGATCTCCTGATATTGCACTGTACTAACAATACTTATGCTGAACTTCTATACATGATTCATCTTCTTCAAAGAGATCAGAATTTATTGGAAAGGTCAAATTTTACGATATTTTTAACACCTGCATCTCAAGGATTAAATCATCATAAATTTTAATTACTAGCTGGTTTCCCTCATTGCAATAAGGGACACTTTCATTTTACTATGAATTATGAATTTCAGTTTGATGAATCTTAGTATATTATAGATATACCGCATGTAACATGCTGCACTGACTGCATCAAATAGTACTTTATGTAACAAATTGTATTGAATGTACAAACATGGAAGAAAGTGTGTTTTTACACCTTGTATAAAAATCAAAAAAAAAACTGATGGCTTTAACAATATATCACAGGTGACGAGATTTATTTCTTATTTTCTAGGCATTTATGCAGTCAGTATAGCATTTGGAATAGCAGCCCATTTAACAGGCTCAAGGGGAAAACCAGCACTGGTATTTCTACAAGCAGTTCAATCTATTGTACTGAAGCTCATAAAAGGAGTGTTCTAGTGAGATATGCTTTACTTTTTATTAATTTAAGCCAGTTTTCATTTGTTCATTTTATTACAACGTTGTGCTCTTGAAATGACATACGTGTAATAATCATTCTCTGACCACATCACTCCAAGATCAATTTTTGTTACCTTATTTTGAAATGAGAAAGATCGAAAATCATGTGGATGAGTTTTGGAAACATGGGTATTCAAAATAACTACCATTCTTAGGGGTCGGGTCAAAACATCAATGTCCGTCAAAAAAGGTAATTAATTATATTAGTGGGGAGGGGGTAAAATGCTGTTTAATTTAGGTGAAGGATATTGATTGTCAGTTTTCTGGGGTTTTGTCTTGCAATTTCTGCATTCATAATTCCTGCTTTGTATTAAATACATCCTGCCATTTTCACGATCAAGATAAAGATTGAAATTCAATAATTTCTGGTTTAAAATATGACCTTGCACCCACATGAAAATCCATTTGCACTCACTTGAAAAAAATTGTGAAAATGAGATTTCTGCACCCACATGAGAAACAATTCTGGGGAGAACACTTTACATCATTCCAAAAATCATAGAACAAAGGTCTCTGGTATGATGACAATATGATAATAAAAGTATGTTAACAGACATTACATTTACTGGTCTATAATGAAAGTTGCTTGTAATGCATACCCGATTATTATTAGACCAGTAAGACAATTGTTCTAGTTATTGTAATGTAACATATCATATTACATTAGAATAATCATGATGTGTTCATTGGATACAAATTAATTGTGGTATGCACGAAATATATTATAGGTAGGATAATGAATATTATACTGTATATCATATTATTTTATTAGTATATCATTATATACATATTAATTGGTGACCTTTCACAGGAAATGAACCATCCATCTTTATTCAATAACAGCGATAACGTTCATGTATCTAATCAACTTTCAGCTATGCTCCTGTAGGAGTCACAAGTCTGATTGCCAAGGCAATACTAAAAGTACCAGCCTACGAAATGAACCACGCCTTTACAACATTAGGATATTTCACCCTTTCCACAACGATTGGCCAGCTGTTCCATCAATTGGTTGTACTCCCAGCGATATATTTCATAGTTTGCCGCATGAGAAAGAATCCGTATACGTTTATGTGGAAGTTGTGTCCAGCCTTAGTAACAGGATTTATATCAGGCACAAGGTAGAGTAGGTAGAGCTAACCCATTCCAAAATTTGATTTATCTTTAAAATAGACAGGCCCATAGCCAATTTCTGCCAAGGTGGGTTCATCTTTAAAACGATGGGTTCTTATGTGACAAAGGCCAAAAATCACTTGAAAAGTGCTAAAAAAACTGCATAATCAATCAGAATACTGAGAATGAGAATTGCATGCACAGAAAATAATGCTCAAGTTATATATACATGTACTATTATCAGCATTTCCTGTAATGCATTTTCGTAACATTGTGTTGTATTAATTATTTTGATTTCTTTATTTCAGTGTGCCAGCCCTTCCGTGTCTCTACTTATGCACAAAGACAAAAGTTAACCCCCACATTAGTAGTTTAGTAATCCCACTATCAGTTCCATTAAAGAAAGATGGCTCTGCTTTATTTATCAGCCTCAGTCTGGTTTTCATCGCACAAATGGCAGAAATGAAGCTAACGGCTACTCAGATTATAACAATAGGGTTGGTATCCAGTGAAACTCATTATTACTGACTTAAATCATTGATGCATGATATTACATTACATTACAATTTAGATCAACAACATCTTTTAGTGTAAACTCGTCCAATTAAAGGAGAACTAGACTGAGATATGTACATATAAAAATTAAAGAGCTGAAGGATAATTTGAAAAAATGAAGAAGAGTAAAAGTCAATGCTGCATTCAAAACTCATGGTTACGTTGTTGCCGACGGCAATCATTTTTTCCTCAATGAACTTGAAAAAACTGGTTGTTGCTGAGGCAACAGAGTGATGACAGTCTTAGTAGAGAACCATAGTTAAATAATTTCTCTAATTTTTCAAATGTGACTCTAACAATTTGTCTTCTAGGGGTCTATCAATAGTCCTTGGATTTACTACTCAGGACATCCCAAGTGGCAGCATCCTTACAATATCACTAATAGGTGGCGTGACTGGTATTCCTGTCTCTAATGATTCTCTAGGATTAATAATAGGCCTTGAATGGTTAAAGTGAGTAGAAGTGGTGTAAGATCTTTAAAAGTGGAGTAATTGTTAAGGTGAAAACTCTGCATATCAAAAATTCCCATGATATAAAATTAGGTATTGCCATGACAGAATGTCACCACTTGGTGAAGTATTGCTAATGGTTACAAAAGTGATGGCAATAAGAATATATCACCACTTCTTTGTGGTGACATAAAAATGATTAAATGAGGATATATTAAATAAATATTAAACTTTAAATTCAATTCAATTACTCAGATGCGAGTAGGTAGTTACCAGTTTCGACACCAGGTGGCTGATTCGGGGGAAATAACATGGCTGGGTATTACAAAATTCCCTTAAACTTGAATAGTCATCAGTTTTAGTGGTTCACTTTTCATATTACCCTTATGTATGTGATAGTTATACAAATTAAAATATGTCCAGTAAAAGAAAATATTATCTGCCCAACACAAGAAAATATATTTCACTTTTTATGGTTTTACAACATGGGGTCTATGGGGAATCTCCCCGACCTAGAAGTCACATTTTCAAAGAAAATTAAATTTTCAAAGTTGATAAACTCTTTTCAAAACCACATTTCTAGATGTACTTTTACATGCAGATTCCAAATATGACATCAGTTTGACTGAATTGTGAATAACGTAAATCAAGATTATTCCTACTCGCATCTAGGATATTAAATGATGTTTTTTGAACATTCAAATTATTGATCACTGGGAATAACACAAATATTCTTTCCTGTATTCCAGTGATAGACTACGAACCAGCACAAATGTACAGAGTCATGGCTTTTCTTGTGTGTTTGTGGAAAAAACATGTAGAAAAGAGTTGCAAAGAATCGCAAGGGCTAATAATCCCAGTCTCCCTACAGACATGTCACTTCATATAGACATTTAAAACAATTATACTTCAATCAAACAGTTTCATTCAACAACGAAGAAACACTCCGCCTGGAGGCAAATATCAGGTGGTGAGGCAAAATCAGGTGGTGAGGCAAATATCAGGTGGTGAGGCAAATATCAGGTGGTGAGGCAAATATAAGGTGGTGAGGCAAATATCAGGTGGTGAGGCAAATATCAGGTGGTGAGGCAAATATAAGGTGGTGAGGCAAATATAAGTTGGTGAGATGAATATAAGTTGGTGTGATGAATATAAGTTGATGAGACGAATACAAGTCAGAGAGGACATCATCCTCCTATATGGAACATGATTTTCCCAGTTTCAGATGAAAAAATGTAGGAAACAATATCTTCTAAAAAATGGTGATCATTTCTACAAGCAGTTCAATCTATTGTATTGAAGCTCATAAAAGGAGCGTTCTAGTGAGATATGCTTTACTTTATATTAATTTAAGCCAGTTTTCATTTTTTGCCAGTGTTCATTTTATTACAACATTGTGCTCTTGAAATAACATACATGGAATAATCATTCTCTGACCACATCACTCCAAGATCAATTTTTGTTACCTTATTTTGAAATGAGAAAGATCGAAAATCTTGTAGATGAGTTTTGGAAACATGGGTATTCAAAATAACTACCATTCTTAGGGGTCGGGTCAAACATTAATGTCCGTCAAAAAAGGTAATTAATTATATTAGTGGGGAGGGGGTAAAATGCTGTTTAATTTAGGTGAAGGATATCGATTGTCAGTTTTCCGGGGTTCTGTCTTCCAATTTCTGCATTCACTTTTTGTTCATTGTATTAAATACATCCTGGCATTTTCACAATTATTATAAGGAATTAAGATTGAGAAACTATGATTTTTGGTATAAAATATGACCACAGATTCCATCTGTACATTGCTAAAAGACCCCAGCATTAAGCAAGCGGGTGCAGCATCCATCTGATATTTTGAAAACAGGCTTGTACCCACCTGAAAACCCATTTGCACCCACTTGAAAATGAGAAAAATCGTGAAAAACTTTGACCAATTTTGGTCTGAATTGTGAAAATGAGAATTCTGTACCCAACTGAGAAAAAATTCTGTGGAGAACACTATACATCATTCCAAAAATCATAGAACAAAGGTCTCTGGTATGATGACAATATGATAAAAGTATGTTAACAGACATTACATTTACTGGTCTATAATGAAAGTTGCTTGTAGTTCATACCCCATTATTAATAGACCAATAAGGCAATTGTTCTAGTTATTGCAATGTAATTCAATTCAATTAAATGATGTTTTTTGAACATTCAAATTATTGATCACTGGGAATAACACAAATATTCTTTCCTGTATTCCAGTGATAGACTACGAACCAGCACAAATGTACAGAGTCATGCCTTTTCTTGTGTGTTTGTGGAAAAAACATGTAGAAAAGAGTTGCAAAGAATCGCAAGGGCTAATAATCCCAGTCTCCCTACAGACATGTCACTTCATATAGACATTTAAAACAATTATACTTCAATCAAACAGTTTCATTCAACAACGAAGAAACACTCCGCCTGGAGGCAAATATCAGGTGGTGAGGCAAATATCAGGTGGTGAGGCAAATATAAGGTGGTGAGGCAAATATCAGGTGGTGAGGCAAATATCAGGTGGTGAGGCAAATATAAGGTGGTGAGGCAAATATAAGTTGATGAGACGAATATAAGTTGGTGTGATGAATATAAGTTGATGAGACGAATACAAGTCAGAGAGGACATCATCCTCCTATATGGAACATGATTTTCCCAGTTTCAGATGAAAAAATGTAGGAAACAATATCTTCTAAAAAATGGTGATCATTTAGATCATCTGTCTTTTAGATCTAGCAGTTATGCAATACAGTATAGCATTTCTCCCAGGATTTTATCCTTATGTGCTGATTAAAAATTGGTCAAAATTTGGATGTTTTCATTATTTTTCTTATTTTCAAGTAGTTATGATTGGGTTTGCAGATAGGTGCATTGTGCAAGGCTATTTTCAAAACCTCATGGATGCCGTTAGCACCTACATGCTTCATGAATACTGGACAGACCACTGCTGTATGTAAGGTTATCTTGAGATAGTACTTGTATCTTAAATACTAAGGCAAGACCCTTAAACTTACAACTTAAACTTACTTAAATTTATATTCAATGAAACCTGTCAAATGGAACACCCCTGTATGTTAATACGTTTATAATGTTATCAACCCTTTTAAGTGGAACACCTCCTAAGTGGAACACTTTTAGTGGAGCCAATGGTGTTCCACTTACACAGGTTTTACTGTATATGTTATATAAAGATAGGAATCAATTAAATATAAATGCAAATAACTCACCAAATTGTCTTCTTTTTCAGGAGTCCAATGACATTATTCTCAGAATCAAGGAAATACAGAACTTCCCCCTCATAGCCATAACCTTGTCGTATCTGGAATTCAGTAGGTGTAATGCGTGTTATACTGTATAAGTGGTAATTTTGCCTAATCATTTAATTTGCCTATTTCCTAATTTTTGCCAGGTTCGGAAAATTAAATGTCGGAAATATTGTCTTTATAATGTTATCCAATGGGAGGTTTCTTGTAATTAGGAAAATTAAAATTAGGAAAATTATGAAATTTGACCATTCGGAAAATTAACCACTCGGATTAAATACCACTTATACAGTATTGCTATTATAATGAGTACATTGTAAATAGGTTGGTTGTCTATGAACATTATGTACCAGGTACATGTAGTGTATGTTGGACAAAATATGAAACACAAAAGTAATTTCTTTGTAAAAGTAGTTAAAAATGCCCATTTGTGTTGACCTTGCAGGGATTTAAGTCTAAAAAGATGACAAAACAGGGTGCCCATTAAGTTTCTTTACAATTCCAATTCAGTGTAAAGAGACTTCAAGCGCACCTTGTATTACAGTAATAAGTGAATTAACAAAGTGGATAACATATGTGACATACATACCTGAGACATTCTGGGATCAACATCAGAGACACCTATTATGTCATACTGCACAGTTGATAGCCCCAAATACCTCGCAATCTGAAAAAATTAAAACCAAATTTGAGCACAACTTAATTCTCTTTATCCTAATTACTGTTTTTATTTCAAATTAGTAACACAATACAATAACATAAAACAAATAAAATTAATGAGTGGCTTGTATGAAATACAAATAGCTACTTTGATGGACTGTCTCAAAAGTCAACACCCACCTATCTAAAACAAATTTTTGGAGTCAATCCTATTTTAAAAAAGGCACTATTCAAAATTAGGCAAAATTAAGAATTTATAAGACAAATGGTGTAAATTCCCAGCACAGACTCCAACTTAATGGATACAAGTATCGGTTCAAAAGATTGTCAGTTTTCATTTTTTGTTGATGGGATTGACAGAAAAACAGACAAACTGGAGATTCCATGGATTTGTCATGTGAGCAAAAAATGGCACTACCTTAAAAGTTTTGAAACAGCCTTTTTTTATCTAACAGCATCAGACAAAATGTTGATTGATTGTTTGACCTTTACAGATTTAAATGGTGTAATCATCAAATCAATTAGTCAAGTTTTATTTAAACTGACTTATGATTTATATGTTTTAAATGTCATTCTGTATTTATTTTATATTTTTCTTTATCATAGTTTAGTCTAGTTTTAGTTAATTTTTGTATATTGCACACTATAGTGTCTTAGTATGTCATTGCAATGACATCAAAGATATAATGGAAAATGAAAATAACAAATTAAGAGCCATTTGCTCATCATATGCCTTCACAAAACAGGTAACTAATAATTAATAACTATCAAAATGTCACGGATGGTGACTAAATTAACAACTTGATATGCATAAGTTCTGATTATAATGTCATGAATACAACTATTTTTAACTTCCCATTGTATTAAATTATTATGTTTTCACAACATATAGGACAGAATGATAGAGATGACTTTCAAAACAATTGCCTTATTAGGACTGTCAATAAATAGCGAAGATATCAGTGGCTCTAATTGTATACTTGTATAAAGAGGAGGGAAAGCCCCAGAGTTTTAGAGATGACAGATCTTATTATTTCTCTTGCCTAACACCTTTAATTTGTTTGTTCGAATTTTCACTGGCTAGTTTCCATAAATAGTACACTTTGATGTGATTTCTTAATTGATGTAGGCATATTCCGTACACCCTTCTTTATCTTGATATGAACTAAGAAGCTATGGTTATTGGTTAACACACCAGAAATGAACATACGGTAGTATTATTCAAAAGCGTATTTCAAAAGATTTTGAGGCCCCCATTTTGTTTGTCGATTTTGACCAATCAGAGACATATGTCATCTCAATACAGGTTTACATTGTAAGCATATGTCGTCTCTAAACTATGGGGTTATTGAAATGAAAATATCTATAAAACCTTATTCAATTCTTTTTTCAGAAAACAAAATTAGGATTGTAAAGAAAACAGCGGCATAATTTTTTGAAAACATTTTACACACTCTCTTCTAATTCCTTTAAATGTCTGCAAAAATTTCATCCCATTCCCAAACATCATAATCGTGACTTTAAGACTTAAATTATATAACAGATATAAGATATCAGCTTATTATCACGTATGCCGCCTACTTATCAACAAACTACAAAGGATGTTGAATAATGTTGCTGATGAGATAATCATCTCTGTGATATAAGATTGCTGAATTATTAATTTCTTTGTTAACATACTCCACAAAGGAAACTATTATTATCTCAACCTAAGTGATCATCATGATAAACCATGACATTTCATTCTCAGCATGTGTCTGGTGCAACAGAAAGATCAGATAAGTATCAAGAGGACAACATAAACTTCAGATAAAGATGATAATAAGATTCCCATTTATGAGATTTATGTTCAAATTGTAACATTTTTCTTTTCAATATAAATATAAAAACTTGAAGAGTTTGATTTCAAGTCTTCATTAACAAGCTATCAATAAGAAACAATCCTTTGATTTTAGCCAATCAGATTATCTAGACGAAAATGATTTTTGTTTTGTTTTGATGTTTCTGTTTAATCTAATTCTAACCTGGAAATTACAAGGTACCAGGTTCGTAGGTGAATTCAGGGCCTTCTGGCAATTCTTTCAAAATTTTGGCCATTTTGGGGCTAAAGTTGTCAAAAGTAAACCCCTGAAGGATAATTCTGTTCACGCTCCGCAAAAAAAGAATTCTAGGAGGAACCATATACTCTATTAATCACAATTATATACAGTTTACACTTTTCATATCTTCATATTATATTTCCTTATTAAGCATGTATCTTTCACTTTAGCATTTTACAACACATTTTAGAACTCAAGCGAGATTTTCTTTAAGGTCTCTCATATTAATATACTTGCGACTGATGATTCACATTACACAGCTAGCAGCCGAAGGATGACAACCGGTGTAATTACTTGGATATTGAGGAGATATTTAGCAATTATAACAATTGTTAACATCTTATCGTGTGCAAACCAAGAGAACTACACATCTTCATATCAAGATGACTCCAATTTCGATTTAGAAGTTAACCCTCTTGAAAAAGTTAAGATTGGCAATGACACGATTGAGGACATTCAAGAAGATGCGCATGATGTAAAAACTCAGTGGCATTGTGGAAAGAATAAAAGATCATGTTCGGGAAGGTGCGGAGGAAGTACAAACAGTAGCGCCATCTGGGACAAAGACTCATCCAGGCATTTCTGCCACTGTGACTTTTGGTGTCTTCACTTCCAAGACTGTTGCATAGATTTCCCAATTGAAATTGAATGTCCACATATCAGCAAAAATCAGCATTCGGCACACAATCAGCACACAATCAAGAGATCCCATTATGAATGTAAAGAATTGTATGAAAAGAAATGGATATATACAATATCAAAATGTACTGATGAGTTATCTCCTGTACGGCAGCTTTGTGAAGAAGGCCATGAAAGTAATATTCTGCATAAGGTTCCAATGGTAGATCCTGCCACACATAATGTCTACAAGAACATATATTGTGCTCAATGCAATGGTGTTAAATACAGAAAAGAGCTGTTTATCTCAATTCACTGTGACAGCAAGGTGGTAACAGAGCAACAGATTAACAATCCAGGTTACAGTATGATTAAGCACATGGTAAACTCAAAATCATGTAACATATCAGTATCAGCATCGTTTATGAGAAGGTGCATTCCTACACTACAGGAATGTCCTCAAGTTGAAGATCATAAGACCAGTCATCAAATTGAAGATCCTAGAGACAATGAAACTATAAAATATGGCAACACCAAAATGACATGCCCTCCATGTGACAACAGCACCACGATGGCATGTTGTCAATGTGACAACAGCACCACGATGGCATGTCGTCAATGTGACAACAGCACCACGATGGCATGTCATCAATGTGACAACAGCACCATGGTGGCATGTCGTCAATGTGACAACAGCACCATGGTGACATGTTGTCAATGTGACAACAGCACCACGGTGGCATGTCGTCAATGTGACAACAGCACCACGATGGCATGTCGTCAATGTGACAACAGCACCACGGTGGCATGTCGTCAATGTGACAACAGCACCATGGTGGCATGTCATCAATGTGACAACAACACCATGGTGGCATGTCCTCAATGTGACAACAGCACCACGATGGCATGTCGTCAATGTGACAACAGCACCACGGTGGCATGTCGTCAATGTGACAACAGCACCACGGTGGCATGTCGTCAATGTGACAACAACACCATGGTGGCATGTCGTCAATGTGACAACAGCACCACGGTGGCATGTCATCAATGTGACAACAGCACCATGGTGGCATGTCGTCAATGTGACAACAACACCACGGTGGCATGTCGTCAATGTGACAACAGCACCACGGTGGCATGTCGTCAATGTGACAACAGCACCACAATGGCATGTTGTCAATGTGACAACAGCACCATGATGGCATGTCGTCAATGTGACAACAGCACCACGGTGGCATGTCGTCAATGTGACAACAGCACCATGGTGGCATGTCATCAATTTGACAACACCATGGTGGCATGTCCTCAATGTGACAAAAGTACCAAGGGGATATGTCCTCAATGCGACAATAACAATACCACAAGGGTGACATGGCCTTTAAATGAACTTTGTAAACAGTCATACCTTAACCCTGTTCAACTGTCTAATGGAGATGACAAAACTCTCTATCATAACATACACTGTCTAAAATGCAACACTCTCGCAGAGTTTAATAACGATTTAAATAAATCACATCTGTGTTCAATGAAACTCCCGGAAAAGCAACCAATGTACCGTTCAGAGGTTCATTTCCAAGTCAATCTTGATCTTAACGAAGGGCTTGACAATGTTATTATAAGAACCACAAGCTGGAAAGGCGTTTGGAATATTAACTTTCAACTACAATGTGACCTTAATATGAGTTGTGAGGAACCAGACTGCATTAACGCAAGCATGCAATGCACCCCAATAAGCTGCCCAGTGGGCTATAAGGCGTTGTCACAAGAATGTGTCTTGGATTGGAATCTTGTCAAGGTTCATCTATTCTTTAACAAGCACCCTTCCTCAAGTCCCACTCTTCCATTTCCTTATATGGCAAAGCTCCTTATTACCCAAACATATAAGCCAGTTGGTTACATTGTTAAACTTGAACATAAAGTTGAAGCGATTCATCAATTTAACATTACATTTAACGTTTTATTCACTAGAAATACAACCTGGGAACAGATCGATGCTGAAATGGATGAGGCATTCGAAAAGCTACTGGACAATGCTAACCAGATGTTTGAACACAGTCCTATCATTCGAGTTGGATATGACTTACATACAAATCAAACAAGAGAGCCAATAACTGATATATTTCTTACAAGCCCAGAGCAAAGCACTGAAACTCTTACAAACAAACTCTATCCTAGGCGTAAAGATCCAAATGATGGACTTAATGTGACACATTTTGTTAAATCCACTGGAATGTCCTATAGGTTTTCCATGAATATATGGGTTGTATTTTGTAGCACACAATGGTTCATACTTCTTTAAATATTTACTTGGACATGTACCAGTTTACAACATAAAACAGGGGAACAGACCTTAATTTCCATGAAATGTGCAAATCTATCCTACTACATGTATGTGGAGCCATCTATATACACATACGTTTAGTTTGATGTAGACTGCTTAGCTTTATATATAAAATGGATAGATGGGGGGTAATACTACAAAAAGTGTAGTCATTTCATTTTTATATGTCATTTCAATGTTGAATAATTTGAATGAACAAGATTGTGCATCATGCTACCAAACATGATCTTGGCCATTCAAATGGAGGAATATTCATCTAATGAGTGTGGATTGCATACTGTAATACTTAAAATGGACTTTTCACCTCAGTTGATGTATGTGGGGGCGTACTACAAAAGCTGGACTTTTCACCTCATTTGATGTATGTGGGGGCATACTACAAAAGCTGGACTTTTCACCTCATTTGATGTATGTGGGGGCATACTACAAAAGCTGGACGTTTCACCTCAGTTGATGTATGTGGGGGCATACTAAAAAAGCTGGACTTTTCACCTCAGTTGATGTATGTGGGGGCATACTACAAAAGCTGGACTTTTCACCTCAGTTGATGTATGTGGGGGCATACTACAAAAGCTGTACTTTTCACCTCAGTTGATGTATGTGGGGGCATACGACAAAAGCTGGACTTCTTACCTCAGTTGATGTATGTGGGGACATACAACAAAAGCTTGACTTTTCACCTCAGTTGATGTATGTGGGGGCATACGACAAAAGCTGGACTTCTTACCTCAGTTGATGTATGTGGGGGCATACTATATAACTGGACTATTCACCTCAATTAGTATATGTTGGGGCATATTACATAATTGAACTAAATGTACTCACCTCAATGGATATATGTGGGGGCATACTACATAAACTGGAACTCTCAGTAGGGACAAGATCATTACTACACCAGGTTATAAACTGCAACAGTGGCCTTTAAACAAAAAAAATAATATCTATGTTACAAGTAAGTGACCTTAAAGTGATCCAAACACAGAAAAAAAACATTTTTTCATATAACTTGAAAATTACATCCTCTAGATAATACACATGCTGTTCTAATATATATACCCGAGGACTTGTGATTGTGAAAAAGTTATGGAATGACCAATATTTAACATTCAACATAAAAACCTTCAAAAATAAAATGCTTGCAAATTAAATCTGTTATTCAATATTTGTCTTTAGATACAGTATAAATAAGAGATGATACATACTTTTTTAAATGCGTGAATTCTTCTACGTGTTGATGGTCTGGGTGCAAAATCTCAAATATTGCTGTATAATCAGTGACACATAGAAACTCCAGTAATCTGGAAAATATGAATCAAGAAATGTGTTAAACATTGCAGGTCAATCAATATAATGGGTGATCCCATTTAGCTTTGTCATCCTGAAAGACCAACAGTAATAAGTTTAAAAGACAAGATTTCAGATGGAAAATCAAAAATGATTGCCTTAAGATTTACCTCCACAATCTACAGTGTAGTCCAAAATTTCAACCTAAAATTTGTTCGGAATGAGAACCATTACCGTATCATGTTAACTTTTTTAATTAACAACAAGAAGAATCCAAGGCTTAAGGACCAACACTTATTTTCACAATGACATAGGTAATAAAGATCCAAAAAGCAAAATAATATGTAAATTAAATATTACTAAAACTAATAATTATTGACTCCCCTCTGGAATTTTTTAAAAGAGAACTCCCCTTGAGAAATCCTGGCTACGGGCCTGCATCCTGATATGTGATTACACAGAAACACCTGTTGAATCATAATACCAGTACAAAGAGGAATTTTAAGTAAAAAAATTTGGTAAGAAGATGGTCACATCACAGTTAAGAGAGAAGCGAACCAAAAAAAACTTCAAATTGTGAGAAGTTTCAGTGTAAAATGTGTTCAAATAAACAAGTTTCATATTACCTGTTTTTCTTTTCTTCTCCCATATCTTCTAAGGCCTCCCAGACTGTTTCGCTGACTTCTCTAGCAATTTTGTATCTTGGTTCTACATATTTAGTGACATCCTCTGGAAAATATAAGTTTGGCCATGAGCAAAACAATTTAATTCAAGGTCAATCAGAAATGTCACATGATAACATATAATATACATAGTGAAAACACAACCCATCAATTTTAGAATATTGTCCTCAATGATAATACATTCTCCGAACACAGGACTCAAGGAAGGAACTTAGTGGATGATGCCTGGAGTCTTCGCTCTGAGGATGTGAAAATAGAATTTTCTTGAATTTCCTGTGTAGATGAAGTGTTCAATGTATTTAGCAACCAGAACAACGGCAACGCCAAAGCGTAGCGAATCCCATCGAACAGAAATGGCTGGCATTTTTACAAACAAAATATATAGCAAATATCATAAAACAACACACCAGAAAGGCCACCATTTTCAAAATGGTTGCTCACTAGCCAAGTTGTCATCAGAAGAAATAATATGCTTTTAAGAAGCCACCTATAAAATTTTTGAAAAATCGCAGACATGTACTTGTAAAATAACACACATAAAAATGGTGGCCATTTTTCAAAATGGCCGACTACTCCCCAAAGTTTTATTAGACAATGTGCCATGCTTAGAGTATTCACATATCAAATATGAACGAAATCGCTCCACTACTTTTCGAGTTATAGTAAAAAATGTAAAATGAAACCCATTTTTAATATGGCCGCCTACTATCCGAAGTGTCATGAGACGGTGTGCAAGGCTCATGAGTATTCACAAATCAAATATGAACAAAATCGCTTCACTACTTTTCAAGTTATAGTAAATTAAGAAGTTTAAACTGAAATAAAATAAACACTACAAAAAAAAAAAAAAAAAAAAGTTATAGTAAATTACGTTAAAATGGGGCCATTTTTAAAAATGACCATCTTCTACCAAAAGTGTCATTAGACAGTGTGCCATGCTTTTAGTATTCACATACCAAATATAAACAAAATCACTCCACTACTTTTTGAGTTATAGTAAAATACGTTAAAATGGCGGCCATTTTTCAAAATGGCCACCTTCGACCAAAAGTGTCTTTAGACAGTGTGCCATGCTTATATTATTCACATACCAAATATGAACAAAATCGCGTCACTACTTTTCGAGTTATAGTAAAATATGTTAAAATGGCGGCCATTTTTCAAATTTTTTTTCAAAATGGCCACCTTCTACCAAAAGTGTCATAGGACAATGTGCCATGCTTATAGTATTCACATACCAAATATGAACAAAATTGCTCTACTACTTTTCGAGTTATAGTAAAAAACGTTAAAATGGCGGTCATTTTTCAAAATGGCCGCCTTCTACCAAAAGTGTCTTTAGACAGTGTGCAATGTTTATAGTATTCACATACCAAATATGAACAAAATCGCTCTACTACTTTTCGAGTTACAGCAAAAATCGTAAAATAACGAGTAAAGGCCGCCATTTTTCAAGATGGCTGCCATGTGCTTTTTTAATATCTACATTTGTAACTTTATTAATGTCCTTTATAATTTTTTTACATTTAAAACATATTGCTATTACAGTTTTACATATTGCACCTAAATTACTGTAAAATCGGCACTAAAATGGCCGCCATTTTGAAATGAGTGGCCATTTTGAAAATCGGCTTACGAGCAGAACTTCTACCTCCATAGGGTATATGTGTACAAAATATGAACAAAATCGGGCCAACGGTATTTGAGTTATTGCCCAGACGGATGGACGGACAGACAGACAGACAGACAGACAGACAGACAGACAGACAGACAGACAGACAGACAGACAGACGTACGTACGGACGGACGTACGTACGGACGGACGGACGGACGGACGGATGGATGGAGGCGTTCCCTATATCCCTCCGAACTTCGTTCGATGGGATAATTAAATACTAACATCAGAGCAATAGTAATGCCAGTTAATAATTTTGCCTTGACTATAATTTGAATCTTTCCTGAAGACCTACCTTACCTGCCAAATAAAGATTTTCTGAATTTGCCTTTTAATGATTTGATGTGAAAGCATGTACTTTTTCAGTACTTTACTTTTGTCAAGTATATACCTCACAAATCAAAAGCATTTACACTTAAGATTTTCAGACTATCTAGACTGTCTCGAAAATAAAAGCAGGGAATGCTGTCATCAAAACTGAGACAACCATTTGTTATAAAATTTCTTGATTTGTCTATAAATATAAAGACGATTTCACAACCATATACATCCTACATTTTTGCTAAAATGACTTCAATAAGAACTAGGCCTACACGTAAAAATGCACAGTGGAATGAAAGAAAATTAATACTCAATGATTTTTCCTTTACTCACCTTTATTTTTAAATAGTAAATGGACATTTTTGGAGCCTGCACATATGATATATTGGTCATCTATTTTCAGACAGCTAAGGTGAGCAGCTTCTCCATTTGCCTTCCTTGTAGCAACTATTGAGGAAGCAGCATCTAATGGCTAAAAGTACAAATTGAGCCTTTATGCAGGGTTTTACCTAGTTAAAGCAGCTGATCAAATTACATTATAAACTAGGTACAATGTATCACAAGGGAGTAACATGCAAAATGTCACCACCTACCATTTGTTACAAACATCAAACGCCGATCATCAACCACGGAACACCACTCACAAAAAAAGTTGGAGACTATAACAATATGTCACCACTTCTGGTGGTGAAATAAAAACTAAACTGAAGTGCCCAGTGCACAAGCCAAGATTGTAGCTCAACCTCAACCTATTTGAGGTAACAAGTCAGGGAGCACAAGAATGAGGTACTGTAAACGCAGGAGCATATTTTTTCAAGTATATGAAAAAATTATTTTCTGACATTTTTTGAAAAACTAAATTGAAAAATTTCCTGTACTACATGCTTTTATTGATTTATTGAAGACAATAACATGTATTCCCTAAAATGATATATGATAGTATGATAATACAATAATAAAAAGTGAGCCTTGACAAACAACTAGCCTGAAATCCACTTTTTAATTAAAGAAGTAAAATGACTATTGGAAATACATGCAGTACAATAACCTTGTTTTTATGACAAATAATTCCCAAATGTCATACACAAAATGATATACACCTTTCATTTATTTTTACGCTAATGTACTTTTTACAAATATCTAACCTTGTTAAAGTACTTTTTCCAAGTAAAATCATCCCCAGATGTTCTATCGTCATCATCTCCGAGACCACCTGTGAATTTTTTCAATGCGTAGATGACACATCTCGTCCTTCTGTTCTCTCCTGAGTGGATGCTTAGGAAACAGTTGCCCCTGGCAACCTACAGGTAAAGGACAATATAACAATATAAACATTCCTTTTTTGGTGTTGATCTAATAATGAATCAAATGAATAATAAGCACAGCAGTGACTCTGTATTTGCTGTTGTATCAAACTGTTATGTAATGAATGATAGGGGCTGATCTAAAACTTCTTGAAAGTCACTCCATTTTCTTCATGCACAGAACAATCTATCTGATTGTTCAAAAAAATTTTGCAAAGAAGGAGGGAAAGTATCGATACTTTCCCTCCTCCTTTGAGATTTAACGATATGTAAAGGGACATTTGATTAAACAAATAAACAAAACATTTATTAAATTAATAAATGATTTAAATAAAAAAAATTAACCTTATCACGAATGTCTTTGTTGTTATCATATATATCATCATCAGGACCTCTATGTGTGAAAACCCTCACATCAAGTAAATGCCCTGGGCTATTATCTGGTAAAATACCCTCTGGTATCTCAGCACTAATAATCTTCAGGTGTTGACGATTCCGAGCCCATTTTAACCAACTAGAAGAAAGATATTTCTTTACACATGCATGTATGTATGTTATTGTTAATTATGATTTTTATATGTTCAATGAATTACATTTCACAAAATGTGTACAGTGATGTAACACAAACCTTTGCTATTGAAAAAGACACACGGCAGGTGTCTTTTGTCAATTTTATCCAGGAGAAAAAAGGAATAGGATAGGACCCAAAGAGAGCAGTAATCACCCCCCCCCCTCCAAAAAAAGGAGTGGTATCGATATTGAGAACTTTTTGAACACATGTTTCTCTTAAACCAGTCATAAAAAAAATCTAAAAATTTGACACATCGTCAATTTAATGGTCATCTTTTGAATGGTAACAATATAATTTGAAAAATATATATATACTTTCATCTACATGTATACTGTTTTATAAAACACATCAAACACTTGTTTTGTTCTTGGTATCATGTTTCCAGAGTGAAATGAAACATCTTTCCGAACCTCATTGGAACAAAACGACATAAACACAACATGTTTAGGTCTCTCAATATTGTAATTGAACAAAGGAAATTTTGGTTGATTTTGTTAATCTTGTATCTTGTTAATGAAATAAAAGGTTTATCTTGATTTCTATTTATTTTGGGGGATTTTGTTTTAATTTTTTTGGAATACTTTTTTAAAATCAACCAAATATTCCTTTGTATAACTATAATATTGAGAGGTTTAAAAACATGTTGTATTATGCTATTTTGTTTCAACAAGGTTCAGAAAGAATTGGTAGAAAGGAGCAAAAACAATTGCACTAAAAAAACAAAAAATGTTAACAAAAACAGTAATTTAAAATATTTCTAAATAATTTTCGCGTTAAATTATGTTTTCAATGATTGGTTTAAGAGAAAAACATTGTTGAATTCAGTTCTTCATATCGATACCACTCCTTTCTTATAGCTTTTCGAATTATAATATGTTAATTTCTGGCGTGTTAACCAATATCATATTTTGTTATTTCACATCAAGATAAAGAAAGATGTAAGGAATATGCTAAAGTGGTCGTAGGATGTGATAACTTACATCGATTAGGTCAGGGTGCATGTTCAGAATATTGCTACAACCCTCAATAGGGTCACATGTTATTTTTCAAATTTGAATCACTCCTTCCCCACAATGTCTACATCTCTCACTTTAGCACAACGAGTGCACTAATATACCTAGAAAAGAATTTGAAGAAGAATGTTTTGATAAAATGTATGAAAAACAAGAAAATTCAGAGAAAAAATTCAGAAAATTTTCATATATTTTTTTTCACTGAATTTTCTCGTTTTTTATACACTTTACTTATACAAATCTTCTCACCAGTCTGTGCACTCTTTGTGCAAAACTGGCAGATGTAGACTAAAACTAACTAGTGAGAATTTGCGCAAACGAAGGTGGCATGTAAGTATATATGTCACGATATAGGGACAAAAAATTTGACATTTTAAAAGTACTGTTTATTTCGTTTTGTTATTATGAAAAGTAATTAAGGAACGTTGGCTACCTTGGCTGTTGAAACCTGGTGATATAATCATTCTCTTTACGAAGAGTAGATTATGTTTTATGCAGGCATTTTAAAACACGTTACTTTGCCTTTAAAACGTTCGTTCATTGTCAATCATGGGCTCTACCCATGATAGAGCCCATGTTGTCAATGGATGATTTTTTATGTAGCCATTTCTAAAACACGTTACTTTGCCTTTAGAACGTTACCTTAATAGACTTGAAGTTTTCTCTAATAAGATTGGATGCTTTTTATGTACGCATTCTTAAAACACGTTACTTTGCCTTAAAAACGTTACTTTATTGGACTTAAACTGATCTCTACGAATGGATGATTTTTTTATGTAGGCCATTTTCAAAACAAAGTACTTTGTCAGTAAAATGTTACTTTATTCGACTTTAACAATACTCCACGAAGAATGGATGAATTTTATGTAAGCATTTTCAAAACACGGTGCTTTGCCTTAAAAACGTTACTTTATTGGACTTTAACTTATCTCCACGAAGAATGGATGATTTTTATATGTAGGCAATTTCAAAACACAGTATTTTGACAATAAAACGTTACTTTATTCGATTTTAACCAAACTCCACGAAGAATGGATGAATTTTATGTAAGCATTTTCAAACACGTTACTTTGCCTTAAAAACGTTACTTAATTGGACTTTAACTGATCTCCAAGAAGAATGGATGATTTTATATTAGGTATTTTCAAAACACAGTACTTTGTCAGTAAAACGTTACGTTATTCAACTTTAACCATACTCCACGAAGAATGGATGGCTTTTTATGCAAGCATTTTCAAAACACAGTACTTTGCCTTAAAAATGTTACTTTATTGGACTTTAACTTTTCTCCACAAAGAATAGATGAATTTTTGTGTAGTCTTTTCAAAACACAGTACTTTGTCAGTAAAACGTTACTTTATTCAACTTTAACCATACTCCACGAAGAATGGATGGCTTTTTATGCAGGCATTTTCAAAACACAGTACTTTGCCTTAAAAACGTTACTTTATTGGACTTTAACTTTTCTCCACGAAGAATGGATGAATTTTTGTGTAGTCTTTTCAAAACACGTTACTTTGCCTTAAAAACATTACTTTATTGGACTTTAACTGATCTCCACGAAGAATGGATGATTTTATATTAGGCATTTGCAAAACACAGTACTTTGTCAGTAAAACGTTACTTTTTTCGACTTTAACCATACTCCACGAAGAATGGATGGTTTTTTATGTAGGGCCTTCTTAAAACACGTTACTTTGCCTTAAAAACGTTACTTTATTGCACTTTAACTGATCTCCACGAAGAATGGATAATTTTTTATGCAGGTTTTTTCAAAACACGTTACTTTGCCTTAAAACGTTACTTTATTGTATTTTAACTGATCTCCACGAAGAATGGATGATTTTTATGCACGCACTTTCAAAACACAGTACTTTGCCTTAAAGACGTAACTTTATTGGATTTTAACTTTTCTCTTCGAAGAATGGATGATTTTTAGGTAGGCATTTTCAAAACACAGTACTTTGCCGATAAAATGTTACTTTCGTGGACTTTAACTTTTCTCCTCGAATAATAGGTGATTTTTTATGTAGGCATTCTAAAAACACAGTACTTTGCCAGTAAAACGTTACTTTTAACTTTATTCCTTCAAGTGTCGAATATTTTAGCCTGGTGTTTTTAAAAAGCGTTACTTTGGCCGATTTCCGTAACTTTCTTGTACTCTTAGTTTTCCTCCATCGAGCGTTGGTGAAATTTAGGTAGGCATTTTCAAAAAGCGTTACTTTGGCCCTTTTCCGTTAATTTCTTGGACTTTAACTTTTTTGCCCGATTGAGTATTTTGAATGTAAAAAATAAGGAATCAAAGGACGATATTGAACAGTATTTTGTAAAAGTAGAAACAATTGTACGAGGCCTAACTTTTGTATATTTTGGTTTGTTTTGTAGTTAGCTATCATATGTGTGGCCTCTTATATTTCGATGCTTCTCTGCCATGACATTTTCGACACTAAAAAATAACATGGATGAAACTCAATAAATTACTGAATGCCACACGTTTGCTGTAACTATCTGAAATACATGTACTAAAGTTAGGCCTTGTACATAGGTTTCTATTTCTCCAAATATTGTTGCAATATGGTCATTTGATTGCTTATTTTTTAAATTCAAAGTACTCAATAGATGATTTTGAATCGCATTTTGACGAACTTCAGTTTTGTCTCCGCCAGTCGATAAAAAGCAGTCAAAAGACCACAGTGCAATATTAAATGGAAAAATACATTGATATTCTGATGCAAACGATTGTATTGTTTGTTAGCTCGTGTTTTTAATAATACAATGTGTATATAATTCTTGAAAACTAGTGATTTAGTTCGACATTTATGAGATGTAGTTAAAGCAAACGACATCTTTATGAATTACTCATACTTATAGTCGGATTGAAAACTGTGTTTTATAAAGATGTCGCTCAGTATCATACAACATGACTTGGCACAACAAGATCGAATAAACAAGATACACCATCAGACCTAGGATGAAGAAAAGAAGAATATTTGTTTTGGAAAGAGGGTCAAAATTGTTGCATCAATGTCTAAGATGGTTGCATTCAAACGTACTAATAAAGGGAAGTGAAAAATAATGCCATGTTGTAAGTGACCTAAATGGCGCGGACATCAAAGAGCGCCTTCCGGTAAAGTGGGTGTTTGGGATGAATCGATCTTTTATCGTATGAATCGCTAAAATTGCAACTCTGAAGTAATTCAACACTGTTATCGGCTAAACTAATCTATAAATTAACGTACATTCATGAAAAAGGATCCACTTTGGTCTTTTAACCGCCTAATTGAGTACATTGAACAACCAACATATTGCAACAGAAAATGAAAAAAATATACGTAAACATACGTACAAGACGTAACTATTGTATATTACAGATAGTTAGGTATAACGTGCAGTAAAGCTGTACCTATTTAGGGAGTTTCATCCATGTTATTATTTCGAAAATAACATGGAAGATCATCGAACTACGAAATAAACCAAAACAAAAGTTAGGCATTGTACAAAAGTTTCTATTTTTCCATAAACTGTTTAAATATGGTCATTTGATTCATTGTTTTTTAGATTCGAAGTAGACCTACTCAATGGAATTATTAATCGAGCAAAATTGCAAGAATTTAATATTTTCAAGGTGGAATAAGTGAATTAATAGATAGAAAAACACTACTAGCCTCTCTTTACACTATGGTCCATCTTATCTTTTACAATAATTAGTAATACCACTCACTGACAAGATTTTCAAGTTACACATTGAAGAAAGTCTAAGTCCAAGAAAGTAACGGAAAAGGGCCAAAGTAACGCTTTTTGAAAATGCCTACCTAAAATTTACCAACGCTCGATGGAGGAAAACTTAAGAGTACAAGAAAGTTACGGAAATCGGCCAAAGTTATGCTTTTTAAAAATGCCAGGCTAAAATATGGCCAAGTAACGTGTTTTAACAACTTGGCATGGAAACAGTTAGAGTCCACGCGAGTCCACGAAAGTAACGTTTTATCAGCAAAGTACTGTGTTTTGAAAATGCCTACCTAAAAAATCATCCATTCTTCGAGGAGAAAAGTTAAAGTCCACGAAAGTAACGTTTTATCGGCAAAGTACTGTGTTTTGAAAATGCCTACCTAAAATTCATCCATTCTTCGAGGAGAAAAGTTAGAGTCCAATAAAGTAACGTTTTTAAGGCAAAGAAACGTGTTTTGAAAATGCCTAATATAAAATCATCCATTCTTCGAGGAGAAAAGTTAAAGTCCAATAAAGTAACGTTTTTAAGGCAAAGTAACGTGTTTTAAGAATGCCTACATAAAAAATCATACATTCTTTGTGGGAGAAGTTAAAGTCCGATAAAGTAACGTTTTATTGGCAAAGTACTGTGTTTTGAAAATGCTTACCTAAAAATCATCCATTCTTCGAGGAGAAAAGTTAGAGACCAATAAAGTAATGTTTTTAAGGTAAAGTATCGTGTTTTAAGAATGCCTTCATAAAAAATCATACATTCCGGCTTTTGTGGGGAAAAGTTAAAGTCCAATAAAGTAACGTTTTATTGGCAAAGTACTGTGTTTTGAAAATGCTTATAAAATCATCCATTCTTCGAGGAGAAAAGTTAAAGTCCAATAAAGTAACGTTTTTAAGGCAAAGTAACGTGTTTTAAGAATGCCTACATAAATGCCTACAAAAATTATCCATTCTTCGTAGAGTATGGTTAAGTATCATACATAAATGCATACATAAAACATCATCTATAGTCATGTTTGACTTTCCATAATAACAAAACGAAAAAACGGTACTTTCAAAATGTCAATATTTTCTGTCCCTATATCTTGACACTGTTGCATGCAAGAGACATAACATGTCTGTCATCGCTAAAATTCTGGGGGTTTCCCTCCTCTTGTCTACAGAGAGTACAGTTAGGCTAGCCTCAGGGGAAGGGGAGATTTCCCAAAGATGACCTGCAGTGTTCGCAGGTTCGATGACCAATTTTATAAACAGGCCTCATTTGTCATTGAAATGGATCTCATAATGTTCGCTGTTGTTTTATGAGTATTCTCTACAAGTTTTGATCGAGTAACTTCAATAGTATTACCTTAGTTTTGAAATGATGAGGTTGAAATGATGTTAATTGAAACAAACGCCATTTCCACGATTTCAAATGTTACTTTACACATGCGAAGCACTGAGAGAGCATGTGCTCATGATTGTTGTTCATGTGATCACATCCTGCAATTTGATTGGAGATGATGCGGGAGATGATGTAATGGGGAATCTCCGAATACAATAGAATATGAAAGAAATGTGGGAGCTACTCACTTCTTCTGGGCTAAAGTCCATTTCACTGCTTCATTTCGTCAGTAGAACGGCAAAAATAAGAAATTGGGAGACCATTGTGCAATAATATATGGAAAAGTATATTGACATAATGTACATGAATGACATTTGTATATTTCAGATTTTTTAGTTTTTTTGTGCGATAAGCCTGTGCCGTCTTGTAATTTGAAGAATTTCAGCCATGTTAATCTTATTGAAAATAACATGGCAGAGAAACATCCAAATATAAGAGGCCACACACTTTATAACCCAAACTAGAAGCAATCCAAGATATACAAATGTCATCCATGTACATTATGAATATACTTTTTCATATATTATTGCACAATGGTCTCCCAATTTCTTATTTTTGCCGTTCTACTGACGAAATGAAGCAGTGAAATGGACTTCAAGTTTAGCACAGAAAAATCTTTAGACTACAAGTTTTAAAAATTCAGAATTTGTTTCAAACATTATACATGTAAGTCTTTACCTTTCAGCCTCTGAATCTTTCTGCTGTAATGGTTTTTCAGGGAAATTGATATAGTTTGAAATACATGTTTTGATTTCAGAAAACAGAGGGTTTAGTTCTAAATCGTTCAAAATTTTATGGAAAATATTTTCACATGTCGCCATTTGTAAACATTTACGGAGTGAATAATTGTTGTGATCTGTCATTCTGAAATATACCCAAATTTTCCCTTGATTTAAGAATGATATTGGGGAAAAAAAGAGTATCTACTGCAGAATTGGATACCAAGCATAAGGTCATTATGGTATTTATCATTTTATTTATAAATTTGAAACTATATCCTGCTATAAAGATCTGCTATTTATATTACCATAAAGACAGAATGACTGGTACACTGTCACATGACTAGACTATCTGGGTCAGGTAAGGTAACCTGCATACGTTTTTGTTTCATATTTGCACAGCACAGAGAACTATTTAGTAATTTACATATGATTTTATGATTTGTACCGTTTTTTCAATGTGTAGATTAACATTAAGAACGATACAAATCATATGGAATTAGGTCTCTGTGCATGATGCTGCATCTTACTTCGGTCCAAAGCCTTCTCTATATTCCGGCTTTGAGGAGGAAGATTGAGCTGCCTTAGTATTATAAATATTGTAAATCATTGTGTCACACGCACAGTAAATATGGCATAATAATATGAAATATACCTTTATATATAGATTTGAAGAACATCAGCTCACATCCCCGTCTGAATCTATTGTTATATTTGATTTCTTTAAGCGAGAATAATTTCAAATGTTATTCACGTCCAGAACCGGAAGCCATTTTTAGCTACAGCGAGAAAATTTCACCATGTGTCAAAACTCCGAAATGAAATTTTGAAATATCTAAATCCAGACAAGCAACGCTTCATCCTAAATATGATTGATATTCTTAAAAATATTTATAAAATTTATTAAAAATGAGTTCTAGGTGCGTGTAGGTGCGTGTAGCACAGTACATACGAAATCAATGAAGTTTCGTCTAGCTGTAAGCTAGAGACTCGAGTAAGCTGCATCCTCTCTACAGCGAGCAACATCGCGGCCCATTCTTATACTCAGACTTACCTTCTTCTAAGGCCACTGTATCGTGGCCTTCCAGTACAGATATATTCCTGCATGAACAACTGGTAATGTCGTAATCATAAAATTTGAAATCATATGTCCGCCATTTTTCCACATCACAATTTGAATTGCGAGTTTTGGTCTTATTACCTCACCAAAAATTCCAAAACACACACAAAGTGATCAGTGTATTAGTTCACATCTTCTGGATCGCTAACTTAGAATTTACAGCCAGTTACTAATGTCAGACGTAACGACATTTCGTCCAGTTTTCGAACATCGCCATTTTTCTTGGAGCCATTTTGTTTTAATTTTTGACGAAATCCTGATGAAATCATGTCATATCTCATCAAGGATTTGAGCTGGGTCCGGTTTGATTAATGATTTATTTATCTGGCGATTTTTAAAATATTCAATAAATTTATGACACCCCGGCAGCTTTTTTCAAATAGAGTTCACAGTATTCCAGATGAATCCCCTCTAGCCAAGTATTGGCTAGAGACTCGAGTAAACTCAGACCATCTTAATGCACAAGTTCTAGGCCTAGTAGATCTAGAAGGAAACTGAGAGAAGGCTGTGATATCTCACGATGAGACCATCGGCCATTGCTACCAACCTGCAGTACACTCACTATGGGTCTCTTTTTGACATGAAAATATAAATGATTCTTATCTATCCCGAAAAAAGCGTTTTTTGTTTGTTTTTTTGCTCTGTGTTTATCCCTTGCAGCCTTTTACTCTCTTCGAGAGCCATGTTAATATTTGTAAACTTATTATATCAAAATCAACATTTTATTGCTTTCGCAAGAAGCGACTCCATCATAGGAGAAAATTCCACTCAGGGTCCTAGGTTGTAGGGGGGATTTCGTTTTACAACGAAGGAGTGGTATAGGCAAAGGGAGTGGGAATGTTAGATGACAGATATGGTTTAAACGAACCAATCAAATTACACAGGCCTATAGCCAGGATTTGTCAAAGGGGGTTTCACTTTTTGAAAAATTCCAGGGGGGTTTACTTGTGACAATTTTGGTCCAAAAAGTGGCCAGAATCATTTAAAAAGTGCTCAGAATGGTGAAAAACTGCATGATTTTGAATGATTTTGGCTGGGGGGGGGTTCGCTCAAACCCATCGAACGGGCCTGTTACAGACTTTAGTTGCACGTCATCAAATAGCTACAGTAGTATAAATATGTGATTCATTGTTCGCGCAAAAATTCTCATTGGTTCCTGGCCTGGCTTCATTGATCTCTCAGAAAAGGGGATTGTTCCTGCCTGGGGGCTCATTTTATAATAAAAAATTGAACAACTAAAACTGATGAATATTCAAGTTTAAGGGAATTTTATAATACCTTGCCATGTTGCATGTATTGACCCTGAATCAGCCACCTGGTGGTGAAAATGGTAACGACTTACTCGCATCATGGTAATAAGGCTAAGATAAAGATCATGAAGATGTCCATCAATATTTTCATCTTTATAATGATTTCATTGGTCAGTTGATCTCTGTTACTGATTTGGTTCGTCCTTGATATTTTCAAGAAAAATGTACATGGCCAGATCCAAAGTAGACTGAAACTCTCTCATGTCCTTCTAGAAAGCTAATAAAATGTCATGATTTCTCATGATTATAACAAAATTCCTGCAAAAGGATGATTGACTTGGCCATCGGTTTATTTTGTTGAGATTAAACTATTGTGCAAAATTCATACATCATTATATATTTCTTGGTAAAATGTTTTGCTTCTAGCTCTTAACCAGTTAACGAAAACAACCCCTTGAATGTAAGTGCTTCAATTGATCTATAAAACACAGTACCATAGAGTAATTTTACTGGAGATTGCTATTTGATCTCTACTGTACCTGAGATAATATTTTCATATAAAAATGAAATTTGTTTACCCTTTAATTTTAGGTATTGGGTAGATTCAATATTTGAGTAGTTTTATGTCAACATGAAAATTTAAATCATACAAAAGCATGAAGTTGAACAAAGGACCTTATACACCCTCCATTGGGATCTCCCCATGAGAAAAAAATAATTCATCTGATTTTTCAAAATAAAAATACTGCTTTTATTATTACATTTATATGTACACTAGTATCTTTTTGACCTATATTCAGCACTGTATTGATGAATGGGCCACTTATTAGGGCCAATATTCAATCATAAAGTGTACAGGGGTCGAGATGCCAAACCAGGAAGTGTTTTTGTGTCTGTCAAAATCCATTTGCATCCTACACATCCCTACATCTTATCCAAATATGTTATTAATTAATGAAACATAACAGTATAATCTTTGGATTTACAAAGTTGTATGGGATTTCATAAGTGTAAAAGTTGCTTTTGAAGCATTTTCCTATAGCCATTTTGTAGGAAAAAAATGATGAAAAAATGTCTAAGCCTTTAATTTGAAGTATGACCTGAATCGAGTGCAAACTTTATATTTGCACATCTGATGTGATATATCATTTGTGTCATATTGTGAAATTATTTAATTTGCAATCGATTCAGGTCATAGTGTATTTTAGGTATTTTTGTGAAAATCAATAAAAACCAATGGCCTCCATTGGAATCTGATGATATCCACATGTTAAGTCAATGGAGCATATCCAATGGCAAGTTAATACACCCTTGCTGAACTTAATGACCTCAACCTCAGCCCATGTGGGTCCAAACGCTTAAAAATTTTCCACAGTATTATGTGACATTGTATTCTTTATGTTACACCTAAAAATGATTCATTTTGTTCATGGGGAGATCATAATGGCGGGTGCACTAGATCCTTTTGCCTGGATTATAACATTATTTTGACTGCGTCATTTGGTGTTTTGGAGGGGACCTATCTTTCACCCTGCACATTATACTTTTGTGACAGCTTTGGAACAGAGATATTTCTTCAAAAGCAAAAATATTCTTTAAAAATATTTTTATTGGACACTAAAGGCTGACTTTGATATTTTTTCTGAAAACATTGATTGTCCCAGACAATCCAAATGTTTCCACCTTTCTCTTTTACCAGTTTGTGTCTTAAGATTCATGTTCATTTACTTAATGCCACTCACTCCCTAATAAAAGTGCCTAAAAATGTGTACAAATGTTTGTCAAAGGGATTTTTCAATGTTTGATGTGCTGTCCTTTTGATAGGTTTGACCTCTTAGCAACAGACATTCTTACCACACTCAATATGCTTAGTAGACACAGGCATTCTACTGTTCTAGGTCTGTTGGGAAAAGATCTTTCTCAGGGGGATGGGAGAAAGGGGTTAACATAATACCGGCAATGCACATTTCTGTGAACCTCCATAAATATGTGATCTATAACTTTCTGGTTTCATGTTTGGAATATTGGAATCTGTTATCTGGTTTAATCATATGTATGGCATTTATTGCCTTGCCTTTCAGCTGTTAAGTAGGGGCCCCATGTAATCTGACAGTATCATTCTTTCAAACTAATACAGTTCCTTTCCATGTTCTTTGGGTTAACAATTACAACCTGTGTGGCATTTGGATCATGGTTCAGGAATACTGTATTGGGACTTTTTGACAAAACAAGACACATCTTCAAAGCAATATTATATCACTGGTGATGTCAGGATGTTACATATGATTTCAGCATATAAACTGGTTATAACTATTGCAGTAATACACAAAATTGAAGGGAGTAACTTACAGGACATGTATTTCAATATATTCAGTGGGCCCCTAAGAACCCAGAAGAAAATGATGGTCGGTAAAATATTAAACCAATATTCTGTATTTTTACAGGATCTAAAAGATGATAATATACTCCAAAGAGTCAAAATTAGAGAGGACACAGAAGACAAATTAATAGAATAACAATCAGGATGTCAATGAGTAAATGTGTTGTTGTCTATTGTTTCATTATTTGTGCTATTTTTAGAACCTTCTGATGCATGTGATATATGAGAACAAGTGGAATGGTATGGTGCCTGTGACATTTGGAAACCAGCGGAACTGTTTGAAGTCTGTAATATTTGAAAACCCTTGGAACTGTATGATGCCTGTGACATTTACAAACATGTGGAACTGTATGATGCCTGTGACATTTGCAAACATGTGGAACTGTTTGATGCCCATGACATTTGAAAACCAGTGGAACTGTTTGGTGCCCGTGATATTAAAGATCTTGTGGAACTGTTTGATGCCTGTGCCATATGAAAATGAGTGGAACTATTTAATGCCCGTGACATTTGAAAACCAGGGGAACTGTTTGGTGCCCGTGATATTAAAGATCTTGTGGAACTGTTTGATACCTGTGAGACTCAAGTTTCAAGACTCAAGTCATCTTAATGTGTAACCTGCTTAGCAAGGGTCCTCTTTAGGTAAGTCTGGACTTTCTTGAAATTCTGGAAGATTTATTAGTACATTTTAAATGTAATCAAGAGCGAATAAATAACCATTGAAATATATTTTATGGAGATAATGATTTTGACACATAGCTCTTGAGGTTTTATTAACATTTCATGATCGTTTTCATAATATAATGTTTATTTAAGTTTTCTAAAGTGTTGAAAAATTCATTCTGATCTGTTTATTTTACAATCAATAGACTAGGATGTAAACTTTTTCTGTTAATACTTGAAAAACTCGATTTATGTTGAAAAATTGAAATAATTGCCTTTCACATTGAAAAAGGTGCAGGTAGTTTTTCAATTTGGAACTAGCCATTCTGCTAAGTGCCAACTACATGTAAGTGAGGATCTTTTAAGCTTATTCGCCATATCATATTAAATTCATGCATTTTAGAGATTCATTTCCTTATATGGTAACAATACTTAGAATACTACATGCAAGTACAAAACATATTTGCTCCTGGGACTCTTTATCTTCTTTAAATTTTCATTGACATCAACAAATAGAAAACAAGTTTTAACAACACCTACTTACGACTGTTAACACTACTTCAAAAGAGAAAATTGCACAGTACATGTACATTACTTTCATGTGCTTTCTTCATGCATGTTATGAACCCATGAGTAACAGATTTTCACTCTTGTTTTAAAGCTTCTGGTCATATTTAAGTGGTTCAGTCAGATGAGCCCAGCACTGATTTTTAAAGGAAAAATATGAAACTGAGCATTTTAAAATTAAGCTTGTATTTATACATCGGCCATAGATAACTACATGTAAGAGGCAGGAGAGGCAAGTGCCCCATCAAAATTTTACATAAATAGATTTTTGTCTGTTGTATTTCAATTCTAACTTTGGAAATGAAGTCCAAAGGTGGTAATGTACCTCATTTTGCCTCATTTACCTCACCTATTAATTTTTCCCTCACCTTGTTTTAGAGCCAGGCTGCACTCCTGTTAAATCAGGTGAATATATAATGACCTGATGTAAAATAGATATGTTATAGAAGAGCCTTTAAATAGGTGTTGCAAGAGATGTGAGAGGATTTAACTGAGTGATTGACTTTATAGTTAGCTGTTTCACATGAAATAGAAATTCTCTGTTTCTTAACTTTCAGTTCTTAACTTGCAATCAAACATCACCTATAATGGGTGTTCAAGGGAAATCCGCTTCAACACAAAGACTTGCTGATCAGACAGAATTTCGTGGAAATGGAAAAATAAATCGCAAAGTAGCAATTGGGGCTGTAGCAGGGTTGGCTGTTCTGGCAACAGTGTTAGGAGTAGCAATTGGAGTGCCATTATCAAAGCGACAAGCAGATAATACGGATGGAAGTACATCCTTACAAAGGGCTCGGGATATTTTGTCAAACAATCCATTGATAGATGGGTAAGTTTACAATTTAAAGAGATCGAGTCATCCAGATTTCTATTCTGGACAATCAGCAATGTCCCAATATTATTGCTCATAAAACATCATATATACCTTAGATATATCTTGAGACCAAATCATAAGCATGATATCGACAATATATTGACGATATCAACAGGACAACCAAAAGAACAACCAACTGTCAGAATTGAACGCAATAAGTCGAAAACAGAATACAATGTTTTTTTGGGGGTTTATCTGTATTGTAACCCCTTAGAAAAAGCCAATCAGACTGGAACAAATTTGAGCGGGCTTTTTAAATTGAATTTGAATTTCTATTGATGTAAGTGGAAATTCATGGCTAGGAACAATCATCGAATTGATACTGTTAACGATTTAATTCAAGCCTCAGAATTGATAAGTTGATAAACAAACTTGTTTTACATCAAATAACACGAAAAAATCAGGGGGTTACTCTAATTGTGTTTTTAGGAGACCCGATCTCTTTAACTTTTTAGTTCTAAAGTAAAAGGATGAAGTACAAAAGGGTGGGTTTCTTCTCAGTCATTCAAACAATAATGTTTGATTAATAATTCAAACTTCTTAAAGTTTCAAATCTTTGAGGACATAAATATTGGTTTTAATGTTTGCCTTTGAATTTGGGTTGTGCTGCATAGTTCAAGGTATTTCACTGATGAAATTTAAGGGGCTGTTAACACATACAGTCCCAGAATTCATCTTAGGAGATAACTTTTCAAATTATTTATTTGAATGAATTTTTGGGGTTAATTCTTACATCTCAAAGATTTATCAAGTTTTTAGTTACATTGAAAATAGAATAAGATTTATCTGAAATGAATCTAACTCTGTTGCAATTGATTAAATTATCATCAAGACCTATACTGTAATACTAAAATGTAGATAATATGAGCCCCTATGTAAAGGGAACATTTTGATATATAACATGATTGGGATAAGCATTTTGTAGCTGGTCACAAATTCCAGTATTGGTCAGAATTTTTGCATTTTGTGACGACTTATGGTCCTCATACTTTGAACCTTGAACCTACTACCCATCATAAATATGCTGAAAATCAGATAAATTGAGCATCGTAAATATATTCACAGCCCCGGGATATCTTGTTTCCATTTATGCAAGCTAATCAGGTATTTCTTGTAATTGATATCTCCTTTTAGAATTAATTACCATTGTTGCATGTGTTAATTTTGAATTGTAATGAATGTAGCTCAAAGTTTCAAAAATCCTAGAATCTATTTAATTACCATTGATGCTTGTGTTAAATATCCCATTGAACGAAGTTCGGAGGGATATAGGGAATGCCTCCTTCCGTCCGTCCGTATATATTCTTTGTTTGTAAATATGCCAGCCATGGCTGTTTGATGGGATTTGCTACGCTTTGGCGTTGCTGTTGTCTAGTTTTGTATTGTAATGAATGTAGCTCAAAGTTTCAAAAATCCTAGAATGTATATAAAAATGTTCAAAATCCTAAAATACTGCACTGAAAATTACAAATTTTTGTAGTGCTGCACTCAGAAATCCTAAAATGTTGCATTAACAAAATCTCTGCATGTTAATATAATTAGATAACTAAAGGAAGGGATGAACCATCACATTTCAGAGAGAACTTTTGACCTTTTTTAGAAAATATTTGACAAAATTATTACTGTCTCCTGTTTTGCTAGGTCATATTGATGATACTGCCATTAATAAAAGACAATTGAATTTTTCAAATTTTAATGCATTAAATATGTGGAAAAAGGAATCTTGTTTTCCATCTACCATTAATTAAATGTTCAAAATTTAGTAGAAGTAATATCATATTTGAAATCTACTTACAAAATTAAATGTAAAAGGGTTATTTAAAAAATTGTTATTTAACTTTAATTTTTAATTTTATTTGAAAAAAGGTTAGATGAAAATTGATCCATTAAATCCATTAATAGTTCAAGTTTGAATGAACTTTTTTGTACATCTCACTTACTGATTGGCTTTTATGTGTAGTAACATTTTTAACACAATAATATTATTGCTCTTTTGCCAATGAGGCTTACAAGGTGAAAACTCCTGAACTGCCTTGACATGTCAATTTGAAACTTAAATGAATGGCAACGAGGAATCAACTAAGTCATAAAAGTTGTATATGTAACTCATATTTTCAAAAGTTGGACTGTTTCTAAATGAAATGTTTATGCAATAAGTAGATAATTTCATAATTTCTTTGATACAGTACCCATTTGGTGCAGATTCTAACTGTAAGGACCAAATGAATACATGCACAAACATAGAATAAACAATGTGTCTAAAATTCTAGTTCAGTACTTAGACCTTGACTGTTCACAGTATAACAGAAACTGTTCATAGATATAAAATGACCATAAAATAAATAATTTGATTATTTATGGCTTTGTTTTACTGCTATTTGAACTGTTAGTGGCAGTTTACCATTACCCTTGCTTTTAATTTACTAAGGAGGTAGTAGAGGGGGTATTACAAGGTATTTTCAAGTACAGTACACAAGGGATCGTATCAAAATGTTGGCAGTTGTGGTTCTTCAAAACAAACTTACTCGTGAAAAGGATATTCAGTTCGATATTCCAATAATTTAAGGTCATAACCAATACTCCAATTTGCGATAATGTTTAGTTAAGTTCAGTTTAGTTACCTCCCGTTTGAAGAGCTCTCATGTATGGTACAATTTCGTCTACATCCAGGTACTTTCCCATTGGATTACACAGGGGTGCTATTTTCAATGCCGCACTGCGATTTTATTAAACATTTATGTAGAGTTGCATTTGCACAAATGATAGGTATGTATGTAATTAAGATATATAACAAGGCTTTTTGAACTATAATCCCCAAATTAGAAGAAATCTGTAATTGAAAATGCCGTCCAATTCCAGTTACGTCATTGCTTTCCCAGAAATTACTCAGATGTCATCGAAGATCAAAGAAATAAATAATGTTACTTTGAATCTCCGATTACCTTTCTGATTATTGAATAGATTGGATCATATCACTATGCTTGAGGGCTGATGGGAGATCAGAAGCTGAGAAACATTCAGAGTATTCAACTCATTCGGCGGGCCACTGAAAATTTGTCCCTTCCAAAGCGATGCATCATGGGAGATATTTATGTAAATTACCACCTGAACTCTTATCGCGAATAGGAGTATCTACTAGGCTATGAATCAAGCCCTTATCACACATGTTATATTGTTAAAGTTCTTAAATTAAAAGTTAAAGTAGCTCTTACTATGTATGAGAAAAAACTGGTTCTTTAAAGTTTTGAAAAACATTTGCAAACAAAAAGTCATCTTGGGTCATGTTGCTCGAAACCAATTTTTTGGATAACAATCAAGAACTTTTCATCATTGTCATAGAATAGCTCAGCATACATTTGCTTTTAAGTTTCAAATGACATTGATTAATTACTATGTCAACGGAATTCACCAGCTCAAATAACAGTTTATTAAAAACTTATTATTGAAAAGTCCCTTTCCATAAATGTTTATTATTGGCCCTTTTATACTCACATGTCATGTTTTTACAAGGCTATGTAATTTTTAAGTATATGGAACATGGCTGACTGTTGGGGCAACATTGAATATATGGCAATTATGCAATTTAATTTTTAGGAATTTTATAATAATATTGTGTTCAATATGAAGAAATGAATTTCTCAAAGGGGTGTCAGTTCTACTATCTATGAAGATTATTTTATGTATGCCTTTCTGCCTGCCTAATATATTAATATTTAATGCAAAAAATATTTATTTATAACATTTTTGAAAAAGTATGGTGGCCATCTTGAAAAGCTGTTTGACAAGCTTTTTACATTTTTGCTGATATAAATTCCAAATGTTGTTATATATATGCATTGTTAGAAGCATGATACATGGTTTTATGACAATTTGACTTTTATTGTAGGCACCATTTTTCAACATGAAGGCCATTTTTTAAATGTGTTATTATATTAATTATTTTAAAAAAATGAGTGATTTTATTGACAGCACATTATCTAGTCGTAGACATTTTTGTTGTCTTTTGGTCTTATAATAATTTTGAAACTGTGTATTTTTTTGCCATAACGTTACAATTGTAACTAGAAAGTAGTGGACCAATGTTTTTTTTGATATTCCATACACTGTATGTAAATGCTGCTAATTATAGCATGACACAATGTCATCAGATATTTGCTTTAAGCTGGCCTTTTAAAGAAAAGAATGATGCCCTAGCTATAAAATATGCATCATTTTGCACCTAAAGTAACAGAGTAATTTTGTTGATATTTTGTTAATTAATACATGGGCTTTCAACTTAAAAGCCTTTGGTTAAAACTTTAAAGCATGGTAATGTCTCACTTTGCTCATGGGAAATGATATGCACATGTACTACCTACATGCATAGACGCTCATATAGGGTCTCTGTTACAAATCTGATATTGAAGGAAACAGTCATTAGCGCTGAGGGTAGCCCTGTCTATTTATACCATGATTTTGAATGATTAGGTAGTATTTCACAGTATAGATCAACTTCTTTTCTACAATTCAGATTTTCTTGAAAAAAATGTGGTAAAAGATATACTGATATATAACAAAATATGTGGAAATTAGAAAGATTGATGTTATACTGTACAATGGGAAGTAATAGTATCATGGTATAAAATAAACTATAATGGCTTTCACAGCATACTGTAGAGTAGTTTTGTGATTATTTTGTACAAACAGCACATGTTAGTTCCATGTTGTTTTGATAGCTTGCAGCTTGATTGGGCAGGGTAAGGAGCCACACTTGGCTTCCACCACATACACCAGGCCTCCATCTTCATTTACATGTATTTTTACTCATCTACAGTTATAAATGATTACTTTGTACAAACAGCACATGTAAGCTCCATATTGTCTTGATAATTAGGGCAGGGCAGTGAGCCACATTTGGCTTCCACCACATAAAGCAGGCCTCCATTTTTGTTCTCATGACCTGCTGCATCAGCTTCAGGTGCTTCATCAATGCATATAAATTCAGACTTTTGATGATTCTCACGTTCACTCATCAGGTATCCATTGTATTCCTTGGTCCAGGATTCAGGGCAGGATTTCATTGCAGGGAGCATAAAGTGACTGCTCCTCTCAGGTACCCTGCACACAACACATACTGCATCATGGTCATGAAGCCAAGTAGCTGGTTTGGTGGGGTCAGGAAAATTGTCTGTAAGGAATGGGTTGCTACCATGATTGACTTCATACTCAACTCCATAAATAAGTGCCTCAGACTGTTCACCAGCTGTGGTCTTCCCCCACTCAGGTTCCCTGGGTAGACACAGATAGTTGCCTCCTGATCCTATTTGGTCAAAGAATGATTTCCCCATTATACCTTCAAAGGAAATTCAAGGGTGTTAAGACCACATTGTAGTTAAAGTATTTTAGAAATGTGGCAACATGATTATACCCATAATAAGTACACTTCTTGAGGTTTTATTTATGGCCTTGGGTTCATACTAAATGAATTTGCATTATACCTTATTGTTTCTCTTACCCGAATAGACATTCTCAGCTGTATCTGGACAGGTTGTCCTTCCCCACCTCACATACACTGCACCCCCCGCTGAGGGACCAGGTGGTCCTGGGGGACCTTGTACACCAGAGGTTCTATTATTGTAAGTTATATCATGATGGAACTGTTCCAGCAAGTGGCTTATTTCATTGTTCCATTGTCCGTGGCCACTCAGTCCCTTCAAATATACTCGCAAATATACCCAATCATTAACCAACTAAAAGAGAGCTGTTATTATTGGAAATAGACACGTTTCCTTCTCCTTTAGGACAGAACGAATGAATTACATGGCTACTTTTTTGACACATCCTCACTTTACATTTACCAAAATTATGATGGTCTTAAGAGAATGTTTTACTGAAACCATGGGCTTTCAATAGAATATATTGAATGTCCATGCTGAAATTACTTCCAAAGGACAACTTCCTTCCAAAGGAAAAATGAATAAATCTTATACTTTGGTATTTACTATGGTTTATTGTGACCAATGATCAACAATGACTTTATATTATTCACTCACGTCCCTTCCATCCCTTCCTGCTGGTCCTTGTGGTCCAGGAGGTCCTGGTGGGCCAGTTGGCCCCATCAGTCCATCTCTACCATCTCGGCCATAGACATTTCCAGCTGAAGGAAATAGTTTCAGTAAGAATAAAATGTCTTTCAGTTATTGATTATAATCAAATGAAGATTTTTGAAAGGTGTGTTGACCTCATTAGCTTTCTGACATTATTGTATATTGTTTGGCTGTCCCGTGTTTGGTTTTTCTGCTTTTGTGTGTATGTTCATGAAGTAATGTTTACCTTGAACTGCTGCTGTTGCCTCTCTTTTTCTATGTGTGATATTGTAATCTTCCTTTTCATCCCTTTTATCAGCAACATTTGTCCAATGCTGGAAAAGGAGAGATGTACACAACATTATTTAGTCGTTTTTGTCATTTTTTGTCCTTTTGGTGTCTTTTATTGATGATGAGGAAGAATTGCAAGGTTTGACTTAATTATCTTGATTTCAACTCTGTACTTTGGAGAGAATTGGAAATTTTAAGATGATCATCGTTAAAGTTTTTTCAGGATCATTCTTAAGTACATTTTTATATGGTTCTTACTTGCCTATAATCGTATGATGTTTTTATGATACATACCAGCAGTGCCTCTGCTTCGAGTGTACCAATGCGACTATTCAACTCTTCTATTAAATCTTGCCCTTTTATGAAGTCTTCCTTCATTTTGATGAACTCATCTTGTACAGTAGATAACTCATTTCTCATTTTGACCAATTCAGCATTCTCTTGTATTGGTCCTTTACTTTGTTTTTGTGATTCAATATATAAACATATAGAAGACACAAATATTGCAATGGAAAACAAATACATCCTTTCCTTTCTTTCCATTTTCATTTTTTAGATTATGAGTAAAACCTCTTGAATTCAAAGTGTTGTTTTTACGTGAGTTTTGAATTCTTTATTAATGTTGTCAGGCCCGTAGCCAGGATTTGCCAAGGGGGGTTCAGTTTTCAAAAATTTCCAGGGGGGTTCACATTTGACAAGTTTGCCCCGAATATGGCTAAAATCACTTGAGAAGTGCTCAAAATGGTGCAAAACTGCATGATTTTGAAAGAATTTTTGGCCAGGGGGGGGGGGGGTTCGTCCGAACCCTGCGAACCCCCCCTGGCTACGGGCCTGGTTGTTTTTAACTTTTAAAAACAGTAAACAACTTTTAAATTCTTTTTGGGTCACTGATTACCCAACCCGATTTGGGATATTGAGATGCCATCCAGTTTGCATTTTGTTGCTTTATGATCTCACACTAGACTTGTTATACACTACTAGTACCTTTATCTAAAACTATTTTTGATGTGTTGAGTATTGGATATACATTTTAAAATGTATTCTTCAGCATGTATTGCAATGACTTCAGTATGAATAAAATGTCTTATAGTGCTGTCCCTAGGTCTGATTTCGTTACTCGGCTCGGAAAAAAGGTTTGTGGGTATCATTTTGTTCCAGACACTCTCTAGAATAAATTCATCTTGGGTGGAGTAAAAATGTGTGGTAAACGAATTTGCTATGGGCAGTTAAAGAGGCGCCATCTATTCATTTTCAAACAGGGGGTAGAGGTATAAAATAATTTTTTAACACATTTTAATAGTAAAATGACATTGAAATACTAATAAAATCTTATCAAAAACATTATTTACAATCAGTATGAATTTTCTTGTGTGGATTAGGGTGAAAATAAGGGCATATCTTGAAATTCACTAAAGGGGCGCCACCTATTTTGGTACTTCTACCACGTGTAATAACTTATTTGAGATTCGTTAAGGTACGAAATGTACTGAAAAAATTCATTCTGAAGGCCCTATATATGTTCATACCACATACTTAAAATTAGATCAATAGCTTATGTACCGGCGAAGAAAAAAATTATTGAAATTTAAAATTGTGGTATCATGCAGGATAGGGGTGACCATATGTCACCTTAATAACTTCCAAAATATTGAGCATATGTATCTCAAATGTGCTCAAAATGGTGTATGTACTCTTGCTTTGTCATAATATTAGTAATAAGAAGTAGAAAAATGATTGTACATTTTAGAAATTATTAATTCTCATTTTGGCTTCTGACGTCCCAGGGGTGACCATATCTCACCTTTATAACTTCCAAAATATGGAGCATATGTATCTCAAATGTGGTCAAAATGGTGTATGTACTCTTGCTTTGTCATAATATTAGTAATAAGAAGTAAGAAAATGATTGTACATTTAAAAAAATATTAATTCTCATTTTGGCTTCTGATGTCCCAGGGGTGACCATATGTCACCTTAATAACTTCCAAAATATTGAGCATATGTATCTCAAATGTGCTCAAAATGGTGTATGTACTCTTGCTTTTTTGTCATAATATTAGTAATAAGAAGTAGAAAAATGATTGTACATTTTAGAAATTATTAATTCTCATTTTGGCTTCTGAAGTCCCAGGGGTGACCATATCTCACCTTAATAGCTTCCAAAATATGGAGCATATGTATCTCAAATGTACTCAAAATGATGTATGTACTCTTGCTTTGTCATAATATTATACTAATAAGATGTAGGAATATGATTATACATTTAAAAATTTAAACTTTAGCTTCTTACGTTCCTGGGTAATCATATCGCAACATATAATGATAATAATAACTTCTAAGATATGTAACATATACGCCTCAAATATTCTCAGAAAAGTCTTGTCTTTCATATTATTAATGAAATGTAGAAAAATGATTGCATTTTTTTTTAAATTTTAATTTTAGCCTCTGGTGTCCCACCTTGATAACTCTCACGATATGCAACTTATGCATCTCAAATGTGTGCTCAAAATGGTATAAATATAGTCTTGTTTTGTCATATTTATTTAGAATCATAAAATCAACAGTTCAGAATCAATGGATTTTGACTGTCTCCTCTACAGCTACATATAATTCAGGGCAAATAATATCTGCTTTCAAATATTTGCATCTGCTCCCCTAAAACCCCTTAGAGGTACAATGGATGAGATTATTCCCTTGCATAACTTGGACCAAACATCTTTTGTAATCCATACAGGAATCCTTTTAGCCTATCAATAGTGGGAGTACTTTACTCCATTTATGAAGTAATGACAAATGTTGATAAGGTGTTAATATGTTATCCTGTGGCCTGCAATATATGCACCTTGGATCATACACTGAATTAGGGGATTTTGAGTACGTAAAATACGGGAAAAGGAGCTCTTTGTAATGATAAATCTTTCTAGCCATATTCTCTAGTTTTCATGTTTGTCATACAACATACATTGATTGTATTGAAATATTAATTTATGATTGTGACGTCCCGCACTTCTTGGGTCCCAGAGAAGAGCTTAGCTTTTGGAACACTTGCATTACTCTTGGCATGATAGGCCATACAGTGAATACAATTGTTGAGATGGGGCAAGAACAATATAGCACATTCGACAAAAGGCAACTTGAAAACCTAACAGTACCATTTGATAGAACCATATCCAGGAGCAAAGTTCTTCAGTTTATTAGGCCTCCAAAACCTCCATTCATAACAGATTATGGAAAACTATAGTTCCTCCATTAAATTAAAGAACAGGTCCATTTAAGAGACTATTGGTCAACTTAGACTTTTTCCAAAAAACTCATTCTTCCATTTACTTTCAAAACCGATTGCAAGTTGTAGATAAACCTTTTTTCTTGAGGGGTGCAATTTCAAAAAGTGGCATTAGTTTTCAGTTTTTTTGAAAAATTGGCAGTAAGAACCCCTATCACAAGGCTGTCTGAATATGGGTACACACTATGTTTACCATCAAAATAATATCAAAACTTATCATTACATAGAATTTATTATATGGAACATATGGCATGCAGGCATTCGGAGTACAACATTTAAAAAATCTAGCTATGTATGAAGTTTACCAATGCAAATCTGGAAAACATTGTCATTTTTTGTTCACTTTGTTATCAAGTTTTAGCATGGTGCTCATTTCCTTTCGATGAAGATTTAACCATCAGCCCATTCTCCCACAAAAAAGATATTGAAACTGTATAATGCAGAGACTGTAAAGTAGTTTCTCTGCAAATATAATTTTTGTGGGAGTTTGGGCTCACCACTAAAACTTAACTTTTGTGATGAAAATAAGGCTGACTGGTTTATGTTTTCAATATGGCTGCTAACCTGGGTATACATGTACACTACATAACTGCATGTACAGATTAGGCCATTCAAAATTAATTATATGTTGGCATCGAAGGGCCTTATATTAAAAACTACAAAGTGGAAAGGCAAGTAACACCTCTTGATTCAGATGACCTTGTTAAAGGAATATTCCTTGCCAAACCATCTCTCTCCTCATATGATAGCTATAACCATATATATGCTTGCCATGTTTAGCAAAACACGCAAAAATGTTTTGATATGGTCAAATTTGATCACTTAGAAATGTGATGCTCAATTCCAGTAAGCTGCCATCTTTTAAAATTTCACACAGGAAGTGATGTCATCGACTCTCAACTTTGCATATAGCATTAGGTGAAGAGCTATTAAGAATTACAAAACCAGCTAATATTCTTTTTCAACTTTGTATCTTATTTAATCCATCTGAAAATCTCTTCTTTTATTCTAAGTTGACAAGCCCTGAAAATATTTTTGCACAGAAACTAATGATCACTTGTCTAGAAGTGATTTTGTGCTACTTTCCTATACTGTTATAGGCAAGGTTATAGAAGTTGAGAGTTGATGACATCACTTCCTGCAAGAAATCTTAAAAGATGGCAGCTCACTGGAAATAAGCACTAGATTTTTAAATGATCAATATTGACCATATTAAAACATTTTCCCATGTTTTGCTAAATATGGAAACTATATATATGATTATAGCTACCATATCAAGAGAGAAAGGGTCTGGCAAGGAATATTCCTTTAATGAAGACAATATTAAAGGTTTTATATATTATTTAAAGTGAAAATGCAATAACACATTGTGGCAAAGCAAGTAACACCTCTTGATTCAGATGACCTTGTTAATGAAGACAATGCTAGAGCTTATATACATGTAGTTTTTAATCAATCTTGGAACTCATTTCAATACAATATATTTCATGATCTCAATTCCCTCTGTCATTTATATGCATTACAAGTACAGAGTACATGGAAACATTTTGTTTTTTCTGAAAACATAGAATTTAGTGACATTAATTAGATAATTATTTTGAATGGCCTAAGTGTTTTTCTCAATAGGGAATAAGTAGAAATTATTTTAGGCAATCTTTTGAGTGTCATGCCATGGGTATTTGAAATAATAATTACATCCCAACTCTTAAAACATGCTTATATTAGGATACTGTTAGAGTCTCAAAAGACAACAAGAACATTCATTTTTGAAACAGGAAAATTTATCCCCCCAAAAATGTCCATATTGGGATTTATTCTCAAGATTTTCATGTAATTGCCGGTGAATATTTTTATTTCCATTCACATGGCTTATTGGGGCCCCTTATTATCAGTCAAAATCAAAATTAAGCCAATTGCTTTCATTTCTTGTATTAGAAAATGGCAAAATTGTGACAAAAATAGCATCTTTCAAAGTTGACCTTTAAACTACCCTAATGTCAAGGTCAAATGTCTAAATTCTCAGAAATCACATTTTAAGTAATAAGTCATACTTCCTCTTCAATTCCATGTCAATATATACTTATTTTGAAGGGGGGCTAAAAGAGGGGTCTACCGCCACCTGTCCTTTTGAATGACCATGCCAAAAATTAGATCATTAACATGCTAAAACCCAACAGTGAAAATATGCAGAACATGAACATAAATGATTGTGCAAATTAAGTAATATTTCTTCCCCACATATAAAACATAGAAATGGAACAAGAGTGATCTGTTTTCCTTCCAGACATCAAAACTTTAGGTAAAACTTTTGGTAAAAGAGGCTAGGGTACTCACACTACTGATAGGCTACCAGTATACAAAAGATGTTGCATCCAAGGCATGCAAAAGACTTATTGTCCATTGTTCCTGTAATATAAGGAGTGTTTGGGGAGAAGATGCAAATATTTGAAAGTAGATCTTATTGTCTCTGGGCTATATGTAGCTGCATCCTTCAGGGGAGACAGTCAAATCCATAAATTCTGAACTTCTGATTTTATGAATCTCAATAAATATGACAAAACAAGACTATATTTATACCATTTTGGGCACACATATGAGATGCATATGTTGCATACTGTGAGAGTTATATCAAGGTGAGATATAGTTGCCCCTGGGATATCAGATTCGGAAGCTAAAATGAAAATTTCAATTCAAAAAAGGTGTAATAATTTTTTCTACATCTCATGAATAATATTATGACAAAGCAAGACCATATGCCCCATTTTTGGTATATTTGAGTTGTATATGTTACATAATTTTAGAAGTTATTGAGGGACCTCAGAAGCTAAAATTAAAATTAAAATTTTTTAAATGTATAATCATATTCCTACTTCTTATTTAAGTATAATATTATGACAAAGCAAGAGTACATACACCATTTTGAGTACATTTGAGATACATATGCTCCATATTTTGGAAGTTATTAAGGTGAGATATGGTCACCCCTGGGACGTCAGAAGCCAAAATGAGAATTAATAATTTCTAAAATGTACAATCATTTTTCTACTTCTTATTACTAATATTATGACAAAGCAAGAGTACATACACCATTTTGAGCACATTTGAGATACATATGCTCAATATTTTGGAAGTTATTAAGGTGACATATGGTCACCCCTGGGACGTCAGACGCCAAAATGAGAATTAATATTTTTTTAAATGTACAATCATTTTCTTACTTCTTATTACTAATATTATGACAAAGCAAGAGTACATACACCATTTTGACCACATTTGAGATACATATGCTCCATATTTTGGAAGTTATAAAGGTGAGATATGGTCACCCCTGGGACGTCAGAAGCCAAAATGAGAATTAATAATTTCTAAAATGTATAATCATTTTTCTACTTCTTATTAGTAATATTATGACAAAGCAAGAGTACATACAACATTTTGAGCACATTTGAGATACATATGCTCCATATTTTGGAAGTTAATAATGTGAGATATGGTCACCCCTATCCTGCATGATACCACAATTTTAAATTTCAATAATTTTTTTCTCGGCCGGTACATAAGCTATTGATCTAATTTTAAGTATGTGGTATGAACATATATAGGGCCTTCAGAATGAATTTTTTCAGTACATTTCGTACCTTAACGAATCTAAAATAAGTTATTACACGTGGTAGAAGTACCAAAATAGGTGGCGCCCCTGTAGTGAATTTCAAGATATGCCCTTATTTTCACCCTAATCCACACAAGAAAATTCATACTGATTGTAAATAATGTTTTTGATAAGATTTTATTAGTATTTCAATGTCATTTTACTATTAAAATGTGTTAAAAAATTATTTTATACCCCTACACCCTGTTTGAAAATGAATAGATGGCGCCTCTTTAACTGCCCATAGCAAATTCGTTTACCACACATTTTTACTCCACCCAAGATGAATTTATTCTAGAGAGTGTCTGGAACAAAATGATACCCACAAACCTTTTTTCCGAGCCGAGTAACGAAATCAGACCTAGGGACAGCACTATTATGACCCCATACTAGACTTGTTATTAATGTTAGCATCAGTTGAGGCACTAGACAATGTCATTTTTTAGGATATCAAATGGAATGTCAGTATGGTATGTTAGCATATTCCAGGCCATCCACTTTTTGCTTGATTCAGATTTTGTACTTCATGGTGTTGCTTAATTGAATAGCAAATGAAAACATTTTTTCTCAAACTGACAATTATAGAAATGGATAGACAGTTTAATTCATGCATTGAAATATTTCACATTCATCACATTTATAATGAACAGATTTCTCACAAACAGTTGACATAAATAGGTAATAGTAACCTGGTTTCGACAAATGAAATCAGACCCATGTTTTCCACCTTTTGTACAAGTACGTTTTGATTTATTTCTCATATTTCAATGACATAAAGTACAAATTTTCTTTAAATAGATAACCTTGGGGCTTACTTTTCCAGCATGCAAATAAAGTTTTAAAAATTATATTATTTATATGTCTGGTCACACATATTTAGAGTAGTAAGATTAGTCAAATGTGACAGTTCACATACAATTTGTCCATAATAGATGAAACATACTCTATCGAATGTCAGTATTATCTACTTGGTCAACAAAGGTACATGGTTACAAATCAGTTGGAAGTAGTTCATGGTGCTTTTTCGAACTGTCTATGATGCAACTAAATTGTGTGATTGCCAAAAAATTTCGGCTTTCAGTCAGGGGGGTGTGATAATTTCATGTTATAGTTTGTACATAGCTGTAGATGATAATGTTCTGAGGTATTGTATAATACCTTATTGTATCTTATTTACAGGTACATGTAAACAGTAATGTCTACAATTTTTGTCAAGCTACGATATGTCACACAGATTCAAAATGGCCATCATTTTTAATGTTGAAATATCACTTTTTATGTTATAAATTCCAAAGTATTGCATTGATTTGCTTAATTATACAGGGAGCTAAGTGTATAGGTTAACAATAATGATTAGAATGCACTTTCCCCATGTGAGCCCAGTACCCATGGTACTGTTTATTTTTATTTGCAGACACAATGATTTGCCATGGCAGTACAAGAAGCAGGCGAATAATTCTGTGGAGTCTATTGACCTTGAGCAGTCTCTCAAAGGCATCTGGTCCCCTACCCATACAGATATACCTCGTCTGAGGGAGGGGCGTGTAGGTGCTCAAGTAAGTCTCAGACATCTAGTTCTTTGCACACACACAGACGTATCTGCCATTCTCCCTGAAGAGGGGGGGGGGTTGTTTCTGGTTTCAGATATATAATATATCAGCTTAAGATATCCATCAATGAAAAATGTTATTCACTTTTTCCGTTTGAAAACTATGTTTATTTTTGGTAGCTGTGTCAAAAAAAGAACCTGGTTTTCCTAGAAATTTCAAATCAATTTACAAAATTGATGATTTCACTATTATTTTTATATTCCAGTTCTGGGCTGCTTATGTGCCTTGTGACTCGCAGTATAAGGATGCAGTTAGGCTCAGTTTTGAACAGTGTGATACAGTGAGACGTTTCGTCAAGAAATTCCCAGACACATTCCAATTTGTCACATCAGCTCAAGGTAGAAATTCCCGAAAGTATAATAAACAGGGTCAGCATCCTTCTTCAAAGGACTTCATTTATGCTTGAATTCAAGGAAAGAAGTGAAATATCCTTGGACCAAGGATGGGGTTCAGGCCTATAGCCAGTTTTTTGCCAAGGGGGTTCAGTTTTTAAGAAAAGCCAGAGTGGTTCAGATTTGACAATTTTGGCCAGAAATCACTAGAAAAGTTCTTAAAATGATGACAAACTGCATGAAAGAAGCTTTTGCCAGGTGGGTTACAGGCAGGTGTGGGGTAATACAGGGTAACAACACAGGTTTAACTAAAACTGTAAAAGTATCCATTCATTTAAATGACAGCTTTATTTTTAGGAGTATGAATTAGAATCTATACATGTGATAACATAATGAAAGAAAAATTGTGAAGGTGATTAAAACAAATTTAGGGAGTATATTACAGGGTGACCCAAAATACTTGTTTAGCATGATAATTTATGAAATATCGGAGGGATATAGGGAACGCCTCCGTCCGTCCGTCCGGGCAATAACTCAAATACCGTTGGCCCGATTTTGTTCATATTTTGTACACATATACCCTATGGGGGTAGAAGTTCTGCTCGAAAGCCAATTTTCAAAATGGCCGCTCATTTCAAAATGGCGGCCATTTTAGTGCCGAATTTACAGTTATTTAGGTGCAATATGTAAAACTTTAATAGGAATATGTTTTAGATGTAAAAAAATTATATAGGACATTAAGCTCGAAATGTAGATATTAAAGAAGCACATGGCAGCCATCTTGAAAAATGGCGGCCTTTACTCGTTATTTTATGATTTTTGCTGTAACTCTAAAAGTAGTGGAGCGATTTTGTTCATATTTGGTATGTGAATACTATAAACATTGCACACTGTCTAAAGACACTTTTGGTAGAAGGTGGCCATTTTAAAAAATTGCCGCCATTTTAACCTATTGCTTCACTCGAAAAGTAGTGAAGCAATTTTGTTCATATTTGGTATGTGAATACTACAAGGATGGCATACTGTCTAATGAGACTTTTGGTAGAAGGCGGCCATTTTTTTCAAAATGGCCGCCATTTTAACGTATTTTACTATAACTCGAAAAGTAGTGAAGCGATTTTGTTCATATTTGGTATGTGAATACTGTAAGCATGGCACACTGTCTAATGACACTTTTGGTAGAAGGCGGCCATTTTGAAAAATGGCCGCCATTTTAACGTATTTTACTATAACTCGAAAAGTAGTGGAGTGATTTTGTTCATATTTGGTATGTGAATACTATAAGTATGTCAAATGGTCTAATGACACTTTTGGTAGAAGGCAGCCATTTTTGCTATAAACTTTGTTTGTAAAAATGCCATCCATGGCTGTTCGATGGGATTCGCTACGCTTTGGCGTTGCCGTTGTTCTGGTTAGTTTAAAAATCATCAAGTAAATATTCTGTTTTAGCCACATTACCTGTTTCACAATAATTGTCTAAGTAAAATTGGTACTATCAAAGCTTCAGAGTTTTAGGGGGGTGGGAGGGGGAGGGTTAGTAAGAAATACATAAATAATGGCTCTAGATATTTCAATTCATTTTTATAGACTATATATTTATTCATTTATGTCATTTGAAGTTTGAAATCATTTAATAACTGTGGATTTAGAACCTACAACAAAGTCCTTGGGGAGAATACATCTGCCATTCTAATTACAATGACCCATCAGAAAGGCAGTAGTGAGTACATCCTCGATCTTGGATTTAGTCAAACCTCTTTTTATGTCACCTACATACATCTGAGATTTAAGCAAACCTCTTTTGTGTCACCACCAAACAAGCAAACAAACAAACAAACAAACACACAAACATTTGTCATGTTAATGCCTAGTGCCTTGTTTGAAGAAAATAATTAAATTCCATCAATGCAACAGGCATTGCATCCAATTTATAAAAAACATGCTAATCGTGTGTTCTGAAGCCTTTACAAGCTTACAAGTGGGATAAAGATTAACAAATGCTCCATTCCATATAAAAACAACACATTACATTTTATTGTTACAGAGATTGAAGATGCATTCGCAGCTGGGAAGATTGGCAGCATGATTGGTCTTGAGGGAGGACACTCCATAGATAGCAGTCTAGCCACATTGAGAATGTTCTATGATGTAGGAGTTAGATATATGACAGTCACTCACAGGTATTCATGTTTAACTCATCTCAAAAGATAAAAGATACATATTCTATTTTTGGTAGGTGTGAAAAGAAAAGTAAGAATATGGTTAAATGAATTGTTGATGATTTAGTGCACTCAAGTCTTGTATGCTACCCTTTGAACTTGTGCTTGTGCCCTCACTGATATTTTCATGCAAGACCCTCATGCTTTAAATCAATGACAACTCATTGAGCACTGGGCTAAATTCTTAAGTCTTTATTGGCCCATTGTCATAACAAATAACATGCATTATGCATACATGTATAACTCACTAAAGTGTATGATTTACAATATGCCTGTTAGCAGACTAAGAGTCTAGCTTCACATTTCACCTAAGGTCTTCGTATATGATACAATATGTTCCAATAAGATTTGGCATTCAATTTTTTAGGGGACCAAATCATGGCAACATTACTTGCATTGTTTTCTTATATGCTGAAGTCATTTGATAGAGGATAATACCCTGCTCTTAAATAGACAATAATCATTCTAAAGATATCTGGTATCTTATTAGAAAAATCTTGGCAAAAAGTAACATCGAGACCAGCTTCCATCAGTTGTCTATGGATGAATACACATTGGCATAGCTTGTTATAAGCCAGACAAGGCGTGGTAAAATTTAACAGGATTTTAAAAAAAAATTGTAGGAAACTGAAAATGATTTTCCCATAATGGTAAAATGTACTCTTTGACTAAGTTTTCCTTACCGATTTTGAAACCTGGGTATACTTTGGCATGACAAGACATAAATTGCACTCCAGTGTTATCATTCTTAGAAAGCAATAGAAGCACATGTATATTGTATCGTGTCAATAAGTCAATAAAATGACCATAAACATGAATTGTATTTAATCTTTGGCAGGTGAAACAATGTAAGGCTCTTGAGAAGCTGTTGAATAAGTGAAATAAAATGTTTCAGTTCAAGAGTAAAACAAAAGTGGACCTTTATTCCTTTTGATATGTGGACTATGCACAGTAGAATTTGTGAGATGAAAAGCATTATGAAAAAATATTCTGATTCAATACGGTGAAATTGCATATTTGAACACCTCTCTAATCCGAATGCCACTCAGTGTGAACACTTTATATTCTTTGTCCCAATTGGCTCATATATTAAAAAAATGTGAACTTTTGGCCGGCTCTGGTGCTGTTCGAATTAAATAGGTTTTACTGTACATATATCTGGGTGGAAGTAGTTGTTGCAATTTATACCATTTTGCATTTGAATTGCATATTTAGAAATAATTGATAAGAGAGGCCATGGCACTTTATAAACAAGTGTTCTGACTTAGCTTGTAGTACAATTGCAATAATTCTAGCCATTATTTCCACAGTATGGCAGTGCCATCTTTTAATAATGATCAAGTTTGAATCTTTCTTCAATGGAAACTACATATTTAGCCAACATATTATGCTAATTCAATAGGCCAACTGCATTGGATTGAGTTTGTATAATTTGATCTCATATATTTCTCAATCCAAAATTTCAGACAAGAACTACATTACAAGTTTGAAACATTGATTTTTGCATGGAAAAAGAAAAAAGACACAATTGTATTCAGAGGCGATATACTATTTTGAGAGGTGTAGAATATGCAGTAATATAACCAGTATTAAATGCCATCTTTTAATGATAAAGTTCAAACTTGGTAGTTTTCCCATCTTGATCTACAAGGTTTTGGTTGAATACCGAAGACACCCTTAAACTCATTGTAGTACTTGCAACTCATATTCAACAGATTAATGTGCATTTTGACATAAAAGTCTTTAATAGTATTTGGTTGTGATATATTCCCTGAACACAATATCATATTAGAGAATTTTTATTGGATATTCCATTGTGTAATTCTATTTTCATTGCAGTTGTAATACCCCATGGGCTGATAACTGGCTTGAAGATGAAAAACCATTGGCTGAGCAGGAGTTTGGTGGTCTTTCTGCATTTGGTGAGGTATGTGAAGTGTTTATGTCATATGAAACTTCAAAAAACTGTAATTTAGCATATATTAATGATTTATCATTGCAATATAATAAGAACAGTTAATCAAAAAAATGAGTCAGAAGCACCCAAACATTTTTGTTATTGTTTTTTTTTATGTCACCACCTAAAAGTGATAACAGATTGTTATGGTGCTCATTTTTTATGACGGTGAATGGCGGTTGGTGGTTGGCAGTAGGCGATCGGCCTCTGTAACAAATTCTAACAAATACTGTTTAAACTGACTTCAACTTTTTTTCAAAATCATCTAATTTTGAACTAATAATATTGTGAGCAACTAGGTGGTGAAATTTTGTCATGTTAAAATTATTATTATGCTTTGTATTTTCATTGTCAAGCAATTAAAACTGAACTCATTGTTTTTTTACTTCCAAACGATTTCTTCGTGGATTCTCCTTAATATTTCTGCCAGTGAAGTAGTAGATTAGAAAATGTGATTTTTTTATATTGGTGTATAAGCTAGTTCAAATTCCACATTGTTTTGTTTAGTATCATTTTTAATAGAAATATAAGAGGATGACCGGGGAAGTTGTTTACCATTTTTATCGCACCCTAAGGTGCTATATTGTAATCAGTTTGCCAGGCGGTTGGGTGGGCGGGCAGTTGGGCGGGCAGGCGGGCGTCCCGGATAATCTTGTCTACAGGTTTCCAGCCAAACCGTTTGAGGGATTCATTTGAAATTCTCAGGGATGTTTCTACCTATGAAAGTTTAGAACTGATTAGTTTTTCGACATTCTGGATAAATGTTAAGACGGCCATTTTGGATTTTCCATCCTAAAATCTTGTCTGTCAAGGCTTGTCTACAGGTTTCCAGCCAAACCGTTTGAGGGATTCATTTGAAATTCTCAGGGATGTTTCTACCTTTAAAAGTTAACTGATTAGTTTTTCGGCATTCTTGGTAAATGTTAAGGCGGCCATTTTTGATTTTTCCTCCTAAAATTGTGTCTGTGAAGGCTTGTTTTAAAAAATAAAAAGAATTTCCCATTGAGAGCAATGTTAAATTAAAACATTTTTTTAGAAATAACTAAACGGTCAATCTTTCCAATTTTCACATATTTTGTAATACATCAGTATATCTTTTACCAGGATTTTTTTCAGGAAAATCTGAATTGTGGAAAAAAGGCTGATACAGTAGTGAAGTAATACCTTAAAACGTGTCTCTTGAGGGTTGTTTACAGGTTTCATGGATTCATCCTAAAATTTTAGAGATGTTTCTATGGAAAGTTTAGGACTGATTAGTTTTTAGGCAGTCTGGGTAAATGTTAAAGTGGCCATTTTGAATTTTCCATCCCAAAAAGTTTATTCTGTTCAAGGGTGTGATTCTGTTCACTGTGTGGCTTATTCCAATTAAATCATGACATGATAGCAATGTCTGATTCCTAAATTTGTTACCCTTTGCATTTTTATTATCGACTTCACTTCTTAAAAGAGAGCTTTGTCTTCACTCTTTCAGTTTACAATAAATCTCTGATCTCACCGAGCCAGAGTTCATAGTCGAAAACGGACGACTTTGTATATATGGTCATTTTCTCTGACATAATCGTAGCATTAAATAGCTCACATTTAGCACATGTTCCTTCCAGTTTGCTGATTGGTTGAGAAAGGGTCAGCGTGGTAGGTTTGAAATAATTTATGACCCGGGCTGTCACAGGCACCGGTCATCGGGGCGGGGGGTACTTTATAACTAGACTCTGCGCGCAGGGTATAAATCTGTTAGCCAATCAGTTTGCAGTCAACACCTAAGTACCACAGGTGTATATGAGCATACACTGTATGATAGAATAATATGTTTCTCATTAATTTTTAAAAGTGCTATCTCCATTAATAAATGACAGTACACATCTTTATCTCACGCCTTTCCTTTCCTAGAATTATGAGAAAACAACAGCTGAGTGACACTTATGTGAGATAGTCACACTATATGAGATATCAAAATAACACCTTAACAAGGACATTATGTCAATTCAGGCAAGTCTTAATTGCAACATTTTACTGAAAAACAGCTTTCAAGGATCTTCATAAAATCTATCCATCCTTCAGTCAAATGATTTCAGTTCAAAAAGTTTTTGTATAAGATCGACATAAATACATGTAATCCATAATTTATGTCAGCAAAATATTCAATGAAACTACAAATTCTTTGTTAGATAAAACATTAACAATCAAACAAAAATACTAAATGCAAGAACCAAAATAAGCAGTTATATTCAAATTAGTATCTATCTAACAGATCTACAAAAACAATAAAAAATATATGCATATATACTGCCAGGCATGATCAGTTTTAAATCAATATTTTTAGGATTACTTTTACTCAAAGTGATAAGCATGACAATAGTTGTATTCAAATTGACTGCAAGAATATATTTTTTTGAATAATGCTGCAATAGTAAAGTCCATTATTATGTAAAAATTCAAAATCCTTTATGTTCCCTTCTAATCTAAAGTATATATTTCCTGTTTATGAGGGATATGAATTTTATCCACAAATGGATATGAAATCTGCATCATTTCCAATTCAGTAGATAAAGAGTATTTTAAGTGATTCAGATCAAACTTTCCAAACAACTGATCAGCCATTCTTATTGTCAACAATCTTTTGAGTCAAGCAACAAAAATGTGTCACTGAAGGAATAAATGATGATAGGCCATTCAATATGGTGAAATTCAGGACGAGCTATACAAGCTATTATGAGGCTCGAAAATTACAAGCAATTACGGGACTCGTAACGAGGCCGTACAAGATTGTACAGGGCCCGTTGACTCAACGAGCCTCGTACAGGCTTGTACGAGGTCCGATGTAATTTGCATGTGGACAGTTGTTTAGTTGTTATTTTATTCTTTAATTACTAATGGCTAATGGTCACTTATTTGACATGCTAAAAACACATATAGTATGATTGAATATGAGGTGAAGATGAAGAAGAGTTCAAGCCCCAACATGCGTCATATATGACAACCACACCTATGAGCATCTCCTTATAAAAATAAGAGCTACCATTTATTCTGAAAGATTCGCGAAGAATCATCATCATGGTGAACTGCACATTTGGCCGCAATCTCAGTAGCAAAGAGAATTGCACGAATATCACTCAGTTTGTTGGATCAATGGAAGCAGAAGACACAAGTAATTTATCATTAATGTTTCAAATGTTAGTTGCAGCTGCAATATGTCTGCTGAATCTTTTAGTTGTAATGTCGATTGTCCGCAATAAAAAATTGCAGTCAGTTTCAAACATATTCCGTGGATATCTTGCTTTAAATGACACCATATTTGGAGCTACGATTGTTGTACGAGGACTATTACAACTAACTGGAACATTAAGCAAGACAATACCATGTATAATACTGAATATTTTAACAAGTATATCAGCTGGTGTAACAATGACGGGTGTACTTCTATTGTGGATTGAAATTTATTTAACCATAAGACGAGTCTCGATAAAGGGGGCAATTAGCAAGAAAAAGGCTTTTAGTCTTATAGTGCTGACTGAAATTGTATGGACAGTGTACTTTTGCAGCTTTCCTTTGTTCCATAATAACAAACGCACAGACAAAACGTGCCATGTGAGCAATGGCCTTATTCACAAGAATCATTTGATAGGACTGTGCATAATTATGTTCTTGCACTTTATTGCACTCGTTGGAATACAATGTTTAACATTCTGGAACCTTCGCAAACATATTGCAAATCTTAAAGAGCTTGGCATGATGACACCAAAAGCACCCTTGAACAATGACCAGAATGTGAAGAATATAAATCAAAGAATCACAGTAATGGAGAATCCAGCATATTCCAATCCATCTCCGGGAATCTTCACCCAGGAGTGTTCTGATGGTGAGTTAAAGTCATCCGTGGCAACTCCATCGACAGAGCGACAAATTGAGGTGCAAAATTATGAAGTAAAAAATAACATGTTGTATTATCAATGGTCATTGCGCATAACAAGAATTGCTAAGCTTATAAGTTTCATTTTTCTATCTTTTGCCATATGCTACACTCCATTCATGGTTTGTGTGTTTCTGTACGCAATCCATCCTGGGCAGTATGTCAGTTCACAAATTAACTATATAGCTGGTACCATTTTAACTTTTAACTCATTAACCAACGTTGTTATTTATCTAATTAGAAGCAAGGAGTACAGGAAGGCATTTAAGCACATCCTCACATGTAAGCGGGGTATGGTACCCATATGATTCTTCTCATGCACAGTTCAGAATCACCATTTCAAATCAAACTTCATTAACAGTCCATATGTTTTGACATGCGCAAAGCTCTATTAAAGGCACACTATACTTAATTTAGAAGGAAAAAAAATTATTGAAACATGTTACTCACACCCCTGCTCAAATATGACACAAAGTTTGATTTCCTTTAATATTGAACCATGAAAAAAATAGCTCCCATAGAAAAAAGCATTTGAAGTTCAGAGATCATTAGACATGCATGCACATGTTTTAACAAAGTGCATGTTTTAAATTATTATTGATTTAAAAGATGTGACACTTCTATAAAAATGAATGTATCATGCAATACAAACAACTTTGCCATCTTTCAATGACATTGATTAAAACTTGATATACAAATATAAAGCTTGACAGATCAAAAAAAAATTTTGATAATTTATTGTGAGCTTTGATGTGGTCCATTTGAGCTGCTGCTGGTGTCAAAAGAAAGATAAGGATCTTATCAATACATTGGACATACTATGAATTTTAAATGTCTTTATTTTGCCCAAAAATGTTGAAAATTCCCAAAGTGGGCCTTTAAGTGATATTTTCATTTTAAATATGGAGGTCATTCCGATGTCTGACAACCCTTACAAAAAATCTAGGCAGGTTACACTTCTACCTTTTGTGAAATAACAATTAGAATTGCGTGGTCGTTTTGTGTTTTTTATCATTGTGGATCGTAATTCTATGTGTTGTGGTGTTAAAAACATCAGCAGAAACTTGATCCATTTGATAATTGAGTGAATTAGGTTACAGATTTTTCAAAAAACCGTCTCTTGCTAAGGATAGATAGACTTGTACATGGGCTTTCAAGAGAAAAGCCTATGACTTGTACTCAAATTCTGTGCACCTTAAAGGGTTCCGATAAGCTTCCCCTATAAAAACAATATGGCGGCTCCAGGCGAGTCAACTGGATCAGTCTATTTTTAAGAAATAAGGGAATTTTCGTAAAATCCAGTTTATTGAAATTGTCTTGGAGATAAAGTAATCCATTTATAATGATTCTGAAAACATTATTGAGAGAGTTGTTGTTCGAAGAATGCACGTACCACAGCCAATATAAATCCTTGTATTAGAACTGCTTTGTTTCATTTGGAGGATATTGCATGTGCCAACCTGCAGTGTACTAATACATTATGGAGAAATTTAGATATCATTTTTTCCTTATTATACACATGCAAATAGAAGATCTCGAAACTTCACCCATAAAGGTGAAATTGATTTTTCAAAATAAAAATCTCCCCTTTATAAATGTGTGACGATCCATAATATACTTATGCTATAAAACAGTTAGAATTGTTGACACAACGACCTCGATTTTTAGTATAGATAAAGTATTTTGGGATCTTTTGAATGAGGCAAGTCTCTAATTGGAGAGGCAATCATGTCAACTTGAACAAAAGTTGAGTTTTGAAGAAAAATTGTAACATGCGCAGACAACCCATTTTCGTAATACCTTATTGGCAGTTCAGTTTCATAAACCAAAGAAGCAAAAAGTTTCTTTTTCCAGTTCTAGACCATTCCGGGGCATCTAGGCTTAGTACAGTGTATGTAAGAGATGTTATCAGTTGTGGAAAAATAATGTTAATAGTTGTTGTAGAAAAATGATCTCAATAGTTGTTGAAAATGATGTTAACAGTTGTGAAAAATGATCTTAACAGTTGTGGAAAAATTATGTTAATAGTTGTTGAAAATGATGTTAATAGTTGTGAAGCAAATTATGTTAACACTTTTGGAAAATGTTGTTAAAAGTTGTAGAAAAAATGATGTTAACAGTTGTGGGGAAATGATTTTAACCACTGTAGAAAAATGATGTTAATAATTGTGGAAAATGGTGATAACAGTTGTGAAAAAATAATTGTTCATAGTTGCTGAAAAATGATGTTAACAGTTGTGGGAAAATGATATTAACCTTTGCAGAAAAATGATGTTAATAATTGTGGAAAAACGATGTTAACCATAGAAGAAAAATGATGTTAACAGTTGTGGAAAAATGATGTTAACCATTGAAGAAAATGATGTTAATAGTCTTTGAGAAATGCTGTTAACAGTTGTGGAAAAATGATGTTAATAGTTGTCAAAAAATGATGTTAACAGTTGTGAAAAATGATGGTTACAGTTGTAAAACAAATGATGTTAAAGTTGTAAAAATGATGTTACCAGTTGTGAAACAATGATGTTACCAGTTGTGGCAAAATAAGGTAAATTTCGTGATTAAGTACACAGGATTTGCAATCAATTCAGTTTTGATCGTATTTTCAGAGTGTTTATTGAATGATATGTCTACAACAATTATGTTATGTATTGTATGTATCAAGTGTAATGTAAACTCATTAAAATTAAAACAAAAACTTACAAAGAGGATTGGCTCCTATGATCGAAACTCACTATTTTCCAACAATGAAAATGTTGAAATGTCATTATTTTCTGAAGATAAAATAGACTATAAATTCAAAATAAACGGTTCAAATGATTCGAACCAATTTCTTGATCATTTCTTCTGAGTTTTGGAATTTTTTGTTAGAAAATTAGACCAAAATTCACGATTCAAATGTTGAAGTGAACAAAATGGCGGCTGTTTGAATTCGAATTTTGTATCACGATATTCTCATATATGGGAGAGAATATCAATGTTGCACTCTAGGAGCCAATCCACTTTGAAAAACTTAGTTGCATTTGGACGTGAGAGTAGGCTTGGGATTATATGATATATATTATATTATATGATATTATGCAGTTTATTGTCATCACCATAGAAACAAAAAAATAAATCTCTAGATTGTACTGAACATTTTGTTTCTGCAGTTTCTATTCAAAATATTTTGGACATTGTTTAAGTATTGTGAGTGCAGATAAAAATATTGGCAATTAAAATTATAACCCCTTCATTTATTGCACTCTTGGATACTATAAGTTATCACACGTTTCATGTGCATATGATATAGGAAATATATAACAAAAGGTAACACTGTATCATTAACGAAAGTAAAACTTGAGTGATACATTGTTACCTGAGTGGAATATTTCCTGTAGAATATATTGTCTTTATCCTTTGCCCTTAAAGATGCAATAAAGATTAGAGCTGAGCTTAACTTTCAAAAATTGTGATACTTTTGCTCTCAACATATCAGGTGATATGTCCAAAAGTTCTAACTTTATTTAATAATCCTTTGATTTTTAAAGTCATCTGGTAAAAAAAGTTAAAAGGGATCCCATTTTAATGTTACATCTTGAAGAAATTAATGAAGTAATAATCATGTTCAACAAATAATAATCAAAAACTTTCTTATGTCCTGTTATTACCTTTTGGGTGGTAGAATATAATGTCTTACCAGGATCTATCCATCTTTCTGACATTTTAAATTATTTCTTCAATTTATGGAAAAATGCTACAGATGTCAACCTTCAACTTGTCTGGAATAGTTTCTAGGCAAAGTTGAACTTGGTTGAAAAAATTCTACTCAGTTTGCACTTTGTGTCCCCATCCTTCAACGCAGACTTTCTGAAAAATGGCTGCATCGAATGACACCTTTTTCAATTCAACTCACTATGAATGTGACCATTATTTTTTCATTGTGTTTTAGTGTAAACCATATGTGGCCAATAAATCGCTGTTAACCCCCCTTAATGTACACTTTATGTAACCATTATATGCTCAGTGTACACTTTATGTGACCATTACCTTCCTCAGTGTACACTTTATGTAACCATTACCTCCCTCAGTGTACACTTTATGTGGCCATTACCTCCCTCAGTGTACACTTTATGTGGCCATTACCTCCCTCAGTGTACACTTTATGTAACCATTACCTCCCTCAGTATACACTTAATGTAACCATTACCTCCCTCAGTGAGCACTTAATGTAACCATTACCTCCCTCAGTGAGCACTTTATGTAACCATTACCTCCCTTAGTGTACACTTTATGGTGTACACTTTATGTGACCATTACCTTCCTCAGTGTACACTTTATGTAACCATTACCTCCCTCAGTATACATTTTATGTAACCATTACCTCCCTCAGTATACACTTTATGTAACCATTACCTCCCTCAGTATACATTTTATGTAACCATTACCTCCCTCAGTGTACACTTTATGTGACCATGACATTCCTCAGTGTACACTTTGTGTAACCATTGCCTTCCTCAGTATACACTTTATGTGACCATTACATTCCTCGGTGTACACTTTATGTGACCATTACATTCCTCAGTGTACATTTTATGTAACCATTACCTCCCTCAGTGTACACTTTATGTAACCATAACATTCCTCAGTGTACACTTTGTGTAACCATTGCCTTCCTCAGTATACACTTTATGTGACCATTACAATCCTCAGTGTACACTTTATGTGACCATTACATTCCTCAGTGTACACTTTATGTAACCATTACCTCCCTCAGTGAACACTTTATGTAACCATTACCTCTCTTAGTGTACACTTACCATTGCCTCCCTTAGTGTACACTTTATGGTGTACATTTTATGTAACCATTACCTCCCTCAGTGTACACTTTATGTGACCATGACATTCCTCAGTGTACACTTTGTGTAACCATTGCCTTCCTCAGTATACACTTTATGTGACCATTACATTCCTCGGTGTACACTTTATGTGACCATAACATTCATCAGTGTACACTTTATGTAACCATTAACTCCCTCAGTATACATTTTATGTCACCATTACCTCCCTCAGTGTACACTTTGTGTAACACTTGCCTTCCTCAGTATACACTTTATGTGACCATAACATTCATCAGTGTACACTTTATGTAACCATTACCTCCCTCAGTGTACATTTATGTCACCATTACCTCCCTCAGTGTACACTTTGTGTAACCATTGCCTTCCTCAGTATACACTTTATGTAACCATTACCTCCCTCAGTGTACACTTTATGTGACCATTACCTCCCTTAGTGTACACTTTATGTGACCATTAACTCCCTCAGTATACACTTAATGTAACCATTACCTTCCTCAGTGAACACTTTATGTAACCATTACCTCCCTCAGTGTACACTTTATGTGACCATTACCTCCCTTAGTGTACACTTTATGTGACCATTAACTCCCTCAGTGTACACTTTATGTAACCTTCCTCTGTATATTGTTTAATTATATTACAATGACATTTCCAGCTTGTAATCCTGGAGATGAATAGACTTGGAATGCTGGTTGATTTGTCCCATGTCTCTAAAGCTACCATGGAGGATGCACTAAGAGTCACTAAGGCACCAGTCATCTACAGCCATACTTCTGCATATACCATATGTAACCATTACAGGAATGTACAGGATGACGTCCTCCAGTTAACAGTGAGTTTTGAAGTTTTATATTTTATAGCTTTATTCAATATCCAGTCAGCAATGGTCTGCAACTTTTTGAAAATTGAAATTTGAAAGAGTGGAAATCTTGGATCCATTTTTCAAAAAAAATTCTCTAATTTTTTCCTTAAAACTAAATCGCATTTTCTGAAAGAAAAGAATTGATGTATTTGATCAATATATAGTATGTTATATGAATCCTTAAATGCCTCCCAAGTTCTTAATTTATAATATTTTGTTCAACTTGCAATAGAAAAGTTGGTCATGCAGAAAAGGAATTAATTGCTTTTTAAAATTGAAAAAGTGGCGAGTATGTAAAATTAAATTTGGCATGTTGCTAACAAGGTGAGAAATTTCTTTAAAAATTGCCCTGTGAGTACAAGAATGTATATATTTATTTCAGAAAGAAAACAATGGTGTTGTCATGGTGAACTTCTATGATAAGTACATCAACTGTCCACCAGGGAACACCACAAATGCTACACTCTCTCAAGTTGCAGGTAGGTTGTCTGAAAGCTATTTCTCAAACACTTTCTGAATTATAATTTCATTACTGATCTATGACAGGTCCATAGCCAGGGGGAGGGGCCAAAAGATCTTTCAAAATCATGCAGTTCTTCACAATTTTCAATTTTCATGTGATTTTGGGCCAAATCCCCTCCTGAAATTTTTCTGAAAAGTTAACCCCCATTGGCAAAAGCTGGCTACGGGCCTGAGTTAAGACAAGATTGACTTGAAAATTCATACACTGTGGTAACCTATAGAGATGCCACAAGACCACAAAGATTTTGGACAATACAGAATAGAATTTTATTAGTACTGATGCCATTTTAGGGCCAAACGTACATCCGATATACAATTTTCAATAACAGTAAATATAGCAATAAAGTAAAGAAAATAGGATTACACTCTTCAAATGACATATAACCATGATACATGTAACCATGGCAACGAATTATGGTGATTATAACTTCAGTGGTAGCCTATACATCATGGTTGGATTGACTTCAAAATACAATAAACACTTATAGAGGTGTCACAAAACCATAAATATTTTAGAAAATATTATGTTACCATGGCAATGAACTATGGGAATGATAATTTGCAAAGTCTTGGTTAGATTGTCTTGAAATTCATATTGTGATCTGATCACATATATGTGTGAGTGTTTAGGCAGTACATATATTTATTAATATGGCAGAAAATCTGACATCTGACATTTTTACATTGTTGTAACTTGAGAAATCATGGCAAAAATTGACTTTGAAATCACACAGGTCCATAACCAGGGGGGTTCGATGGGTTCGCGCGAACCCCGCTGTCCAAAATTCTTTCAAAATCATGCAGTTTTTCACCATTTTTGATTTTGGCAATTGTATGTGGAACCCCAACTGTTCTGGATTATCGCACAACTATTCTGACTTGCCATATATGGATAGCCCAGAACAGTTGGGTTTCCACAGGAGAATTTTAAACATCTTAAGATTTCAAGCAATATTGGTTACCATGGCCAGGAATTGAGCAACTTACACATGGACAACATTTCTCTCTCTAATACTGTGTGCAACTACGTTGTGACATTTTCTCATGTAAACGTCTTGTCTGACTATCTTTGAAACAAAGGAAGGGAAGATGAGATATGCAGAATGTTTTGTCACATGGTACTACATTAACCAATCATAATACTGGGATACTAACAAATGATTTACACATAGAATTTATTTTCAAACTTTGAGATTTTAATTGATTATTTTTTATACATGACAGATCACATAGACCACATCAAGGACCTGATAGGAGCTGATTATGTTGGGATTGGTGCTGATTATGATGGTGTTGCTACGTAAGTGGATTTTATTTAAAATAGAAACATGGTCAATAGAAAGATGGCAGTGCAAGAGAATGCATATTTATACAGGGTGACCCAAAAAATTGTACAGAGTCAAACATGGAATAATTGTGAGTAATGAAGGAATATTCTTCAAATTTGGTAATCTGGTGGACAATTTAATAGTCATAAAGATCTGGAAGTACCACCAGGTAACTCTGTTTTTTGGGACACCCAGTATATAGCCATCTTGTTGTCAACTGGTAGTCATGATGAAACCACTGTTTATTAGTTGATTCATAATATCACACACTCCTCCATCATAGGTTAAGGAACCTGGTGCAGGCCACAATGTTTCAAAACATACATGTACTTGGAGGTTTTTCAAATATGGCAACATGAGTATGACATTTTTACACAAAAACAATACTGAATCGGCTAAAGGGCTACAGATATAATTTTAGTGCAATCAATCTGTTTCACATATCTTCATTTTAGAAGAGAGAATATAATTGATTTCTACCTCTGCTGCCATCTTTATATATTGGCCTAAAACCTATGACAAAAACTACCATTGACCTACCTCACCTCCTATCCAATGGCATGGTTTACTGCAATGTTGTTTTTTATTATTCAGATTGCCTCAGGGACTTGAAGATGTGTCGACCTACCCAGAGATGTTCGCTGAATTGATAGATCGCGGATGGACAGATGAGGACTTGATCAAACTGGCAGGTGGCAACTTGCTGCGTGTCTTCAGAGCTGCAGAGGAGGTAACAGAAAACCACTTGGTGGACATTTTGAATTTTTTATTACAAAGTGTGATATACTTGCTGTTTGGGGGAGGAAGAAAGGTTCCAATCTGAAAAGTCATATCAACATACTTTGGGGACAAAATCATAGTATTGACCTTGTACCTATAAGACACATGTATTGTTTCAGTCATAGGTTTCATGCCAATATAAAGATGCAAGTAATGTAGTTATCGTATTAATGAAAACAAGAATGAATAAAATTCTGTGCTAAGGCCCTTACTATGAAGCTACAGTATATAAGCATTATATAAGGATCTATAAACAGGCTGACTTCACTGCCATCTATTCATTTTATTCTATCACCCTTGGTTTCAGGTTAGCAAGCAGATGGCAGCTGATGGTGTCCCACCCTATGAGGAACTCATTGATGAGTCAACATTGAAGAATAAGTCCTGCAGATGGGAAGGCTATTAAACCTATGAGGCCTCAAGGAGGTTGTGTGACCTCTCTTCGTATGATATGACTGAAATGAAGTTAAAGGGGGTGGCTGAGTATTTAAGCTCAGATTCAGTTAGAAATGGAGTCATTAGTAAACCATTAAATTTGAAAATAACTGAAACTGCTTGCTCTGACATTAAATTTGCCTTTTCCTATAGAATTAATGATTAGATTGCTACAAAATTTGTCACATTTGTGTATGAATATACTATCTTCGAATAAATGTACTTATTTCAATCAGAGATATCTTGAAAACACATTAAATCTTCATTTTTTAAACTGCTAATGGGAGGAGTTAAAAATTCAAAGTACAGCCAATCGGCATTGCAGAAATTAGTCACATGATACATATAAACAAAGGGACATGGCTGAATGTAAATAGAGAACAATGTTTTCTTCTTACCAAACATGTGTAGTATTCATCAATCCAATAACTTAATCAAACAATGCCAGTGAGTATATATTCCTTTGATTTTAAATGATATTGTTTTCTTTTTTCATATAAGGTCATTTGCATGAGTTTATTGATAATCCTTGAATATGTTCCGTGTTTTGTTTTATACAATATGTTGGTGCTAATAATTGACCTTTTCTCAACATTGTGTATCAAATGCATTTGTATAAGTCACGAAACTGATATTGCTTAGTTTGCATTTTAATCCCACCAAGCTTATTATAAAGTCTCTGCTTTATAAATCGTCTCCTAGAAGTTCTACTTTGAATAATAACTTTCTGTTTACTTTTATTTGCTAGTGGTTGAGACATGATGTAGTTGATTTGAGAACTGACATATAAAAGTAAAGGGAAGTAGAGACATCCCCTTATATAATTGAATTGACCATTTTAACATTTTGAAGATGACTCAAATATTCTCATTGAAAATTAGTTTACAATTTCAAACTGTATGGTTTATGAGTGATATAGGTTAGAGACCAAAACATCCTGGGTTTGGTGTCTCCTAGAAGAATATCTTTCAACAACCCCACTGTATTACCCAACTTTTCCTGATTTTGAACATTTAGCATGATTCTGGTTGTCCTGTGTTTGCTTTCATTTCTCTTGATGAAAGGAACATTACATTTCCAGACATTACCCTTGATTTGGGGGATTGTAGGAAACATGTCGGTATCTCAGGATTGGTTCATACCATGCTCTATAATTTATTTGGCAAATTTTTGAGAAGTTCCCTATCAACTTCTGCTGAACTATCCTAAACCAATTGCTAATGACACTCTTCAAGTAGATCCTGATTCTTTAGACACTCAAAGGGGTCATTAGTAAAGTTGTGCTCATCATTTATGGTAGAATAAGAAGATAACAAATTATGGACGTCTTGAAATTATTTGGATAATTAAAAGAATAAAGAAAACTATATCTCAGATGGCTATCTGTAAATAATAATAGTGGTTAAACTAACACCCAATTGTCATTCATAAACAAGTACCCTACAAGATACAAAACCCCGCCAAATATACCATGTGCATAGCTCATTATGTTCAGTAAACACTGCAGTAATCCATATAAGGAAAGTGAGCCCATCAGTGATAGGCTAATCCTTAATGTTTAATTATGTAATTTTTATCAGCTATCTAATTTCCTTAATGGGCTGCAGGGGGGTACTCGAGCACGGTCTTTAAGGACCAGTTGTTTCCTGATGCATGCTTAATATGCAACAATTAAGGACCAGTTCTTGTTCTTTTCTGATACATCTTGATAATGCAACTTTTGGGATCATTTGTTATATAATGTCTGTTGCCTGTTGAATACATCAGCAGTGTATCTCTGGTTATAATGTTATTTTCAGGTTAATTATGAGAACATCAGGATTTAATCTGTTTTGATATTTTCTGTTACATGCTGAAAAATAAGGACCAATTGTTAATATTATATTATTTATCAACACACTGGAGAACTCCATAATTAAGGACCAGTTGCTATGTTTTTCCAATACATATTGAAAAATCATGGGGGTTTTAACTGAACATTTTGATTGTTAATTAGGCTACCCTTGAAATAAATAATTTAGTTTTAGTTGTTTGTTAAATTCTTATGGCACAAAAATATACAGTGTAGGTGGAATTTGGTATGCTGATCAAATATGTCCGGGCTACTATATATATACCAAATTTTAACTTTTATAATGTCCTCACTAAGATAATTTTTAAAGTATAAGACTGATGAAATTATAGTCTTAATTTTCTTGTGACAGGCATTTGACATCATCAGCTTTCTAACCATTTGCAAGACTTAACCTTAATAAGTGGTGACATTTTGTCATGTTTAATGCCCTGTTTTATGTTGTACTTAATTTTGTACATGTAGATGTAAATTTGTATTTTATTCTGCCACTATACAATTCTACATACATCATTATACTTATATATATTTTAGGCTGTTATAAGATTACAGTAGTGTAATTCATACATGTATGTATTAAGTATCTTTCTTAATGATATATTAACAGGTTGATTGCACCGCCATATATTATGTTTTTGTAATATATTGTTTCAGTTAGAGTAGAGCAATAGCATTTTTGATTGTAATGACACACTACATCATTTATATTCTAATTTTGCACCAAAATTGATAGAATAAATTCCATCATTTTAAATAGAATATTGATAAGTATTACGATGTTTTACTGATTTACATTAAATCCTTCATTGCCTTCTTTTAATAGACCAGATAATAGTAGCAGTGTTTTGTTGGTTCTAAAAGGTATTGCTGGATATACAGGGTGGGCCAAAAAACAATACCCAAGATTAAAGATGAATGATTCATATGATATATGTTAAACCATGCCATGTATTATATATAATTGACACCATCTGATCGAAAAACCGTTGATTTTTGTGGAGTAAGAGACTAAAATTGACACCAGGGGTGCCGTGACGGACCAAAAATCAAAATCTGAAGATTCCCTAATTTCCCTCCATATTGCAGTCACGGCTGCACTAGATATCCTTGACTGAATCATCATAGATTTATTTAAGAGTATTAAACAATTGTTAAGTATTATTGCTGAATTTTGCACTATTTGGAAATCAGCAGTGAATAATTTTTGGGTTGCTCATGACACCCCTGGTGTCAATTTTAGCCTCTAACTCCACATAAAACAATAGTTTTTCAATCAGATGGTGTCATGTTGTCAGGAAATGATTTATCTTTAAAATGATATATAATACATGGCATGGTTTAACCTTATATCATATGATATTCATCCTTAAACTTGGGTATTGTTTTTTGGCCCACCCTGTATATATAAAAAGTATAACTCTTTATTTTATTTCAAGCTGGTTAATGTTTAAACTTTTTTTGAATACAACTGGATGAACTTGTTAAAATGCCCATCATGGTTAAACCTTAACAATGTGATTTCTGATTTAACTCAATTTTTGCCTCAAATTTTTTAACTTGAAAATAGAAGTGTAGTCTGATTTGAAAGCTTTTATATATTGAAGTAGTTAATTTGAAGTGGATGAAGTGAACACACTCTTTGAACATGCATCATTTAAATGTTATTTATTATGTTTTTGAAAACATAGAAAGCACATATTTCCTCATACTTACTTTAAGTAGTGATTCTATTTTCAAGAGAGTGTGACAAAATATTAAATTAATGAAATCAATCTTTAGAAATTTATAAAATTAACTTTTTTTTTCAAAGTAAAGGTATTTTTGGATTGCGTTGAAATCTTTTGTTTGGGTTTTTATCTCTAAACATTTTTTATCATCTTCAAGTCTTATCAAATCATACATATATTGAGTGATACTTGCTTCGGTTAGATTTTAAGTTCAATCACATGCAGCTTTTGAGCTCACTGATTGGTCAATTTGTATCACATGTCCAGTTTTTTGTGAGGAAATTTTATTGGACTGCATTTTTACACTAAGTTATTGCTGTATATAAATCAATCAAAATGTAGTGATCGATTTATGATTGCAACCTTTTTATACTTTGAAACTTATTAAAAAGAACATAAATAACTCACATTTCAACAGTTATTTATGTTTAAAGTATATATTTTTTGAAATAATCAAAAAAGGATCAGGATTACCTCTTGCATTATGCAATCTGCAATTGAGAAGGTAAGAATTCAATTTATCTGTTATTTTTCAATCTTCCAGGCCAGTATTTGACGTTCATTTACTAAAATAATTACAACTGATATAAAGTATGACATATGTAAATGCAAGAAATGATCACCTCTGCTGTTAATTTGTTAAACATGCTATGATGTAAGACATCTTATGATAATTGTGATAATAAATGCTGTGAAAATGATGCTTTTACCTTAGTATATTCATTATCTGATATGTGGAGTGGAACATTATGAGTGAAATATTAGAGAGATGGTAAAGTAGTGGCACTCCCCTCAAAAAGTTTGGCAACATCATCATAGCATCATAGCTACTGAACTAAATGTGTATGCTTGGTGACTTGAAAATATGTCATGAATATCCAACCTAATATAGTTGAGAAAAAATTATCAAGAAGGCCTATTCAATGGGAAATCAGGGTTTCCAAACTTTTTGAGGGAGTGCACATAATACATCAATTTGAAAGTCTTCAAATTGCTCATCTTTATTTGTAAACCCCCACCAATAAATACGATTAGAGATAAAATCCAAGTGTGTTAAATATACCATATATACACCATATATATCCATATACACCATATACTTGTATATACCATATAAAGTACCTTTATCTAATAACTTCATTGTAGATCAAAGAGAAAAGGTCCAGTATTGCTGTAACAATAGGTATTGTTGCCGGGGTGATTGTTGTCGCTATCCTTATTGTTGTTGGTGTTGTCATAGCGAGGCGGGGCAAAGGACCTGCTGCACCCCTGACCCCACTAGAGAGAGCCAGCAAGGTGCTGAAACGATATCCTCTTATTGATGGGTAAATAATATTTAAGACAATATATATCGTAGTTGTACCACAAAAATTACATTTATTTTCTTAGGGAGAGGGTGTAAAAGTCCAATATGTTTTGTATATTAATATTTTTGAAAGGAAGTGGCTTTTTAATAAAAGACAATTAATTTATGTTCAATAAAAGTATAAGATAATGTATAATTTGGGACAGCATTGAATATTTTTTTATTCATATACAAACTACAGTACGTGTATTTTAGGAATTTCTGTATTTTACCATCTTGATTAAATCATCATCTTGATTACTAAAGAAATTGCTGTGTGTCAATTTGTAAATTGTACAACTTTATTAAGAGACAAAAATTTTGTATTCAAATTATTTTTTGTAAGGGACATTTCAGAAGTTTGGTTATATATACAGTCAGTATTTTTCTCAGTTGGTGACCATCCTCCTAAGGAGGTGTCCAGAATCCTTACCTTCTTCGTTCCTGGATTTTGGAGCCCTGTGCTCGGAGGATGTTGGTGACCATGTTCCGCAAAATCTTCAATTCTTTGCGACATTCAATATTCATTTTTTGAACAAAAATTCATTATATAAATAATTCCATGTTTGCAATGAATACATTCTTCGATATGTCCATGTGATATATTTACAGACACAATGATTTACCATGGCAATTCAGGAAAGTTGGAAACAATGTCACAATGTTAGATTTACGCAAGAATCTATCTGGAATCGTCCAAACAGACATTCCAAGACTTGAAGCAGGCCACGTTGGAGGACAGGTATGAATGAGTACAGGGGATTCAAAAATTGGTGAGACAAATTTTAAAAAAATAGGTGAGGTAAAACTAACGCCAAAGAAGATTTTTTGTGATATGGAGGATGTATTGTGATGTATTACTACATGCATTTGCATCAGACATTAGTAGGTACATGTACTATCAATATCTCCCACCATTTGTTAGGTGTATTTTTTGCATTTGTATATGAGGCTTTCAAACATTGTTCATTTGTAGATTAAATGTATACCTTTTTAACTCAATCCTAAAACTAGATTTTATATTTCAGTTTTGGGCCTCTTTCATCAATTGCCGTAATCAGTACAAAGATGCTGTGAGGGGCTTCCTTGAGCAAATGGATGTCACTAAACGATTCATCGCAACCTACAGTGATAAATTCCAGTTTACCACCACTGCTCAGGGTAGGACACTGTCATTATTTGTCATCTTTGGATCTTCATATTTCTTAGCAGATAACCTCTTTGTCATCATTGATTTACATGGATCATCATTATTTGATCATTACTAACTTTTAGATCAACATAGTCCTCATTTGATCATCATAGACCTCCTTGGATCATCATTGACCTTCTTGAACTATCATTGACCTCTTTGGGTCATCATTGACTTCTTTAGATCATCATTGACCTCCTTATATCATCATTGATCTCTTTAGATCATTATTGACTTCCTTCACTGACTTCATTGGATCATCATTGAATTCCTTGGATCATCATTGACCTATTTGGACTATCATGTGTTTTCTTGTAACATTAGGGATCCTGGATGCCTTCAATGCAAACAAGGTGGCTAGTCTGATAGGAGTAGAGGGTGGACATGGGATAGACAGCAGCCTTGCGACACTGAGGATGTTCTATGACCTTGGGGTCAGATATATAACCTTGACACACTCCTGTAACACTCCCTGGTAAGGAGACATCTATGTACACTTATGTCTGTTCCTTTATTTCCATCTTTCAGATTTGTGTGATGAACAATTTGAAATTTCTTTTAGTTCAGTGTTGCTCTAAAAATATTGATCATGTGACTTGATTATTTTCAGGGCTGATTCATCTGCTCAAGACTATAAATCATTTGACCCTGCCAGGCCAGGTATCAATGCATTTGGAGAGGTAGGTACAAAGGTGCACCTTGAACAAGGGGTCCAAATATTGTTTTGATGATCCTTTTACCTCCTCATTTGTAAATGTTGGCCCATAATTTTCCCAAAATTAGACAAAATCTCTCTGAAATTAGGCCTATTTTTGAACATGAGGCAAACTATCTGGGCAATGTTATCTTAAACAGGCAACAGGAGAAGTGAGTAGCTCCCATAATACTATCATATTCTTTCGTATTCGGGGATTCCCCTTAACCATTCTATATGGTCATACCAGCCTTATATGGATCTATCACATGGTATTCAAAATGGCGGACAACGGTCAGTTGGATTCCTATATGGTCATGTAAGCCTTATATGGATCTAGCACATGGGTACCACTTGATCGAATACGAAGGCTGAACTTTGGGAGATTTCCCCCCCTGAACAGGCAATAAAGGATGGAGACAATTTGAGGAAAACTTACTGGGGCTAACTTTTGAAGAATTTATGTTTTTTATACTATTGATTTTAATTAAGGCTGGATTAAGATATATTCACCATGCGTCTTGTTTTTCAGAAAGTAATCCATGAAATGAACAGACTTGGTATGTTGGTGGACCTCTCCCATGTTTCCAAGCAGACCATGTTACGCGTTCTGAATGTTACAAAAGCACCAATCATATTCTCTCATTCCTCAGCTTACGCCCTCTGTCACCACACACGAAATGTACAGGATGATGTATTGGAATTAACTGTAAGTTATACAGGGGGATATTTTGTTTACACTCTGAATCTCAATTAACCACATTACCCTCTGACTATTACAGAAGATTTTAAAGTTTTGATGCTGGTAAGATTTTAATTATCTCAACTTAATGTTTATGTCACCACCAGAAGAGATGACATATTGTTAAGATCCAACTTTTTTGTGGATGGTGTTTGGTGGTTGATGTTTGTCATTCAGCTGTTGGTGTTCGGTGGTTCGTGTCTGAAGCTATTAGCAGGTGGTGACATTTTGCATATTAATGGCTTGTTTAAAAAAATTATGAGAGTTTGTTGATCATGAATATAATGTGAATATAAGTATACTATAGGCAGAAACTGTAGTTCTCCCTTTTTTGGTATTAAACAAAAGGTTACCTCTTATTTATGTAGAGCAAAGTTGCATATGAATCTTCCAAATGGTATTATGTTCAATTATAGCTTCTCATAAATAGATGCAAATAAATATACAGTAAAATCTGTATATATGAACACCTCTCAATATGAACAGTTTCTCTCAGTCTCAGTCCCAATTTTGTCATGTCCATTTGAGTCCCTTGTTGAAGAAACCTGCTATTTACTAACACATTTGGCTCAACTGTGAGTAGCATTCATATTAGATGGGCTTTACTGTATATAATATGTGGATTTAGTCTGTATCATTAAAATGTAATCCAACATAGAATTTAATCAATGTATCTTGCATCTAGGTAAAAATGTGGTTCACCTTGCTTGATCATCCTTATTAAATATCTTGACTTAATTTATCTTATTTTCTTTCAGAAACAAAATGGTGGCATTGTCATGGTGACTTTTGTTCCAATTTTCATCAATTGCCCACCTAGTAACCAGAGTGTAGCAGTACTATCACAAGTGTCAGACCATATAGACTATATCAAAAATAAGATAGGAGTAGACTATGTTGGAATAGGAGGCGATTATGATGGGGTATCGAGGTATTTACAATGAAACGTGTATATTTGAACACCTATCTAGTCTGAACACCTATCTAGTCTGAACACCTCTCAATTTGTAAACTTTTTCTCAGACCCAATTTTTACCCAATTTTGACTCATGTATTTAGGTCCCATTGACTAAACCTTGAAGTGTGAGCACATACTAATCTGAACACTATTTGCTAGCCCCAGTGGCATTCGTATTAGACTGGTTTTACTGTATTTGGCATTCTGGTGCTCGAACCAATTTTTAATTCTTAAAATTCTTAGTTTATACACTTACCAGTATATATATAAGAAGTCTTGCATCAATTCTCTGCATCCCCCTCCCCTCTTAACTACTACACATCAATAAAGTGAAGAATGAATGGGGAGGGGGTGTTGCTTTCAGGCTTAGGACTTACAGCAACAAGAGTAGTACAAAAGCATGTGTCACCACCAGAACTGAAGTGTTGACATATTGTTATAGTCTGTAACTTTTTGTGGATGGTGTTCAGCATTCGGCAGTTGATGGTGGAAGGTGGTAGGTGTATGTAACAAATGGCAGGTGGTGACATTTTTCATATTAATGCCTTGTTTCATTTACATGGCAAATAATTGTTTTAGTTTTTTCCAGGCTTCCAGTGGGTTTGGAAGATGTCTCAAAATATCCAGATTTATTTGCTGATCTGATTGAAAGAAAGAATTGGAGTGATGAAGACTTGGAGAAATTAGCTGGTCGCAATATCATGAGAGTATTTCGTAAAGTAGAGCAGGTTAGTGGATTACCATTCATAACATATGTTATAGTACAAGTCCTGGATTAAGAAATAAATTATTTTTTGGACTAAAATAGTGTTAAACAATTGCTTGGATTGTGCCATCTGCCTCTTTGGACCTTTTAAATATTTTATCTCTGTTTTTACATTCAATGTTTTGAGTGTAATTGATGGTTTTATTGCTTGTCAATAACATAGGACTAAGAAGAAAATATGTGGACAAATTATGGTTGATTTTCAATGCACTATCATTAATTTTTTTTCACAAAAATTCTTTTTTGCCTTCAGGTGAGAGATGACTTGAAACGACAAGGAGTAACCCCCGATCAGAGCCTCATTCCCAACTCTGACATCACAGATGTAGTCAACACAACATGTCGCATTAAGGCTCCTAGACCTTGAAATGGCATTATCTCCTATGAAATTGATGTTTTAATAGTGAATAGACAAATATATTGCATGAGTTTATATGGATGGCTAGTACAGAGACACTCTGGTTGTGTGATACAATGCGTGAATATAGAAATATATTGCTCATGTGACATTTGATGTTTCTTCACAAAGATCTTTCAGGATGAAAAGCAACATGAAACAGTCAATTTGACCAAAAGGCGTCAATTTAATTTGAATTATTGTAGCTAAATTAATTGATGCTATTTAATATTTGCAGGATTTGCTCAATTTCAAATGATGGCGGCTATTTAATTTTGCAGATTCAGGATTGAGTTTTATCATTGATTGGAAAATAAGCATTTCAGATTCATGTGTACTATACTTATACAGTAAGTCTTGGTACACATAGCACTGACATCCAAATGGAAATAGCTTATTTACACAAGTGAAATTTATAAGTTTCAGGGATTTGGGGATTTTCCAAAATAGATCTGTAATTTGGCGGATTTTTTCAATCTGCCAAATTAAAAGGGGAGCCAATTAAATTATGCATGTGTATCTATTGTAGTAATGAATGTATTTTAAATTTGGTGTATCATTTATATCAGAAATTTGAAAACTAAAACTCATTGTGGTAATTAATACTAGTAATATGCAATACGCACATGCAATGTGATGTTATTCTACATGTAGGTACACACTACTTACCTGTTCATATACATGAGGCTATGGACAAATAAATTGCAATATTTTGTTCAAGTGAAGGGTTCAGGCCCAGATTGACTAGTAATATTGTTTCATGAAACAGCTTAACATCATCTAATACATATCCAAAAAAATTACGAATATCGATAACTTAAAGGTAAAATATTTTAAAAGCTGAAGTTATTTGAGACAATTGAGAATAAATTTTCTTGGCCATTTTAATAGTTAGGTTGCTCAAAATGTTTGCTCAAAAATTAAAACATTTCACTTTACAAACAGTTTAATGTTAATGCAATGTTTTTGTGAGTGAAATGTCAAAAATGGGAGCTTTATAAACTCAATTACTTGACATTTGGCAGTTGAGTATTGTTCTTGGGATTTACATTTTACATTTTAGAATGCCACATATTAAGAAAATCACAAGATCTTTTCAACTTGTCACATTCAAATATTTAAGTTTAACAGATTTGCTCAAACTAGACTTTAAAATGGGTACAGGTGTATATGTAATCACTAATTAATACTGTAAAAGCCCAAATTTTCAAGGTGCCCTAATTTTCACTATATTCGCTGAAGAGGCTAGACCGTGAAATTAAAGGCACAGTGAATATTTGATTTAACATTGAATTCAATTGGATATTTCTTCAGTGAAATTTAATGCCAATGAAACATTTCAGATTGACAAAATAGTGAATTTTTTTGGCAGTGAAAATTTGGGCTTTTACAGTAGATGGATAGACAAGTTCTTAACGTGTTAAAACATCACCACCTGGTTGCATTGCAAAAGTGCAATAATTGTTATTTGTACATGTATCAGATAATTGGAAATTACTAATGTGCCTCATCATGGACTTGAAGAATCTTCTTCATGTCCATGAAAACACAATGGTCCTTCAAAATGGTTGCTTAAAACGTTCACTATTAAATTCTCACTTGGTTTGGTTGGAGGTTGCAGTTTAAATAAGATAGAACTGGCTGTCTTGGCCTATAATAATTTCTAAATGTTCAACTAACATACAAAGGTATACTATAATTTTTCCAGAGAATAATAAAATAGTGTCATATTTGCCAGTCTTGTATTATAAATGAGGGTAGTAAGGTTGGTTGGTGATATAACTTGGGATATACAACTATCAAATTAAAGCAAGAAACAATGGCTCCTCAAGGACACTAGTATTTATATGTAAACAAATGCTATGAATGTTGGTTTCTTCTATGTCATTTTGAGCACTATGAATAAACACACCTATCATGCAACATAAAATAGAATTTCTGTTATCTTAAAATAACTAGTAAATGGTTTATTTACATATTAACATTGTACATACAAAGATACAATAAATGACTAATAAACATTGACATTGATATGAAAATGATATTTTACAGTGAAAATTGACATGACAAATAAACCATTATTGCAACTGCCCTCAGCTTTAGAGCAGACGGATTTCAAATCTGGTACCATTCCCATAATCCTTTTCACCAGGATAACAATGCTGCTTAAAAGCATGGAAACACTGTTGCTGAAAATGGTATCAGATTATTTTAACGTCCATGACACTGAGGTTCATTTCACTGCATGTTTAACATTATGCAGAGTATTAAATACTAAAGGAAATATTAACTTCAATGATTTAACAAATTTATAAGTCATATGGATTGAAAAAATGTCTGAAAATTGACTTCATTCCGGATTTGAAATCAAGATTCATATTCTAGGTATTTTTTCTAATCTCGTAATATTATCGAAGGCACACTCCTGTTTATGAGACAAGAGATTGTTTGTTACGTCTTATGATTGTGATAACTATTTCAAACCCTCCCCCTCTTACATTACCAACTACAGTCTAGGCATATCATAAAAGAGCCTGAAATTTATAAATTTACATTTTCCAAGTTACTTTATGTTATGCCATGACTAAAAAATGTTTGCACCATATTTTTGAGACATTGTCATGATTAGTCTATGACTGGTTGGTTGTATAGCCTCGTGTGTTTTCTAGTCTAGATTCCTTTTCCAAATTGTCATTTTATACTTTTTGTTTTTCTGAGTTGAGATAGATGGCATTTTATATATTTTTCCTGATTGTATTCACTCCCTATTTGGCCTTATTCTGTACTGGTAAATATAGTTTAAATTCTGCAGGTAGCTCATCTTCTGAGTAAAGTCTATCTGAGAAATATACACGTCGAATTCGGCAATTGGCGTGGATCTGGAATAAAAAGGATAAATCATAAGTAAAATAAAATTGAGAATTCTCCTTATTTGTCAATTCTAGTTCATTTTGAAAGATAAAAATTGTAGAAATAAAGCAAGTAGTACCATTTACTACTCCAAAATCAATAAATGTTTATTTCTTGAACTTATCAAAAATTCTTTATACCAAAGTTTTTTATTTAATAAACGTAATTGCCTCAAAGTTTTCAAATTTTATCCGTGATGAATAAGAGATTACAATGATAAAATTATTCAATACATACCTGTACTCTGAGAGTTTCTATGTAATTTGTTCCATAAGCACGTCTGGTGAAATCTGACAAGTTGAATTGGATCTGGTTCCATCCGTCATCAAGTCTCATTGGCATAGTGCAGATGAAAGGCTTTACTCTAGTTGTACTCTGATAATTGCTAGCCCTAAATCGCCTTCGCACATTTTTGTCATCTAATACCTGGAGAATTAGAAATTGAACTTATAAATATTTTGTCCATTTTTACTGGCTTGATTTTCCTAGATATCAATTATTCTTAAATATGGGTGTGTTAGCATTAAGTTTCAAGCAGAAGAGTACTATTTATTGTCATGCGCCATTTCACGTAAGAAATCAGAAATGTTTGTTCTCTTGTCCATTTGTAATAATTATGAACATTTAGTATTTAAATACTCACCTGAACTTCAAATGTGAAATATTTCTTTAAATTTTTGATGATCATTACTAAGAATGGAAGCTTGATGCCTAGTGTTTTCTTTGGATCAGCTGGACATGTGATATATGTGGTACTGAAAGCAGATAAATACATTCATAAATAAAATGAAATAAAATATATTTAAGTCGAACGTTGATCCTCTATCAGTATATGACTTAGTAACTATCTAGAATCATGTTTAAAATGTGTAATTTGAACTTATTTCATCCAATATAGACATGAATTTCTTCAAATTTGATGCTTTTGAGCATGGGCTTTTTAATATTTTTATCAATTTATCTATTATGTACTATCAAATGCAGTAGTTTAACTTACCTAACATTTGTTCCTACAATTTCTAATACTAAGGACTGGATGTCATTATCCGTGATACGTTTTATGTGACCATTTCTAACCTGGAAATAAACAAAAGAAAATAACATAAATAATTGACCTACTTTTGACAGAATAAAAATGGCTGCCATTTTGAAGAAAAATTAACACTTTATAATTGAAACCCTGACACTGCATATGATCATCACGCAATTTGTTCGAATCCCGGGTAAACTTTGGCCCATAAAGATTTCAAAATCACCCAAGATCAAAGAAATCACTCATGATTTGAACCAAATTTGACGTGTTATAAAATGGTTTTGGTTACAAACAAATCGAGCGCCAAACACGTGGTTGAATTGAACACTGGTGCAGGTGCGTATAATTGCATAGCAGAATTGCCTCATTTGGAGATACGTTTAGTGAAATAAATCTTAGAATAATGAAACAAATGTGTTGTTAATTTCAAACCGGAAGTTCAACTGGTTGCCAACGAAATTTTATAAACACAACTGTCATTTTGACGTGAATGCTCTAGATTAAGTTTCACGATACAGTTTAATTTTCAGGACTACACTAATTAAACTCTTATGTACCTAACAAATTAGATCCGTGTCAATGTAAAATTTAGCCGTCTCTGAAGCATTGTAGCGACGTGAACTCATCCCAATGTGTTTCTATGGAGAACAAAAATTCGGTAAAAATACACATCAAAACTTACTTTTTTGTCCCATATTTGTAGTGGTTTGCTGCCTATACTGTACAATATGGATAAAAATCCACTCTGGAAAGTGTTTTTGAACATTTTATATACTTTGTAAACTGTTATCCGTTATATTGTCTATTATTTTGAGGAAAATTTTTTCACAGGTCTTGCCTCTTCGCTCTCTAGTTGTCAAGTGAGTTCTGTTCTGTGTACGAAGTTACTTGAGTTGTCGTTAGGAGACGCTGTGCACTTGCGGAGTAATATTAATCGCCCGTAACAACAGTACTATTTTTCTAGATATTTGAATTAATTTACACTAAATAATGAATTTATATTTCTCTTAGACATTTAAAAATACATCAAAGATACTTTTGAGTACACAATGTTGTTATGTATAAGTTGAAGACTTTTTATTCAAAGAACTATATGGCGGAAGATTATTTTGCCGTTTCATTAGCACACTTCCTGGTTTACGCGCCATCTTTTATGCGTTGTTTAGGTACACAAGGGATTTAGCTCGATTGGAGCACTCGAGTGAATGGGAGGGGTTTACTATATTCAGATCAATTCTACTATAGAATAAACAGGGTATTGTTTCTTAAGGATAATAGGGAGAATGTAAATCAATCCAGACGCTCGCCTAAATGATTCTGGATGACTGGTTACTCATTAATATTAATTATTTGTATTGCCATAGTTGCAATAATCTGGTGATTGATCTCTTGTATAAACAGACTGATAAAAATATGTTATTGATCATAGTTTGGCTAACTTTCCATATTGAAAAGACAAATGGCAATATTCACAGGAATAACGAGAGACATCATGGACTTCTTATCATGATTATAAGTTCATGGAGACATGTAAACATTTTATATTTGTCTCTACTCTGTACAATCAAACAAGATCTTGTATTTTGGAATACCTATTCACCATCTTCAGTTACAACTTTAAGTGTACAACTACATGCATCATGTTTCATTGCGACACATTTATTAATTAAAGGGGACATTTGGAAATATGGAACTACACAGGGAATCAGACGGTCATTAACTTCGATTTCTTTTTTCCTTCAAGGTTCATTAATAATGTAACTGATTGTTTGTTTTTGTATATTTATAGCACTGTATATATGGGTTAAATAGTCTCTAGAAACAAATCATTATCTCAGTTGATTCTATTGACAGAGGTTTATCACAGTTTGATTAGTTGGCTGACCTTGTTCCGTGGGGGAAATATGTCAAGTGTTAGGGAGTGTGTCAAAATTCTGTCAGCTCTGGAAAATGAAGTTAATCTAGTCATGGCTTACCCCCCACCCTGCTCCCCATATAACAAAATTTAATAGCATAGGATTAGAAATTCACTAGAAAATCAATATTTTTCACTAACAGGACATTCATTTCTCCCATCCCCTTCAGGCTTTGATAAAACTATTAAATTCTTCCATAATGCTGACAAATGGACAAAATCCCTTACTGACAAGTTGTCTACATGAACTGGACATAAGGTCAATTACTTTCACTTAAGAATAAATCATGACAATTTACCATCATAATATCAGAGAAAATATAATCTTAAATAAATCAACAGAAATGCATATTATTATGTTACATTTTTATTTTTTATCTTGCTTCGCTTCTCACATATGATATATGTACCTTCATAATTAACTAATACTAGGGTGGTGGCATGATTTTTTCAAGTACAATATATCCACTAGTTAAAGTGCAAGTTGTGTAGGCCTTGGCTGTGTGATCAAAATGAGCCCAAGATGATCAAATTTGGTCAAGGCGTTCAAAAGTTACAGCATTTTAAAGATCTGAAATTCGCGATTCCTTTCGTCGAAAATTGAATAAATTATGCTAATGAGCTCATTAGCATATTTCACTTATAGATAAAAAAAATAAATATTATTCTAAGATTAGAAATATTTCAGATACCTAGAGAGAAAAAGTTGTGTGATAGGAAAAATAATGAATCATGTCCAAGAAAACATGTAAATTAGAGATACAGATGCCCAAATATGGCTAACAGAGCCAAATTTCACCCCGATTTCTGGTAAAATTTGGACAAAATTGGCATTTTTTGTTCCTACACCCATATTTCTGAATCAATTTTACAGAAAATAATGTACTTAGTTGGTTGCATACTATTTTATTTCTGTCAAACCATATTTCTTCTCTAGATAAAAGTAATAAAATGCTTGATCTGATCAAAAAATTTCCCAAAAAAAGTTATTTGAAAGGTCTCACCAGTACAAAATATCCATATTTAGCCACTTTTTTCACCTATTTCATGATCATCACCAATGTTGATAGGCCTCTATTTTTAAAAATCAGTAAATATCACATCTGCTATTCTAAATTTCCCCATAACTATTTTTTCTGTGAACATGTGTATGCTCAAACAGCCTCTTTATGCCATATTTTCTTCGAAAAAAGGCTCTGAAGTATGCTAGGAAAACATATTTTCACACAAATTCTAGGTGGAAATAAGCGCAGAGAGGCCATTTTGTAGTAAAATATGTCTAAAAATACATAATCTAGACATCTTGCACCTATTTGTAACCATGAAAAATATTATCATATCCACACAGATTCAATATAAAGTACTATATATTTTTAATTCCTGCTATATAATGATTCAAACATAGCCAGTAATCAAAAAGTGCCCTCCCTTGGCGGGATTTTGGGGTAGGGCGATTATTGAAAAACCAAAAATGACAATAACTTTGCCAAAAATGGATGAATTTGCATAATTTTTTTTTTAAAATGCTCAGTAAAGAAATTGTAATCTTTCTCTTTCTTTCAATTTAATCAATGTGGACTTATTATTCATCAAATAATTATTTTCAATCTTCAGAGGACCCATTTTTAAGGATTTGGGGGTAGGGCAATCACTGAAAACCACAAATAACAATAAGTTCACCAAATATGAAGACATTACTGTATTAATTAGTCACTGTATTAATACATGTAATATGTTGGATTTTCAGTTAATTACATTTTTAAAATGTGTCCATTAATTTACATTTTTAAAATAAAAACCGTGTTCAATCGACAGTCATGTATGTATTTCTCCATTGCAGCTTCCTAGTCGGAGTAGTCCTATTCACCTTCAATAGTTGTTCCACTGTACATTTTGTCAGCTATTGTCCAATGTTAGGGACTGAAATCATAAAAAAGTAGTTTAATTACTACTATAGTATTTCAAATTCTTAAAGAATTTCAGAAGATATCTTTAAAACCTTTTTTGATTGACACTGTATTTAAGCATAGAAATTGTTTACTTTACTACCACTGTAGTGCTCCCTAAATTACTCTCATTAGACATTACTCTCTAGATATTCTCATACATCATAAATGATAAATGTTCACTTTTATTGCGAAGAAGAAAATTGATGTACATCATTATATTGATTGGAATTATTACTCAATAATAATCCTATTCAATCACTAATCATATGTACATATTGATCAAATGTTATAACAGAAACAACAAAGAAATAAAAACAATAACCAACACAATTACGAGAGCGAAGAAACTGTTAACAGACAGGCATATCATGAAAATGTACATAATATCTTTGTTATGGTCCGCGGCATTTTAGAAAGTCAATCATTTATACATTACAATACATTTTCAGTCAATTCCAATCTGTTTTTTAATCTAAACCATAAATGTACAAATGCAATAAAACCAAGGCCTTTGAGAAATTTGGCCAAATTCAACATGGACTAACCAAACTGATCAAATATGTTGTCTCTTGGAAGGGCACTATGATTAGCTGGCATAACTGGGGGAGAAGGGGTGCATGTACCTACTAGTAATTCATTTCATGCTACTAGAAAATTTACAAACCTTTATGTAGTTTGATGTTATTGTAGATCTTGTTTACTTGTATAATGCTTATGTCTCACAGTCTGATTGTCTGTATTTCTATAAAGTAAGAGGGGAAAATGTATTCTACGCATGTATTTTTTATGGATTACTTCTTACACTGTGACAAGGCAGGCTATTATAAGACAAATAATCTGGGTACAATCCGAAATAATTGCATGGGCGTAGCGCTATTTTAATGAGTAGTACGCCAACTCGGAAACATAAGTTCAGGGAGGTCCGGGGGTTCTCCCCCAGGAATATGTGGGAATTTGGTTGTATTTTGGAGCATATTTGCAATCGTCTGGTATGCTTGTGCGTACCAGGTGCTACGCCAATGAATTGGTGAGATTCTTTTGTTTTATAAGAGCTTGGTGCAAGACTACATGTAATACAGTGTGAGTGTACAATGTATGTATAGACTCTAGAGTAGATCTACATGTACTGTTGTACATGTAGGCTATGTTTGAGAAACAATAGATTCTAAAAGCTGAGTGATGTAAATGAAATGTGATTAGAATGTGATGTCAATTTTCTACAGAAGTCGATCATGAACTGTGAGTACATGCTGCTGCAGGCATGACTTCAAAATCACGCAAAAGCAAGTGACATTTCACCTTTTCCTGGGCCTCAGATACAACTTGTAAGCCAATTTTCAAATTGAATTCCAAAATATAACTTGTGAAATTGAACCTCATTTATCTGTTTATGAACTTTGTTTATGGCATTAGCGTTGCAAATTGTCTAATACTTTCATCTAGAACATTTCATGATTATTATAAACCTAAATCTTATTCATACTTTATTAAAATACTTACAATTGTATCCAAAAAACATCGGAGGAATAATTTTGCTTTAGTTATGATTCAAAATGGCTTTTGGGAAACCCCTCTAGCTGATCACGTCACGTGATTGGATTCTCCGCATTCCAGTATTCTAATTGGTTGGTTCATGGTGTGACGTCAACCAGGTCATTTGAGGTCAGATTATACATAAAAAATGGCTTGAACATAAAAATGTGTGCTGTGTTTAGGTTCCATTCCGCACCACCAAATAGGTAGGACTCAATAAACCACTGCAATATTTGATTAGAAGACATTATTGGCTACATCAGAGTCTTTCCGTTTTTTAAAAGGACAAAACATAAGTCATGTTCCGAGGTGTGCAAACTTTTCCTTTGAATGTTTTCTTAGAAAATTATATTTTCGATCAAGAACCAGAAAAAAACGGAAAGACCATCGTAAAGAAGAGTATATTCCGATTCAGAAAAGTATTGGTTCAAAAATTGTTGATCAGGATTAAGCGTGCGGAATTAGCATCAAAAAGGGTTGCAAAATTAACGTTTTTCGCGGATGTTGCACTAGAGGCAATCTGCGCGAGATTCCATTTTTTGGTTCGGTTTTTAGCGCATGCGCAATAAATCCAGCAATTTTATTGGTTCAAATTATTATAACGCATGCGCAATTAATAACTTATAGGAACATTTAATTTGAGATAGATGTCACTTACGTTCATTTTTTCACAGCAGTCCCCACCCATGATACACCATATAGTGCGGTAATATTTTTGTTTATTGTCAAAACAAAAAGTATGCACCCAAAACAAATGTAATGACATAATATCAACCTGCCCCGGATTTGTAGACGTATGTTGTACAAACTTAAACTGAACCGATGGCAGAAAAGCACTTTGAATCATGGGAATGAAGTACTTCCTTTAATGAAAAACCGAACCAAGTAAAAACCGAATCTCGCGCAGATTGCCCCGACTCGGATGTTGTTATTTTTCAGGACAAGTACGTCACAAATTTATCAAGTTTAGTTGACGGCTCACTTTCAATATGTTATTTCTCGGTCAATTCTTTTTAGAAAATTACAAAAATAAATATTCCGAGAGACAATAAAATGCTTGTTTCATTGATATTACTTTTATTCCAAACAACACAATATTGAGGAAGTTATGGTGTGTTAAAAATGGCCCAAATGGGAAAAATACGTCATGTCAGGGCTTTCCGCGCCTATTGTCACCACCCTACTAATACCTCATTTGGGAAACCAGGAATTTCCTGCGATGTAATACTTGGCAAATAAATGAAGTTTGAGTGAACAAAGTCTCCAAACTCCCGCCAAATATCCATAAAATAGATGGCAGCACAAACATGTGGAGATATGAATTCAGACACATTGAACCAATAATGAAATAAATAAGAGAAGTTGTTACCCTTACAAAAAGTTTATGGTGACCCAAGTTCAATGTAAGAACAAAATGTTGGAGAGTACAAAGGCGGCAATTTTGTCATTTAGTCATATTAAATACATATGATTGGACATAATTAAAGTAATCAATTAATAAAGCAAAAAAGTAAAATATGTCAGCTCTCAGATATGAGAGAAATTAAATAAATATGGTGAGGAATCACAATGAATTTAGACCACCATGAAATATCATGGAACGGGTTCAACATTCAACATCCATGTTCACATTTTCAGCATAAATACACAGTTATATTGAGCAAACATAAAATAATGTCTAATTCTTGTTGAGAATGTTATTCTTGTCTATGCTATATCATTGCATTGTGCTTTAAACCCTTCACTTATATCGCATAATAGGGTTCTACTTAAGACTCTACTTATACTAGAACACGGCATGAACATAAAGTCTAATTTAATATATCTAAAGCAGAGCAGAGTGCAAAATTCCAATAAAGAAGCCAAGTCACATGATATTGCTACCATTGTAATACCATGAAACGAAAGACAATAAAAGTTTACAATATATTTAATAATATTGATATTTTTCCAAGATAAGGACGAAGGGCAAGGTCAATATATTGATGTACATCCACAAATAATTTCAATTTGGGATAACATTAAAACATTGTCATGGTCCCTAAACAAGTTGCTTTTTAGTCCAACAAACTAAACATAAACATTGCAGACTTGGCTCACATGAAAACCATAAAACCCAAACATGCACTTAGAAGGACAGCAGTAAAGAATTGTAATCTTGTAATCCCTTGGGTGCAACTATAAGAGTAACTTATGGCCAAGAGCACTTATTTTACATTTTAAAAAGTTTACTTTCTTTACCGGTGTTATAATATAATTGATGAATTGTGATTAGTTTAAAATATGGATAATGTTGCTATGCAATAAATCAAGAGATTTTCACAATGTTGAGAAGTGATCGCTATAATCTACAGAGTTAGCAGCCAGGCCACTGCCCCATTAGAAACAAAATTTTCCAAGAGGAGTAATGAAAAGGTGATTACCACTGTCAATAAAACAGCTGTTTTTGAATGTTGTATGTAATGACATCATATGAACCCTGACTGATCACGAAACATTCTGTTTTTTGAACTTCACATGTTTTTTCACATATATCCAGATTTATGATATTTTCTGCTTCAGGTATAAAATGAAATTGGCATTAAAGAAACAGTACACATGTCAGCTCGAAATTATCCCATCATTTTGTCTCTGGATTGAATCGAGTCTTATTCGAATATGACATCATACCATAGATGAAATGCATAGCAACAGTATCAGTAAACAGATTATCTCAAGTCTTACTGCAAATGGTCAATCATTGTCAATAGTCATTTTTATATCAATTTTCTTTTTAAATATGAGACACTGTTAGTCAAGGTCAATATATTGATATATGCCCACAAATGTGATAAATTCCATTTGGGGTCAATCACACATCATGCAGTACAAAACGCTATAGAAAATGTGCGATATGGAAATGTGTGGTCTCGACATGAAGTCCAAATAAGCAAGGGGTAAGAGGTTTGATTTGAGTATGTTCTGTTCCCACCAAATTTTTGATTTAAATGCATAAACAAAGCATTAATAAAACTGTGGCATTAAAATTAGTTGAGTTTATTAATTAGTTGGAAGGAGGGACAGCACAAGAAAAGTTTGGACAACAACGACAATTTCTCGTAAAATATAGATTTTCATAGTATCATGTATATTCTACTTTGTTTACTTTTCATTAGATACACACTGCACATAAATATCATCCTTCGTATAAAGAAAACATTATCTGCACATGTAATGATGACTTCATCATCTATACACATAATGATGACTTCATCCACATGGAAATTGGTTAAATCTTAATACTTAGGATGTCCTTCAGTCGAGATAAAGATACACTTGGCTATGTTTAGTGCTTGAATTTGGCATTATGTGACACTTTATTACTTTCAAAGTGTAATGCAACTGTCCTATGATATTTCAGTATATGGCAACCACTTTCATGCCAGTACAGAATTATTCCTTCACTTTTAAGCCACCATTTTAGAGAGAAAGAATGTCAACCATTTGCATTCTCCACATTCCAGTATATCATAAAACTTTGGGTTTTATGAGAAGGCAATACAGCATTGTAAATGCAACCACTGGACTCAATTGATAAATAATCCATTCCATTTTTTATTCCTGGAAGAAATACATTATAGCTTCATTCACCCCTTGTTAAGTCTAATGGTCTATCCTTTATCATGGAGTACAGCTTAAGAGATGGAGTCTTTGCACCCTCTTACATTTAACAAACTATGAAGTCATAATGGACCAATGCACTGCACAAGGTTACTAAAGATCTCCAAATATTTGTTCAGTTTGTTCAGTACCGCCGGAACTATTTCATTGTCCTTTCCCATGTCATAAGGCATCATCAGCTGAAGTAAATGCCTTGCATCAAGTAGTCCCAGCTGCATTGATTACTCCATAAGTACTGTAACTATGTCATGAATTACTACGCCAATGATATACCACAAGATATCACGGACAGATTTCCATCTGCTCCCATATCTATTGTCTTTGTCAGAGTCGATGCAAACCTGCCCATATTAATTCTACAGATACAAAAATTCTATAATAGGCCGACTTGCTGCATTGGCTGATTCCATCCCAGATTGCTGTTGATGTCCTATAGATGGCTCTGGGGTGTATTAGGTGCCGGAGGGTGCGCTAGGTGGGGCGGGGGAAACACTGGGTATCACAGGAGAACTTGCACCTACTACTGCCGTCACTGCTGGAACAAACACAGGGTATTACTTGTATTTCTTATTTATAGTGACATGTACTTGATGTGGGCCCAGGCGGGCTAACCACTTTAAACATAGCAAAATTACACATAGAATTCAAAATATTGGCAACGACAATGTGTAAAATTGACTTATTTTGGATTTTGAGTGGCTGAGGGAAATCTCCTTATTTTTGGTTGAAATTAACTAATAACTTGGTATTCCAATAGACATGCCCATTCAATGTTCTTTCATGTAATAAAAACTGCTTTTACACCCATTTATTGAACTTGTTTGGGAAATGACAAATTGAGTGAGGTCATCATAGACATGTAGAAATCTTACCTCCCATCTGGCCTTGAACTGTAGGTGAATTATGACCTGACATTGAGGACAAACGACCTTGATCTTTTACTATTGGATCTGAAATAATACAAATACAAAAATACGTCTTAATCGTTAATGAACATTTGATGTTTTTGTTGACAAAAATCTCACATTTGCATATACCGATATATAAGGCATAAAATTTCACTATTTTATGATTGTTAATAAAATGTGTTTGGAATAGCTTCATATTATTAATAATTTATCTACACAAATAACACATAAATTAAACATAGGTACCTCAGAATATTTAGTCGTCATACAAGCAGTCAAGAGTAGCAAATATTGAAATAACATCATTGGTACCTTGATTATTATGTAACATGAATAACATTGATCAAACATTGTTGGAAGTTTGAAATATTTCTGTTTCAATATATTTGAGCTATTTCTACATTTTTAACATAGTTGTTTAAAAGTGTTGGTACATTAGTGGTACATTCGCTCAGCTGGAATCAAATATTTCCAAACATCATAGAATTTTGTTGACCCATCTGGGCTCAGCTCACCTAACTTCACAAAGTGTGACCTAGTTTTGAACAATAATATTATCAAAATCAAACGTGTGTTCTGATTACATAATCAGATAGATGGAGGACAATAAAGGACTATGGATATTGCACTTTTTGAATGGATTTAATCAGTAACTTACAGAAATATGGGTGATCCATGGCCTCTCTAGCTGTCAGTCTTTCCTGGTGATCATAGCGTAAAAGTTTGTCGAGAAAATCTAAGGCTTCTGGGCTGACAAGGTGTTGATTTTCACTATGTACGAAACGTTCCCAGCGTTTCCTAGAATGTCTACAATTAGGATATGACACTATGTTTACTATGCATCAAATAATAAAATTTTTCTATGTGTACATGCATTTGAACAACAAATATATTTAGTAACAATATAGAGAGGATATTAGGGCTGCCATCGAACTCAAATGTCAGTGTCGACAGTCGAACTCTGCTGTCGAAAATATTGTCGACAATCGAACTTTCCAGGGAGAAAAAATCATCGGGAAAAAAAGAAAAATTATTTCTGTGTTGTTGGTTCGTTTTTTCCAAATCTATCGGGGAAAAGCTTCATATAACTTATATTCATATTGGTATGTAATTGCCTAATATTGTTACTAAATGCCAAGTTAATAGAATATTATAGACGAAAATGGGACAAATACCTGCAATGTTTCGACCGGGATTTATTTCGACTGCTCGGGCGAAATCTCGTACAACGTCTCGCAAGAGAGAAGAGAAGTCATGAAGGGAACTTCCGGGTGAATTTATTTTTTGAAAATGAAATGAATGTGAACAATATTTCCGCAGAATACGCGCACATAACACGTTGAAATGTGTATTGAAATGTATTGGGGCCATTTGGATATTTTCAAGTAAGTATTGATATCGTTTGCTGTCGACATGACGGGAATTTTTGTCGACTTCGTTGTCGAACTTGCATTTTGACTGACAAGTCGACGTTCCGACTAATGATGGCAGCCCTAGAGGATATATTGGCAAGTAACAATAGAAAACAAGTACCTAGTCTTCACAGATTCCGTGACTCACACTAGGTGGTCTTTACAAAGCAACGTCAAAAATAAAAAGTTTTCTGTTCAAATCAGTACAAAAGTGAGAAACAAATGATCCAAACGATCTACAAACTTTTGAAAAACTAAAAATTCTGCATTTTTTCTGCTGCGGCACAGAAAAAGGAATTCTAGTAGCCCTGATAAAGTTATTATAACTTGTTAAAGATCATGTTAAAATCCATTAACAACAGGCTTAGCAATAATACCTCAATGAAATATCGCCAATTTAAACAATCTGATTTTGTAATTTGACTCACCTTCCTAATATGTCGTTAAACCTAGGGTCTAATTGTATTTGATATTTGTCTATATATTCATACAGTTCATCAGTTCCTAAGACTTTTGCTATGCGAACCAACTGAAAATGAAATATAATGGATATTAAGAATAACTCCTCAATATGTTCAAAGTTAACAGTTACTTTTTATTCAAACTTTTTTTCTATTTATACAGCCTTTTTCACATTTTACAGTTATTTTTCACATTTCTTACTACTGATATCCATTTGATATTATGACACTTAATATTAGCCATATAATAGCAACTAAAAGGAAAGGCTGCCCTGCAATCAAGGTATGCTTGAAGTTTTAACAATTATATTTAAGCTTTTTGGTACCTCAGAACATATAGTCGTCATACAAGCAGTCAAGAGTAGCAAATATTAAAATAGCATCATTGGTACCAGTACAAGAATCACATAAATTATTTCATTCTTTGTAAGATGTGTCAAATAACAAAGTTACTCTGGACATACATGAGCGTAGTTGCGACAAAAAATAGCAACTCAACTTTCAAGTGAATCAGAGAAATAATAGAATATACCTGGTCATAGTTGTCATGGCCATGGAAAAATGGTTCTTTTCTAAATATCATACTGGCGAACATGCATCCTAAGCTCCACATGTCTAGTGAATAGTCATACATCTGAAACCAATATATTCTTTCTTTTATCTTATATTAAAACATGTTCATTTTGGTGTTTTGATTCTGGCATTTTAAATATTGCAGATGTTGTCAAATCAGATTAACAACGTAATGACACCAGTATTTTGTAAACAATATTCATAGATCAATTATTAAAAATATACATGTAAATTATTGTGACCCAAAATAAAAATAAAATATTCAGAATTCATGAAAACGTTAAACAGAACATAAGAGATCATTCAGCTATTGTAAAAAATTAACATGGAGAGCAACACATACTTCCCCTTTCAAAAAACGTTCAGATATATTTCCCATGTACATGCACTCACCTGATAGTCTAGAAGTAATTCTGGGCCCTTGAAATATCTTGAGGCTACACGAACATTGTATTCCATCCCTGGGTGGTAGAATTCTGCTAGTCCCCAATCTATAAGACGTAGCTGAAATATCAAAACAAGTTGGTTTATTTAAGTGTTGAACACTGTATTGTTTTATTTGTATAAAATTACATCGACACAGAGCAGCTAAAATAGATACAACGTATAAATCAATTCATATTACAGTACATATAGTTTTGATCCATGCCAAATTGTAAAATTCTGGTAGATCACACTCTAAGAAGCACAGATTTCATTACATGGATTTATGCTTTAGATTCCATACCTGGGCAGTCATGGAACAAACTTTGACTGAATTACTTTATAGTCATATGTGACACAATCAGGAGGCGATTGTCAACTACGAAACAGAAATCAATATTACATAGAACTTAGAAGACCAATCTAGTAAATTTTGAGCAGCATTGTTTGGCATAAAGATCCTATATGAAAAACGCAAAAACTCAAACTCACCTTTCTATTTTCATGATCTATCATGACATTATGAGGTTTCACATCTCTGTGAGTAATACCCTGACTGTGACAGTATTCTAGTGCCTGAAATATACACAATATAGTGAAATATGGGATAATACTCATACGTTACATCTTTATTATTTTATATTGTAGTTCACATTTAGGTACCTCAGAACATATAGTCGTCATACAAGCAGTCAAGAGTAGCAAATATTTAAAATAGCATCATAGGTAACAGAAAAAATACCCATCAACCTAATGAACTAAAATGGATCAGAAATAAACACAATCATACAGCTTAAACAAGAATCTTGGTTGTTGAGTGTTTTTCTAAAGTTGCCCCTTGTTCTCTAATTATGAAATATCCAATGTCTTATTGAAAATAACAATAGTTTCATAGTTACCTTGAGAAGTTCAAATAGATAGAAGCGTATATCGTAATCCGTTAGGGTCTGATAGAGCTGCTTGAAGTCTGTGTTGTTGACATGCTCAAATACTAGAGCTGGAGTCCGAGACTGAAAACAAACAAGTAGAATCAACATCATGCCTAAAAATTTGGAAATCATTTCTAAATAGATGAATTGGCAAAAGACTTTTAACATGTATTCACATATAAGATATCGAGAAAATCGCTGGGGCAAAAAATCTTTTTAGAAACACTGTTTTGGTATCTCAGAACATATGATCGTCATACAAACAGTCAAGAGTAGCAAATATCAAATATAGCATCATTGATACCAGTACAAAAATGTATTGCAAAATAAATAAATCATCTCTGTTAAGCTATATAACCACACCCATTTTGACTTAAAACACAAGGCCTATAAAAATAAGACCACATCTGATATTCAAAAATACAACAGAGGCAATTTCTTAGTAGCCGAGGAAAACTTACTGCTTATTTGGTAATAATTCACTCACCACAGGGTCTTTAACTATGGCTAGAAGTGTGATGATATTTGTTCCTCCACGAAGATTCTCCAAGATTTTAATCTCTCTTTTTATTTTCTTCTTTTTTACAGGCTGAAAATTGCAAAATAGTATTCTTAAAAATACATGAATTTTTAAAATTGTAAATAAAGTCATAAAGCAAGGAGCACCTAAGATTACAAAAAAAAGTAACTGGAGCTAAGGTTGCGTGACATGGTTGCCTGCAAAATTCGTTCTCTCAATAGTTCAAGATGAATTGTTTATTCTGGGTCTGGAACCACTTCAGCACATGTTTCAAAAGCCAAACGATACATGGCAGCATTGACAGATTACAACAGGGGTCCTCACACATAATCTACTAATCCATCCATTGTGAAAGAAAACAGTCTGTTACTGAAAACGCGATATGTTATTCTAAAAAGAGAGAGGTTTCACAAAAAGGCCAGGAAAATCATTTTTACCTTATCTAATTCATGTGATATAGCCTTAATCGCATATCAGCCAAATGAAAGCAATAATGTGTTGAGTTAAGTAAAAACACGAGATGGTAACTTATTCACAGACAGAACCTTACCTTTAATATTTTTATTACACATTTCTCATTGTTTGTGATATTGATGGCTTCAAATACTTCACTGTATTTTCCACGGCCTAGTTTACGTACTATTTGATAGTCATCTTGCTGTCTGGAAATAAAAATTACAAATACATTATTACGACTGACTAAAAACATATGAAAAAAAAAAATATTAAGTATCTTTTCATAGAGATTAGATATAAAAGGTAATATTGATAAAAAGCAGAGTTAGAAATTGTAAATATCGCAGTTTTTCTAAATTAAATCTAGTGTTCTTTTAATTATATGAAAATTATCAACTCACAACAACTACTATATTCATGAAACTGTAATGATTATAAGAGGGAAATGCCAGAAATAACCACCCAAAATCATTAACATACAAATTGATATTTGTTGGATTTACACTAGAGCCCTAAGACGTCTTGGCTAAAACGTTTTAGCGTAACAACGTTTTACAAATGTAATGTAAATCCAGATTTTCTCAGGAGCTCTCGGCTAAGTGCGCTGAGCTAAAATGTTTTAGGACCCTAGTCATTGCCAAGACGTCTAAGCATTAGTGTTAAAACGTTTAACAAGCGAGTGTAAATCCATTGGTTATACCTAGGGCTGCCATCGAACTCAAATGTCAGTGTCGACAGTCGAACTCTGCTGTCGAAAATATTGTCGACAATCGAACTTTCCAGGGAGAAAAAATCATCGGGAAAAAAAGAAAAATTATTTCTGTGTTGTTGGTTCGTTTTTTCCAAATCTATCGGGGAAAAGCTTCATATAACTTATATTCATATTGGTATGTAATTGCCTAATATTGTTACTAAATGCCAAGTTAATAGAATATTATAGACGAAAATGGGACAAATACCTGCAATGTTTCGACCGGGATTTATTTCGACTGCTCGGGCGAAATCTCGTACAACGTCTCGCAAGAGAGAAGAGAAGTCATGAAGGGAACTTCCGGGTGAATTTATTTTTTGAAAATGAAATGAATGTGAACAATATTTCCGCAGAATACGCGCACATAACACGTTGAAATGTGTATTGAAATGTATTGGGGCCATTTGGATATTTTCAAGTAAGTATTGATATCGTTTGCTGTCGACATGACGGGAATTTTTGTCGACTTCGTTGTCGAACTTGCATTTTGACTGACAAGTCGACGTTCCGACTAATGATGGCAGCCCTAGTTATACCCTGTTTTTTTGCGTTGCGCCGAACAAAACATTTGAAACTTTACATTTACATATGTTGCATGGTCCTTTCTTTTGTCTTATATTATCCCTTGTTCCCAATATCATCCCAAAATTATTGAGAAGAACTTCTTTGCCTGGCGATTTATCCTAATCCTAATTTATGCATAAAATCTTCCTGCTCTCTTTCATGCTTTTAACAATGCTATCTTTAGGACATATTTTTGTGAAAGGAATAGCTATATTGACTGAACCGTCCTTCAACCAGTACTGAACTGTTTTTTTCATTTTGCATGTTTACCTACATATCTCTAAGACATTTTAGAAAAACAGGTGTAAAGTAAATCATATTTCGTAAGACGTCTTGAAAATGGTGGTGTAAACTCAACATAATTTTTCTAAACGTTTTAGCCAAGATGTCTTGGAATGCCACGTGTAGTGTAAATAGGGCTATTATCACATGCAATGAGAAACTGAAACCAAATTGATTATTATGATTAGCGAGATCATGAAAAAAGCAAATGTAATGTAACCTAATGTGACCTTACGAAGTGGGACAACACTTAAGACATGATAGGAATTATTTGATATCATCAGATTGTAAATTTTCATTTGTCAAATCTTTATGAATCATGATTTTAATGAAGTAAAGCAAGACTTCCTATAATATAGAGTTCAGTATCTAATACAACTCTAAATATCATTTTTCAACTTGATAGTCTTCTAGTAGAAACAAGGCATTAACTCATTCAATACTGGGGCAAAAAGCACTAATATACTGAAGAATTTTTTTAAATTCCTATATATGGTACCTATGAGATAATTATAAAATATATACATGGGCATAAATATGTAGTGTTATATATCATTTTAAAGCATATGATATACTCCGTCAGAATCAATACGTTTTTAAGTCCCATTTTATAGGTTGTCATGGTTACAAGATTCAAAAAAGAATACATTGGATTTGTGCTTGGACGTGATATCACGTCATTCGTAGTCAACGTATGTGCTTTATGACGTCATATCACGTCATTCGTAGCGAATGAGTTAACATGCACAATGTCACTACCTGCTATTTGTTACAGACTCTGAATGCGCGAATGTTGAATTTTTTCCGGGTTCTAAAAATTTCCTGGAGAGAACCCTGTCAATTTACTGGATCTGTTGTGCATGCGCATAAAACTGAACTAATGAATGGAACCTCGCGGAGATTGCCCTTTGTGCACATTGCTTCGAAATACAAAAAGAAAATGTGTATTTAATGGTTGAATATTAGTTATCTCTTTCAAGTGAAGGTACCTATTAGGGCCGGAACCAACTATGAATTTCGGAGTCGACTAGTTGAGGTGTCTTAGTTGAGTCGTCATCGATTAGTTGCCCCCTGGCTTCGGAAAAAATAAAAATAAAATATTTCCTTTATCTGTCATCAGTTTTTGCCGCATTTACAGATTTGTTTCTCCTAGTACTCTGTTTCTTGTATAAACAATGTATCAAATATAATAAATCGATCGTTTTTAAAGTTTATATTGTGTATTTGTGTTGTTTTATGCAATAATTCAACTAGAATTTATCATTGTTGTAAATAAACGTCTTCTTCTATTTACTTCCGCTGACCTTGACCGTTACCGGAACTACTTAGTTTGAATTCGCGCAATATTTAAATAAAATATCAAACTCAAAAGGGAAGTCTCCCATATGTGATCATTGCGATTTGCGATGGCTTGCATGATAGCACATTATAAAAATGATAAATATGTGTAACTATATTCTTGCCAATTAAAAATGAAGTGCTTCGGCGGCCTTTAATTGATCGCTAAAAGTAAACTTTTAAAAGTTAAATAACTTCAATTAGTATCGAATAAAGAAGTGAATCTGTTTATAGCATATGTTTGAAGTGTTTTGAAGAGTAGAAACATGCATTTTGGGCTGGATAAGTAAGGAAAATACATAACATCACAAAAATGAGTAGGTGAACGTTTATTTATGAACTTTTCTTCACAATTTTTCCCGGGGATATGTCTTCGACGATCGATTTTTCCAAATCAAAGTCGACTATCAGCCCAACTTTCGTCGTATCCAACTAGTTAGACTAATCGTTCCGGCCCTAGTACCTATATCATTTAGTGACCTTAGAAAATCAATCTGTTCCAGGGATGCACTCTTGGACAAACCTACTGAAAGCACTGATTACGAATGAGAATTACCATCAACCTTAAATCGCGGGTCTGCTATAAATGCTTTCCACTGCTGAGAAATCTAATTGATGTACGGAGGAAGCGATAATACTTAGAGATATTTTCAACACAAATTGAGAGATGTCTCTCGCATTTTATGTCTCTAAGGTAAGGAATTTATTTCCCCATCCTGTCTTCATTATAACGCTTTTCCTCCAGTGTCCTGAACCGACATCCCTCATTTTCAGGTAATAAACTTGAAGACATACCAGTAATTTTTGCTATATATTAAAGTGAATGATGTATTATAAAATACTCAGAATTTTTTTTTGGTATGATCTTTTTGAGTTACAAATGTCAAATTCTCCCATATTGTAATCATAGAGACAACATTTGGTACTATACTGATGCTCAGAAGACTATAATCACTGATTTTTAGACATGTGAACATATTTTACTCTAATCCTTATTTGTTATTTGTGGCAGTTATATAATAATTACTATACCTAGGGAATGCAAAGATTTGTCAAAAAAGGCATTTTCAATAAGGAACACACTCTTTTCCAATACATACTTACTAAGGGGTAATCTAAATCATGTTGATCACGGATCAAATGGGTAAAACGAAATATTCCCATAAGACCTGTTTTGTTCTTGTTAGAGGCTGACGGTAATTCCGGTTATACGGTTTCGGTACGGAATTGAGCATTTACCGGTATTGAAATTATTAACCGGTTAACCGACGATAATCCCTGGGGAAATAAAAGACACGTCGTTTTTTAAATTATTTCGTTTAATTTCCACTTTCACGATGCATACAATTACATAGACATTTAGATGTCCATGTTTGGCAGTTCAGGTGTGATATCCATGTTTGGCAGTTCAGGTGTGATGTCCATGTTTGGCAGTTCGGGTGTAGTAGCTTCATGCTCAGGCTCAGATTTGGTTGTACAGTAAAACCTGTCTCATCCGAACGCCATTGGGACCGGATAAAAGTGTTCAGATTAGGAGGTGTTCACATTTGACCACATCTTTTGACCACATAGCTTTATGGCATTCCAGAAATTTGAAAATTTGATTCAAATGAATCTAATCATGCTGGAAAGCCCCATTTTGAATGAGAGCATTCAAGATCATAACAAAATTTGAGCAATTTTGTAAAAAACATCAGAAAATTTATGAAAAGTGTTCAGATTAGACAGGTGAATTTTTCAAATATGAATGTTCACTGTTCAAATTGGGAGGTGTTCACATTTCAAGTTTTTTTTAACATGGCGGGGAGTCAATGGGAGGAAAAATGGGACCAAAAAAAGTGTTCAGATTTGGAGGTGTTCGGATTAGCCAGGTGTCCAGATATACAGGTTCTACTGTAGTTACGTTGGCAGTTCCGGTGTAGTTGTAGTGTCAACTTCAGATCCAGAAACTGAATTATGTTTGTAATATTCATTTACGAACAACAAGGCATTGACAACCTCAGGTTGAAGTTGTGCTGGTTTGGAAGTGATGGTGTTGCCAGCTGCACTGAACTGACGTTCACTTGACACGGATGACGCAGGAACAGCATGATATGTTTCAGCCAAACTCGCCACATCAAGTTCATCAGTATGGGTTCAAATCGGTCTTGCACCATGTATGCATATAGACTAAAGAAGCTACGGAGAGAGTTAGGAACAAAGTGGGGGTGGCAGCGCATTGGGATTTTATCTTACATATTTTTACCGGTATTTCGGTAACGGTACGGTTATTAGCATGACGGTTACCGGTAGTGGTTTTCAGTACCGTTGCGACCTCTAGTTCTTGTTATTCTTTACTTGGATATTTGTTTATTGTTACAAAGATGGACATGTCACGTGATATGGACCAAATTCCTCCCCAAAGACTAAAGAAATGTACGGATTTGCAAACGTGGATCCAAAATAAGGTTAACTGATGTTGCATTCTGGGAGTCAATCCACCTTGGATCACAAACATGGCAATCCATGAAAACATTTGTTCGATTTGGTAGGAATTTATCCATCATTTGCAGGTATGAAGCTTTGGATTCATTTATTGTGCTACTTAAGTGAACGGGAATTATTTTTCTACCGCGACAACTTTTGATGGTTGAGGTTTATTAATGTTTCCCACTCTAGACGTTTGTAGAACGCTGATTTAGGCTGATAAATAACAAAACTGATTAGAAACTTTTCATCAATTTTTTCGTTCAATGTAACAATGTGACTTTAAATTCCCGGGAACCTTTTTTCATGGGACGCATTTTTGAGGGGGGCTCACTTTTTGAAAATCAGTCCGACCCAGGGACACACTCTTGTACAAACCTACTGAAAGCACTGCAGCACCAGTTTTCACTTCTGTTTGAACACTAATTCCTAGTTTCAAAGTTATCCCATGTACCAACCCTTGACCTAATGAGATAGGGGCACTGTCCAACTTTGTCAAATGGCTATTCCGAAGTGGACCCATGACGAAGTAACCCTTTACGTTGAATTGGACAGTCCCATGCACTGAAGTTTGATAGAGGGTCGTACTGGACAATTGTAAACTGTAACTTTTTATCAATTCTTTCGTTCAGTGTAAAAATGTGACTTTGAATTCCCGGGAACCTTTTTTCATGGTACACACTTTTTTTTGGGGGGGGGGCTCATTTTTTGAAAATCAATCCGTCCCAGGGAAACACTCTTATACAAACCTACTGAAAGCACTGCAGCACCAGTTTTCACTACTGTTTCAAAGTTATCCCATGTACCAACCCTTGACCTAATGAGATAGGGGGACTGTCCAACTTTGTCAAATGGCTATTCCAAAGTGGTCCTATGACGAAGTAACCCTTTACGTCGAAGCTGGACAGTCCCATGCACTGAAGTTTGACGGAGGGCTCCTACTGAACAATTGTAAATGCTGTACTCCCTAACTTACCCCCATTCTACTGTATGTGACTCATAGTCCCAATACTCTCTTGGTCTATTTGTATTGACATCAGCGTAGACCCTGGCACGACTAGGAGCTGGTGTCTTATGTTGATTCATTGTTGTATTTCGAGCAAAAACAGGAAAAGGCGTGTGAACCAAAACCTTTTCGATACTCAGAAATGTCCTTCGAAAAATCTCGCTTCTTTCTTGGAGAATACACTAAACAGGTGTTAGATCTTCCACACCACTTAAATCAGTTCAATTTTTTCACCACTTGTATGGGAAGTCTCTAGTGTAATGCAGTGCTGTCAATTATTTTTCCAATTTTTATCAATTTCCACAGCAGCATGGTTCATTTCGGAGCATAAATTTTGAATTACGAACTAATTTTTTTGGCAACGTATTGGTATCAATATAAACATAAAATATCAAAGTATGAAATAGTGATAGGTAATTTATCAGCAGTATGTATACTTGCGAGATATTCACCCACTTTTAAGTTGATAGTGGCTCTTACATTCCTCCAAAATGGCGGATCTGCTTCACCCGATGGTCGGAAGCGAGGCTTTGACCCAATTTCAGAAATTACCAATTCTGTGACCCCTCTGCGAGCAATTGATTAGTGTTTATGTTGGAAGAAAGAGGGCCAAAACCGAGATATTTCAAGTTGTTTATCTCAAAACTTAGTGGTTTGTTTCTCAAAATAACAAGTACATTGTGATGATGCAACTATATTTTTCCAATTTATAAGTATAGAATGAATGAAAGTGTGATGTATTCCTTGTATTTTGAATAAGAATTATAAGGACTAATTTTTCTTGTCGCTTAGCAACAAAAAAGCCAAGATGGCGGAATCCGAGACGATGAGCATTGACACTTCTACTGAGAATCAAGACGATCCTCTGCAAGACCTGTCAGATGAGAAGATTTATACCCTCCTAGAAGAAACAATGTATGTATTGTCCATGTCATATTGGAATTTTAGAGCAACTGTGTGACTAAAAGTTGAAATAAAACTAATAAACTGTGAAACTTTCACTTTCTCACTGCTTTGCAATTGCATTGCATTTCTGATTTTGCATTTTTTGTCTAGGGGGCTAATTTGCCTAAAAGTGTACCTAAGTAATTGTAAGATAAATGAATTAATACATTACAAGTTAAATGTAGAATTTACAGACATTTGTAGACTGAACTAGGGCAATGTGGGGTAATGTCGTCATGAGAATGAACCCCCATGATGATGTGGGGATGGTTTTTCAAATCACCCCCACAACTAATTCTTGTGTATTGAAATCTTAGGGTTTTAAAACGTTGCCAAAAGTCACAGATATTGGCCAGATCGTTTTGTAGTAGGATCTCATAGGCTCAAAGAATAATTCACAAGATACGACACTAAATTGGAAAATTTCAAAAAAATATGACCACCTTTTAAAAATGTCCTTATACAAAATGGTACCTGCTTCCCCATGACAGATTTTGCACTTATTTCATAGCTGAGATCTTCATCTTTCTATTTCTACTTGTTTGGTTCGAGTAAATAACCTATGGATGCAGTTATTTGACTTTTAATACGGCAAATATTTTTCACGAGATCCGGACTCTTGTGTGTCCAAATATCATTGTAATGATGACGTCACATTTCTGGAACCACGGGAGCACCATTCAGATTTGGACAGACAAGAGTCCGGCGATAGATTATCACTGTTTTGGCCTCTGATCAACGCAGCATTGCTTGAATAACGGTCATTGATGATAAAAAAGTTAAAGAATAACAAAATGTTTCGAATGAGGTATGATTTGTCTCATATTTTTCAGAAATGGCTCCATAATCGTCATTTTAAAATTTGAAATTTTCTGAGGTGTCTCATCTTGAGGAATATTTATTGAGCTACTGATCCTACTACAAAAGAATCTGGCCAGCTAAGGCCACCGGGGTACTACATGCCATGTGCACCAAGTACAATTAGCATCTTGCCAAGTACGAAGTATACATGTTGCCCAGCATGTGGACCAAGTTACAAGTCACATGCTCCCATATTCAAAATTTTCGAAGTCTTAATAATAAACCTCGCATGTGCAGCATGTGGACCAAGTTAGCAAGTGACATGGTACCATGTTGCATGTTCAAATAGCATCTTGTCAAGTTTAAACTATACATCTCGCATGTGCAGCATGTGGACCAAGTTAGCAAGTGACATGCTGCCATGTTACATGTTCAAATAGCATCTTGCCAAGTTTAAACTATACATCTTGCATGTGCAGCATGTGGACCAAGTTAGCAAGTGACATGGTACCATGTTGCATGTTCAAATAGCATCTTGCCAAGTTTAAACTATATATCTCGCATGTGCTGCATGTGGACCAAGTTAGCAAGTGACATGCTGCCATGTTGCATGTTCAAATAGCATCTTGCCAAGTTTAAACTATACATCTCGCATGTGCAGCATGTGGACTAAGTTAGCAAGTGACATGCTACCATGTTGCATGTTTAAATAGCATCTTGCCAAGTTTAAACTATACATCTCGCATGTGCTGCATGTGGACCAAGTTAGCAAGTGACATGCTGCCATGTTGCATGTTCAAATAGCATCTTGCCAAGTTTAAACCGTACATCTCGCATGTGCAGCATGTGGACCAAGTTAGCAAGTGACATGCTACCATGTTGCATGTTGAAATAGCATATTGCCAAGTTTAAACTATACAACTCGCATGTGCAGCATGTGGACCAAGTTGCCAAGTGACATGGTACCATGTTGCATGTACAGATAGCATCTTGCCAAGTTTAAACTATACATCTCGTCTCGCATGTGCAGCATGTGGACCAAGTTAGCAAGTGACATGCTACCATGTTGCATGTTGAAATAGCATCTTGCCAAGTTTAAACTATACAACTCGCATGTGCAGCATGTGGACCAAGTTGCCAAGTGACATGGTACCATGTTGCATGTACAAATAGCATCTTGCCAAGTTTAAACTATACAGCTCGCATGTGCAGCATGTGGACCAAGTTGCCAAGTGACATGGTACCATGTTGCATGTACAGATAGCATCTTGCCACGTTTAAACCATACGACTCACATGTCCAGCATGTGGACCAAGTTGCCAAGTGGCATGCTGCCATGTTGCATGTTCGAATAGCATCTTGCCAAGTTTCAACTATACATCTCTCATGTGCAGCATGTGGATCAAGTTCCAAAATGACACGTTTGTTTATTTGGAATGGGAAATTAAATGATAAAATATATTTTTAAACTAAAAAGTTTGTTTAATGAACGGTAAAACGAATGAAATGAACACAAATTTGGAAAATGTAATTTAAAAAATGGTAAATTGGTATATAAGTTTGAGCTTTGTAGTAAGCATATGAAGAAATCATCCTCTACAATATTCTTGGTTAGCTGACCACTAACTCCCGGGCACTGACTACATTTGTATTCTGCCACTCTCAGGCCAGTAGTCAGCTTTTACCAGGGAGGGAAGCATTTAAAGAATTCCATGAGGGATTTGACTTTTCCTTTGCATTATACCTTAGAATTCACACATGTAAAATGTTTCAATATGATAATAATAGATTACTAACTTTATGTTCTCATAAAACAAAAATAGATTGCAGAGAATAATTTATTATGTAGAGATGATTTTATTATGGAATAATTGTGAAGTAATAAACTTGTTAATGTTACAAAGCTATGAACAGCATATTACTGTATCATATACAATTATTCTAACACAATTCTAAACACATGTGAACATTATAGTATCCTTGTATTAATGTTCCAATCTGAGTGTCAGTTAGTTCACTAAGTAGGCTCCCTGGTCAGAAACATCTTGAATTCTTGAATAAGTAGAAATAAGAATATAACTGTATTTATGTAGAATTGAAAATCTGTATATCTGCAAATATAGAACATTTACCATTGCCCATGAGTTTTCTGCTCTGTAGAAAGACCATAAATGCACATCTTTATGAATTTATATAATCAATAGCACTTTAAGTCCCCATATAAGGTCTAAATCACTTTGGCTTATACTGTAGTCTTACTCAGTGTTATATGGAAGAATGTGAAACTTATTTTAATTGCTAATTATGAATTTATATAAAACTAACTTTTATAACTAACTTTTAGAGATCACATATATATTCTAATAAGCGATAATTCAAACCAATGCATAGCATTCATCCTCACATGATTTTGGTGAAAAATTAAAAAAATTGGTTCAAGAATAGGCGAGAAATGAACTCGTCAATGCTTTAAAATGGTTCAGAGAAAAATGTATTTCAAAATTTCTTCTTTCCTCCCGTATTTTTGACTGAAATCTCCCTTAATCTACCGTGTTTGAGCTAAATCTACAGTCAGTAACCTTGATTATTGGACTTCTTTCTTTTACTTTCAGTTTTACAGCAGGGAAATGTATATTTTCTGTAAAAACTGAGCGAGCAAAGGAACCCTCATAATACTTGCTCAGGGCCAACTTACATCATGGGCTTTTAATAATCAGCCTGATTACTCATTAATTTTTGTCATATTCTTTTGTTTTCCCATTTCATTTGACTAAATGAACTTTCATTTAACTTTTATTCACCATGACCTCGTTCAAAACCAATTTCAGGTTGGCAGGTCTGACGTTAGTTGCAAAATATTTTTGATATGCAAAACCATTGAAGTGGCGCATCATTAAAAAAAATTCAACTTTTATTTGAAAAATGGCGGGAAATTTGATAACGAGAAATGAAAAAATTCAAAAAATGAATTTAACCCTTACCCCAAAAAATGAATTTAACCCTAAGACCATGAATATGTGTGTCAAAAATGTAAAATAAATTAAAAAATGAATTCCATAAATAAATAAATTTTTCTATGTCAAAATACAAAAAAAAGAATTTAATTCTAACCTTAACCCTAACCCTAACCATCCCCAACCCTATTAAACCAGATGGAGTTTTAAATGATTACCTAACCCTGACCTACCCACTGAGGACACAGGACGCGTACCAGACCCTAATGATACAGGGTCTACTTGGCAGGAGCAGCGATCGCTATCAGTAGGGTCTGGCACATGAACACCGCTCCTGCAAAGAGAAATGAGTTAACCGTAGCCTTAACCCTAACCCTAATTACCAACCCCAACCCTATCAAACCAGATGGAGTTTTAAATGATTACCTAACCCTGACCTACCCACTGAGGACACAGGACGCGTACTAGACCCTAATGATACAGGGTCCAATTGGCAGGAGCGGTAATCGCATACCAGACCCTAATGATACAGAGTCCACTTGGCAGGAGCAGCGTTCGCATACCAGACCCTAATGATACAAGATCCACTTGGCAGGAGCGGCAATTGTGTACCAGACCCTAATGATACAGGGTCCACTTGGCAGGAGCGGCGTTTGCATACAAGACCCTAATGATACAGGATCTACTTAGCAGGAGCAGCGATCCCTAACCAACCCTATTAAACCAGATGGGGTTTTAAATGATTACCTAACCCTGAACTACCCACTGAGGACACAGGACACGTACCAGACCCTAATGATACAGGGTCCACTTGGCAGGAGCGGCGATCGTGTACCAGACCCTAATGATAGAGGGTCCACTTGGTAGGAGCGGCATTCGTGTACCAGACCCTAATGATACAAGGTTCACTTTGCATGAGCAGCGATCGCTATCAGTAGGGTCTGGCACATGAACACCGCTCCTGCAAAGTGAAATGAGTTTAAACCGTAACCTCAACCCACCCTAACCAACCCTATTAAACCAGATGGGGTTTTAAATGATTACCTAACCCTGACCTACCCACTGAGGACACAGGACACGTACCAGACCCTAATGATACAGGGTCCACTTGGCAGGAGCAGCGTTCGCATACCAGACCCTAATGATACAAGATCCACTTGGCAGGAGCGGCAATTGTGTACCAGACCCTAATGATACAGGGTCCACTTGGCAGGAGCGGCGTTTGCATACCAGACCCTAATGATACAGGATCTACTTAGCAGGAGCAGCTATCCCTAACCAACCCTATTAAACCAGATGGGGTTTTAAATGATTACCTAACCCTGAACTACCCACTGAGGACACAGGACGCGTATCAGACCCTAATGATACAGGGTCCACTTGGCAGGAGCGGCGATCGTGTACCAGACCCTAATGATAGAGGGTCCACTTGGCAGGAGCGGCATTCGTGTACCAGACCCTAATGATACAAGGTTCACTTTGCAGGAGCAGCGATCGCTATCAATAGGGTCTGGCACATGAACGCCGCTCCTGCAAAGTGAAATGAGTTTAAACCGTAACCTCAACCCACCCTAACCAACCCTATTAAACCAGATGGGGTTTTAAATGATTACCTAACCCTGACCTACCCACTGAGGACACAGGACACGTACCAGACCCTAATGATGCAGGAACACCACTTTGCAGGAGCGGCGATCGTGTCCCAGACCCTAATGATAGAGGGTCCACTTGGCAGGAGCGGCATTCGTGTACCAGACCCTAATGATACGAGGTCAACTTGGCAGGAGCGGCGATTGCGTACCAGACCCTAATGATCAGGGTCAACTTGGCAGGAGCGGTGATCACATACCAAACCCTAATGATAAAGTGTCCACTTGGCAGGAGCAGCGTTCACGGTTCACGTACATCTTTTATTGACTCAGATGTCATCACAATGACATATTAGTCAGTACAATGTACAATATACAAAAATAACTTAGACTAAACTAACTACAAAATACAAAATGTAAACAGCATGACAAATGCAAAAATATAAGTTATGAGTCAAGTTTTAAATACAGCATAAGAAAATGTAAAATATCAGTGTGATGTATCATTGACACAATGTTCATCCAACACATATACAATGTATGAATTAAAGATCATTGCCAGGATCAATAAATGACTATGTCTGTTGAACTTGGCAACATGCACACATGGCACCACCAACATTTCTGGTACATGGTACAGATGCTAATACAAGATGGCAAGTGGAACCATGTTGAGCATTAATAGACATTATTATAACATGGACATCCAACATGCCATGCTACAGCCAATAGCCATATTTATCACATGACAACATGCTGTACTTGGTAAGTTGTGAACTTGGGATCACTTGAATCAAGGTACTTGGCACACATGCAAATATAAGATGGCAAGTATGCCAATGCAACATGTATAAATCAACATGCACATCCAACATGCGAACATGGCAGTACTCACAAATTCTGATACATGTACACATGCTAAAACAAGATGCCATGTCCAACCAAAATAGTACATGTTCCAATCTAGAATAAATCTTGAATTATCACTTGCACATTCAACATGCCATGTTGAGCCAGTTGCTCTGTCTTTCACATGCTAGACCAGTAGCATCTTGTCAGAAAGGTACTTGCTAAAACATTGCCATGTTACAAACAAGTATATGCCAAGTGACTGCATCTTGTAGATATTACCACTTGGCAACATGGCAGAACATGGCATGTTTGGACCCGGTGGCCATAAATGCGGGATCTATGCCAAAAGTTGACTCAAAGTTGAATTTTATCTAACTAACCATAATCCAGCTTATCAATACACAAGTAGTTATAGGGGTGATTTGAAAAGTCAGCCTCACACCTAATGGTAAATCACCCCACATTAATGGGGGTAGAGAAATGGGGTAGGGAAGATCCGTCAAACTTCGACGAAAGTTTTTTTTTGTCGTGGGGATATTTTGACATTGGCTTATATTTTTCTATTTCCCAAAGTCTGCCATGTTTGTTTTTGAAAAAATTTAAAAATAAATTTGAGTATACATCAAAGCTCCACTCACCTCTCTTAACTTTGACACTTGTTTGTTAGACATTGGAATTTCTGTTTTCCGCCATGTTTGATTTTGAAAAAAATTAAAATCTTGTGAGATCTCAATCCATGCAAGAAGAAAAAAAACATGGCTTCTCACTGGATCGGAAATTAAATAGCAAATAGACAAGTTATTGGAGTTACCCAATATGTCAACGTTACTCCAAATTGAAATGAAATGGTGTTGATGTTATACCCCTTTGCCCTATTTGACCATCTGTTATGATGTCTCATCAGTATCAACACCAATTGGCATCTTTAGCCAGTAGAGAATGAGGCAACAATTTTTACAATTATAGACTATATCGATTTGTTAGGTTAAGGTATCGTGAAGTCAAATTACCACACCTTTCCATTTCATTGAGACAAATCTAGCCGTGGCTTTCAAGAAAGCCCATGATCTAGCCAATACCTATATATGTACCAGGTATATTATTGTGTTTTTGTTTTCCAGTCGAGCTAATGATGTATTACGTGCAGAGACGGAAATGTTTGAGAAATATACCCACTATGTGGAACCAAAAGAGGCGGCACAAGTTCAAACTGCAATGTCAACAAGTTCATCAATGTCACAGCATGAGATGGGACGTGGTATTGGGAGGAAACGATCAAAGTCACGGAGTAGTAATATGGACAAAGCACTCAGATTAACAGCTGAACAAAAATGTGACATTGCACAGCGGGAAATTGAGGAATCTAGAGATGTTGTTGAAAAACTAAAAGATGATTCAGAAAAAGTTTTAGATACATACAAGGTAAGCCCCTTGTATAGTTAAGCTAGAATTCTTTATTGAAAAATATGGGTGGTTGGGCGTCCCACTTAATTTTGTCTTTGTGTTTCCGGACCAACCATTTGACGGATTGATTTCAAAGTTTCAAGGATGTTCCTTTGTTTAAAAGTTTTTTGTTGATTTTTTTTGATAGTTTTTCGGCATTCTGTACAAATGTTAAGGTGGCTTTTTGAATTTAAAATCTTGTTTTTAAAGTCTTGTTGACATGTTTCCAGGCAAAATGTTTGACGGATTGATTTCAGTTATTCAGGGATGTTCCTTTGTAATGAAAATCTAGAACATACTGATTATTTTTTGGGGTATTCTGGGTAAATGGTAAGGTGGTCATTTCAGGTTTTCCATTCTATGATTTTGTTTGTTAAAGGACAACTGAAATAGTAATTTAAACCTAAAAGAATCAATTTTATTTATTAGTGAATGTATTTGGACATTTCATTCATGTAACCAGTTATGTTGCAACTGTTTCATTTTACTACACATTGTTGCTGTTTGATAAGCAATATTTAAATGTTTTGTGACATTTTTGGCCCCCACATGACCTTTCACTGGCCCCCATGTGGCCCGTTTTGGTCCACTGATTCATGAAGTCATAATTCAAAAATGTTTTCTTATTTATTTGACCTATTTCAGTTGTGCTTTAAGTCTTGTTCACAGGTTTCAAGCCAGACTTAATTTAAATAGATCAATTTCAAATTTTTAAGGATGTTTCTTGGCAAATCAGTTCTAGATTTCCAGACAAAGAAACATCTACATGTAACAGGTACTGTAACAACTCTTGGGCACGCTCGTCGGGGAGTTGTAGTGTACCGAGCCAGATACTAGACTCGAAAGAGAATGTGCTAAATTCAATGCCCATACGGGAATCGAACCCAGGACCTTCCGCTCTCAGAGTCTACCCCTGAGCCATAAAGGCTAGCCACTACAGCTGAGATTGTAGTAGCGACTTGCTATCGAAGGTCATTACACCATCCCCCCAAGAAGACGACGTCCCATCGTAACTGATTCACAAGGGCAATCCCACCACTGCCACCAATGTAATGACCCGAGGGCGCCTCAGGGGAATGACTAACTAACGAGCATAGTGTGAAAAGCCAGATAAAGAAATTGAAAGAAAGTGTGCTAAATTCAATGCCTCATGTGGGAGTCGAACCTAGGACCCTTGGATCCAAAGACCGACGCTCTACTTACTGAGCTATAAAGGCTTAAGCCACTACAGCTGGACTGTAGTAGCAACTTTTTATCAAGGGTCGTTACACTACTAACAGATTTTTCATCCTAAAATCTTTCCTGTAAAAGTCTTGTCTACTTGTAATGGCAATCCATTTGACTGATTGATTTCAAATTTTCAGGGATGTCTGGGAATCTAGAACGGATTAGTTTTTGGGCATTCTGGGCAAATGTTAAGGTTGCCATTTTTGATTTTTGATCCTAAATTTTTTTCTGTAAAGTCTTTTTTGTCTGGAAATCTAGAACTGATTATCTTTTGGGCATTCTGGGCAAATGGTCATTTTGGATTTTCCCTCCCAAAACCCTGTCTATAAAGTCTGTTTCAAGCCAAACTGTTTCATGGATTAATTTGACATTTTAAGGCATATTTCTTGGTTATGAGAGTTTAGATCTGATTAATTTTGAGCATTCTGGGTAAATGTTAAGGTGGTCATTTTGGATTTCCATCCTAAAATCTTTTCTGTAAAGTCTAGTCTGTTGACACATTTCAAGCCAAACTATTACATGGATTGATCTGAAATTTTAATCCTGGATGTTTCTTGGTATTGATTAGTTTTTGGTCAATAATGTAAAGCGACCATTTTGGAAAACTACATCTGATCTATTCAAGGGTGCGATACTGTTCACTCTGTGTCTTGTTTCTTTTGCTCTGGAAATGAAATGTCCTTAAATCCTTAAAAGTGTAAAGGGTTTGATTCTGGAGCTTTTTAAATGATCAAGTCAACACCACTAAACAATTTTTATTTTTATTTTATTCTGTATTGACTGTATGGTTATATACATTGTGAACTACATCTGCTATACAACCATATTTTTTCAAACATAATTTCTGACTGGTCGGTTCTCCATTAGCGATCAAGGCTTTAACATTATCTGTCACACTACTTAGTATATTAGACTACAAGTATTTGATTAAATCAATTTAGAATGATTTTTGAATTATATCTATTAAACATATTTTATTACATATTTTCAGGCAATAATGGAGGAAGCTGATATGCGATTGGCTGAAATCAAGAAGACATCATATGAGTTTGAACGTGACATAGTCAAGGGATCTACACAGGGGCGAACAGGGAAAGTCATTGCTGAAAAAGTTCAACGATATTTTGAAGACAGTATAAGATCTAGGGTAAGAATTGAATTGTATACTGATGTCCTGAAAGCAGCTACATGGACAGGGTAGCAATGACAATTTCTGATAACACCACTGTTCAACTTGCTACCACCCACCGATTTTCTAGCAAGCTTTTCACCACTTCAATTTAAAAATTATGGAGAACATGTTAGAAATGCACAACAAATTGGGGAAATACACAGACTAAAACATTGTTTATATTGACCCTATTTTTGAAGCTTCAAATGAACACCAATGTATTTTGGTGCTAACAAAGCAGTCCTAAAATGATAATGTTTTACATTGTTTTGATCATAAAATATGTTTTATGTGCTTACAGGATACGCTCATAGAAAAACTTAGGTTGAAGAATGCCACATTAAAAGTTCAAAAGAAAAAACTCCATCTACAACTAAAACAGAAAGAGGAAATGGGAGAGGTTCTACACGAGGTTGATTTCAACCAATTAAAAATTGAAAACAGTCAATATTTAGAAAAAATTGATGAGAGGAATCAAGATTTGTTGAGGCTGAAGTTAATGGCTGGCAATACACTACAGGTTTTAAATTCATATAAGGTGAGCAATGGAGATCATATATTTATGTATTCAATGGGAGATATTTTAATATTCATTTATTCAATCGGAGATTATGATGAAACTAAGTTTGTTTTTTTTGATTCCTGTGTTTTATCACATTTTTTTTATCACTTCTTTTCAAATCCTATTGGTCAACATAAAATCTGAAAATGGAATTTTTGTAAAGAAAACTCTGGATTTGTATATTTGATAATGATTTTAAAAATGTAAAAGTCTATATGGCTTTTCAATTGTTTATACAGGGTGTCAAAAAAGTCCCGTCCCCCTGCTACACCTAAAACCTTAATAGATGGTACCTAGTGTGATATACCATTGGAAAGATCATCAAAGTTATGTTAACTCACCAACTGTCAAATATTTTGGATGAAATTAACCTATATTTTCATGATGTCCTTTATAGTTACTCTACCCTCCTTAAGCAGCTTTCATTGCGTCAAAATGAGAAGGATATGACCTCAGAAATACGTCAAAAAGTTCATCTTTTTTGCATTCAACTTGAAACAAAAAGGTTTTCACCATTTTTCCATGCACCTGTATTTTCTACACATCTACCCCTATCCAGAAATTGGTTGAACTCATTGCAATGCCATATACATATGTAGTCATCTTTAGGTCCTTTGACTTTTCTTATACCCGATTCTTAAAATCCTGCCAAATACGCCAAATTGCCATGTTTCTAGGCCTATGGTCACCTCAATTGATAATATTTGATATAATGTAAAAATTTGTGAGATTGATTCATGTGTCAGTATATGCCAATCAACGTAACTTTGGAAGACCTTTCCAATGATATATCACACTTGGTACCATATAACTTGGTCTTGGCTGTAGAGGGGGATGGGACTTATTTGACACCCTGTATACAAACAATTAAAAACATATGTGGCAATGTAATGTAATTGTGTCCTAAGGATACAGCTATTTTCATGCTTTTGAGAAAATTTAGGTTTTGAAGAATGAATGTTTACAATTTACATGTTTTTTGTATTTTCAGAAAAAATTAAACACACTTACAATGGAGTTTGACAGACTTAAATCAGAGATTTCTTCAAGAGATGAGCTGCTTGGTCGTATTGATGTTGAAACCCTCAGTGTTGAAGAGGTAAGTCTATTTTAAGTGACTTATTCAAAATATCAATTAACAACCAGGCCAGTCAGATGAGAGGGGGATGCATAGGGTGCAGTTGCACCCTTCTCAGATTTTTTTTCTTTTAGTGGACAATGATCTTTGTATCTTTCCGCTTTTTTTCCTGCATATTGTTTAATTCAGATAAAAAATTGAAATTGAGTTATCATAATAAACCTGAAATCATCTTATCTCTGATGTCATACAACTACTTCAGGTGAAAACTTGACTTGACTGCACACGCTTGAGGAAAAGTGTCAGACAGGCCTGACTATCCTCTATGACCCGTTACGTGTACCGAACACCTCATTGAACATTGAAGTTACTCAGACAATATCCCAAACAGAATATATTATTCTTTTTTAAGAAAACTGATTTTTTAACCCTACCCTAATTCATCAAACAATATTGTATTTGTAAAGAATTTAAAATAATCCTATTTTTATTATTTGATAAAAATCTGAAAATAACCATGTGGGCAATTTTCAAACATTTTGTGTAAACTCAATAAAAATGGAAATCATACAGATTTCCACTATTACTGTATACTGCACATGTGCTTATGGGACACCCTGTATATTTCGCAGGAAAGAAGTAAAGCTGAGAAGATTAACAGGAAGCTGAGGCAACAACTTGAGGACTACAGGGTGCCACATGTCATGGAATATGTCAACGAGAGAGCAGATATGTATGAATTAAGTAAAAAAGTCAGAAGTTGGGAAAGAAAAGTGGAAATTGCAGAGGTATGTTATGTTTGATAATGAGTTATGAAATCAATAAATTATATTGCCAGTTTTCAAATCTTTACAAAATGCAATTTTACAAGATGACGCAAACGAAAAAAATTGTTTCTTGTTCTTTGTGCTAACAAATTGAAATAAAAAAAAATTTGAAATTTTGTACAACATTTCAGAAAGATTATAGCTATTTCAAAGTTTCTTCTAATCTTTTGTGAGAAAAACTCTTTACAACTACAGCTTTGTGGCTACAGTGTACTTGTCCAAAACTATGATCCAGAAAATGAACTTTATTTTCAGATGGCGTTAAAAACTCACAGAAAGACATGGAAGCAAATGAGGATGCAAGGCATGCAAGGGAACCCATGGCCCCTGGAGGCAATGTAATACCTCCAACACACAGTCCTAGGAACCTCTGATCCTTGATGATAGCTATGTTGGACCTCATCACCAAAACCAAACAAAATGAACTTACAGTTTCTCTATCATAGGCACTTTATGCCATTTGCTTTTTTTGATGAAACAGACACATTGGATTCACATTCATTCACAATTATTCCCAGTAGGAAAATTATAAGTGGACACCTAAAAATTTATGTCAGTCACATTATACAGTTATGTATATGAAACGTATGGTTTTGTGTCAACAATTTCTAGAACCATGGAGTTTACACTATAGACACCCGACTTGAGCAGAAATGTGATGACTTGAGTCGTTCGAGGTATAACATATGTCTGATGTAATGAAATATTGAAAATAACTCCAAAAACAATATAATCAATGATTCTCAGTCAGATCTTTAGTTCAAATGGTTCAAAGAACTGAATGACAGTACAGTACACTATACTTGCAATAGTCTTGTTTGGTCTGGCTACACAATATTAGGACATAAGAAATGTAAATAATGTACATTCAACACAACAAATGTATAAAGTGTACATATTAAATATTATGGTAAAGAATAAACACATACATGTATTTATTGCAGAAACTAAGCAATGATTTTTGTTAATTATTTATTCCCCATATATCAAGGTCTAATTTGATTTTACCTTCAAATATCTTGAGAACAAAAGGTAGGAAAGAGTACCTCTAAACTGGGTAAGAAATGGTTTGAGAATTGTACTTGACTCCCCTTATTAGTGATCACCCTGTCAATGCTTGTAATGATTGGCAATTCTGCATCAGATGACTACCTTTCTTGCCTCCATTTAAACGTCATTGTGCCATCATCTTAAATGGTCATTACCATATTGGTATGGTCATTACCATATTGGCATTTTCCATTGTTATGAGAGTAAGACCTAGACAGGGGTATAGCAAGGAGGATTGGCTCCCAGAATCGAAATCGATATTTTCCAACAATGAAAATGCCAAAATGTCATTATTTTCTGAAATTATAATCGATCATAAATTCAAAATAAACATTCGAACCAATATCTCGATCATTTCTTGTGAGTTTTGGAATTTTTCGTTTTGAAATTAGACCAAAATTCATGATTCAAATGTTGAAGTGAACAAAATGGCGGCTGTTGGAATTCGAATTTTGAAGCACGACATCCCCATATATTGGACAGAATATTGATGTTGCACTCTGGGAGCCAATCCTCCTTGGGTGTAGCTAAGTATGAGGCATGTTTTTCAAGACCACATTATGCTTTGACACCATTTTATTTTATTTTTGGATAACTTTGACATATTGATATTGGGTAACCTTTTTTCATTTAGTCCATATTTTTTTTCTTTAATGGACATGATGGATCGGTCTCACAAGTTTTTATTTTTTGCTAAAATCGAACATCATATAAAAATGGGAGGTAATATTTTTTTTGGTTGGTTTCAAAGTGACCTCAATTTTCCAGTCTTTTTTTATGTTACTTTAATTATGATTTTTCACTGAACACAAGAACTGTTAAAAGTAAACAAACAAAAAATGTATGCTATTATATTTTTTATTATATTTTTCATTCAATCAACAATTATGGTACATTTCTAAAAACACCACTAGTTAACAACTTTTGTGAAATATGTTGAACTGCAATATTCTTGACCATGATATGTCTAGTATGATCTCATTTATTTATCATCTTGACTGCATTTAAATTAATACATTTATTTATTTGCCTTTATAAACACATATAGACAATGAGTGTTAGAATTTTGTACAGCAAATACGGACTCATTTGATACATGCAGGACATTGCCTGTGAAAACTCACTATAATGATTACTCACTTGATGTAAGAAAATACTCACTAAGTGAATGTTCACACTATTTGAACACTTATTAAGTGAATACTCACATTGTAAATTCTGGTGAACATTTATTTCAATCAATAAGTGAAATGAACACCCTATTAGTAAATTCACTGAGCAATGAACACTTACAGGGCAAGAACGTCTTTGTTCTCTTGACTCCTGTTGGTCACAGTGAAGACCAGTGAAGATGAGGCGTATACTACAAATGTATATACAAATGAAAACTCACTTAACCTTAAACTACAGTAGTTAAATCTGAATAGACAAAAGTAATTATTATCACTCAATGACTATTAGTTACAGTCGACTGAGCTAACATTTATCTAAAGCTTATATTCACTAACCGTGAATGTCAATACTACTCTTTTTTGCCATTTTCTATATTTCTGGCCAAGTTACCTTAGTCAATATGTCTATTATTTCAAAGATCTCAAAGACAGATAAATGACAAAATAATTTTGCCAGAGAAGGTTTGGCTATACTGGCTGATACATTGTTCCATATACGTAGTATTTAAAACTTGATTAAATACTTTTATATATCATTGTCATGGACTAATTCAAAATGTACAATACTAGCTAGTAAATCATTTTTCAAAAGTTGTTATTTCTAAATCATATCATCATTCGATACTTTACATTATATGAAAGTACCAGTATATAGTTTATCAATAAATGCTTAGAATTTCTTCTTGCATTTATGATGGATTCCAACTATAAAATTGGAATGGTTCAATAATACCAAGTGAAATGTTACCATTCTGAAGCAGCATATACAAATGACTACATTAAGGTAGTATAAGCCATGTTTGCACACAGGACATAAAAACAATATACAATAGACGGTAGTTTGTTAGGCTTGGGAAATAAAATCTAAAATTTAATATTATTTGGTTTTAGGGTTTAGATTAAGATTGTCATTTGTTTTGTCCTCAAAATCTGGTTAATTGTGACAATGAAAAACTTCAAAATGTATTCCAACAGTTTTTTTCATAAATGTCCAATGAACTTTATTTTATTTATAGGGAAGATAACCTAAACATTTCATATTTCTTTCCTCTAGCCTTAAGCAGTTATATACATTGCACATGTGTTTCTGTATACACAAAACATGATTGCAATACATGTACATAGATTAATAGACAGATTAGTTTTGCATGAAGCCAATGGACCCCCCCCCCCCCCTATCCCCATATCTATTTCACATCATGGAGGACACCATCAAGGTGACACATGGGAGGGGACCCAAGGACTTGAAGCAAGACTAAAACATTTAGTATTTCCTTAAGCCTCTAGACTCCTCCCCCACCTCTCTCCAGTGATGTGCAAGAAGAGGATGGGGGGGGGGTGCACAAGAACTCCAAGAAAGACTGTAAACATGATAAATACTTAGTACCTTTGAAACATTGAGTTATATGAAGATTTGTTGAATCATACATTTATGACTGTTTTTCAATCACCAGATATCTAAACTAATTCTATACTATACAATTGCATTGTCATTACATTACAATCATATACAAATTATTTACAATATATACAGCTATTTACACTGAACATGTTCATGTATTTATAAATACCAAAATATGGTGAGAGTGAATGAAACAATGAGATGGTATCTATATAAAGATGCTTGCCCGTAGCCAGCTTTTACCAGGAGGGGGAGCTTTTTCACCATATTCGCTAAAAAATTATGCGTAAAATTCTCAAAATGGTGAAAAACTGCATGATTTTGAAAGAATTTCTGGCCAGGGGGGGGGGAGCTTCCGCTCCCCCAGCTCCCCCTCTGGCTACGGGCCTGAGATGTAGAAAGAAATTTCATCATTTCATTGGCACCAGTCCTTCAGCTGTAATTCAAATTATTGCTACACCGATGATATCAGTCACTTTGATTAAATTTTAATAATCATGCAAATTTCAACTCTGAAACACTCTGAACTGATCATAAAAACTAATCATCCGTTTAGTTGCACACGAAGGGCTACATTATATACTAATATCCATAGTAACTCCTGAGATTGTTAACAAATATATTTGTTCACAGATCTTATAACTCCAAAAGTTGTATATAATGAAATTAGCTGCCATGTTTTACCAAAATACAGAAAACAAAAAGCACATTTGTGTGTATGTGTTTGTGGGCTTCCACGAGATTCATGAAGAAGTTTAATAAATCACAAAAATGCAAATATCGTGATGGTATCTTGTTCATAAATATCGCATATAAATGAGGCAATAAATATACAATACAATACATGGTACTCTGGCAGGGATCGTACATAATCATAGATTAGAATCCATGATATTAATTCACAAAATTAACTAAATTCCCAATTAACATATCAGCTATTACCATAAGAAGAATGATCCTTTTCGAACTTGGAAGAAACACAAAGTTGAGATTCTCATTGCATTGAGAAAACAAATAAATATATTCTCCCTAAGAATATTGCAACAATCAAATATTTTTGAGTAATAATACCAAGCACCAATACAGCTGTAGTAGTTATTATCATATAATAGTATTAACCAACAATATTATACACGGAATTAAAATCTAGTATATTCAGTGATAGTGACCTGATGACAATGTGTCATACAGTATTAAGTGTCACATGATATAACAATGTGTCATAAGTACATGCGACTGTCTCATTATCATGTCATGATATTTAGGAATACCGATATATAAATACTATAAGTTATTGAATGATTTGAAGTGCAATACAGGATATATTCTGCTTGAGAAATTCTGTATTGGAGCGAGACGAAGTCGAGTGCCAATACAGAATATTGAGACAGAATATATCCTTTATTGCACTTTAAATCCTTCAATAACATTTTTATCGTGTGATCCTCTGTATTGCTACTGAGATTGTCCCCTCCGTACTAATATTTTCTGTATGGCGACGGAGATGATCAACGGGGACAATCTCAGTAGCAATACAGACTGGTACAGCACAAGAACTGACCAATCAGAGGGCTTCATTTTACAGATCATACGATAAATGTATATACTGGTATATGCGATATCAATGTAATTACACTTAACGTATTAAAAATAATATTAATCAAATCAAAGACAAATGTCAATCTGTCATATTCTATTCCTGACTTTTGGTATCTTTATTCCCCAAATTAGGAACATAAAATGGCTGAAAGTTCTATACCCGGCCCAAAAATGATTACTAGTATAATAAAAATATATTTTAATATAAATTTATTGAATAACTTAAAAAGAGCTGTTTTTAACCCTGTGCATATTTGTGTCATTTTAAAAAGAAAATTGTTTAATTAAGTTATCAATTAAAATAGATTGTGGAGCAAGAATGTTGTGTGAACTGTGTATCATCTATATTTGTATATTAAGTATATATCTTTTGATAATATGAACTTTACAATATAATATATATGGTAACATAGTAGTTGATATACACTAAAGGATCTTCAATGATACTTGGTTCTGTTTTGTTAAACCCTGCAAATTAGTGATTTCCTAAGGATAGGGATTATCAAACGTTACAAATAATAAAACCCTTTATCACTTCGTCAACATGTTTCTTATAAAATGATAGTTAGCAGAAAAATGGTACATTAAATAAAAACTCTTTTTGAACACATTATTGTTGGAAGACATTACCAAGTTGTGCATATGTAGCATTTTTGTGAATAATGATTTTTCTGTCATTCTTTCAATTGGACCATTTCAATAACATAGAGCATTTCTGGGAATGATATAGGCCTACTGTGTATTGATTTAAATAGTATAACGTACTATTATTATACAGGGTGATTCAAAATCTTGATTAGTATGATCTGGTGTGTGTCATTCATAAATATATAAACAACATATTTGAGAGAGTAAGGAGTTATAAAAGCTCATGAATGAGTTTTTATATGGCAATTAACTGGTTAAAGTAAAAATAAAAATGCCTTCGAAATGTCAATATTGAGCACAAAGTTTTTGGCCCACACTGTATTATGAACTTTAATGCTGATTAATTATCCAGAGTTAAGTCAAGAGGCACTTTGTGAAAGCCCAGTTTGAATTAAAGGGAAATATTTTGAAGGTATTGATTGAAAACTCCCCAATTTCATGCCAAAATGCTGGAAGTTACATTGGACCTATAGACTGTTTCTTAGATCTTTGGGAATCTATCATTTTTACTATCAACCAGCGAATTTATTCAGGCCAAAAATATTGTTTAATCTGTCAGAAGGTTCCATTCCTTAAGATCTAATAGCAAAAAGTCAAACCAATATCTTGATCACTTGAGTGCTTTGGAATTTTTTTTTGGAAATAAGTCGAAAACTTGTGATTCAAATTCTGAAGTGAACAAATTGGTAACTGTTTCAATTCGAATTTGGTAATCCTGACATCTTCATATATGGCAGAATGTCGAACTGAAACGCTGGGAGCCAATCCCCCTTGCCAATTGACCATTGTCTCATCCATTTTATTGAAATTCAATGACAAATCCATCAAAGTGAGAAATTGATAAATTCCTGGATTAAAGCATTATAAGGAAGAAGTCATTTCGCATTTTCGCTTGGAATTGTTGAATTTCTCTAATTTGGATCGAATTCACTAAGTATCTAATATCCACACTTTAATACTCTGATGACACACATGGTTATTATTTATACAATTGCCTATTTATGGAATCTGGTTATTTTCCTAAGGAGCTAAAGGATAACCTAGAGCTATTTCTATAAAGAGGGGGTCTCTGAGGATTCCCTTGACTGTCTACACTATGTCTCGAACGCATAGAGACTCCTGACATATGTCTTGATCTACGATCATAGTACACCCCTGGTCCCGATTTATGACGAGTCCTGTATAATTCTGAAGCAGTTCCTCCAGATTTATATCTTGTCCTTTCACCATCTGATAATATTCTTGCTCGCTTTGGAGCCACTGGCTCCCCTGCCTCTGATTTCGTCCTCTGTTTGTCAAAGGTTAATTTACCATTTGCTAAAACTTTTCCTTCTTCAAATACATCATCATCATCTATGGCTTCCAGATCCATTCCTGAATCTTTTTCTCCCTCCTCTGCGATATCATCAAGGGGTGGCAGCTGCATTTCTCCTGGTTCACCTTTGTTACGGCGCAAATACAAAACATCCTGTATTTTGCGAACAATGGCGACCCCAGGGATACATAGGATAGAACTGAGAACCAGGAAACAGATACATAGGCTAGCCCACCATGGGTAGTATTTGTCAACGAGTGATGCCTGGAAGATAAAGTGATGTTTAAATTGACATAGTTACATATTGTCACACATCTAAAATAGTTGACCAGGTTACAACATCTCCTCAAGGTAGAAGAAATATCATTAGCCAATTGGAAGCCTTGAATGAGGACATGTGATCAAATAACACTTCCTAATAAAGCTATCTGAGTTTTCTTGTAAAATAATATTACCAAAAACTTACAGTTTCTTTGTCATAAGCGCTGTATGTGATTGGCTTGACGAGTTTACTGATAATGCTGGCAACGAGGACGATGAACATTAAGATTGGAGACACGAAGCGCCAAGTGATGACCCAATACCAGCCTGGCTTGGCACCTGTCATAAACTTAATGTCTTCTGTGAAGCTAAAAATACAAAAAATCGAAATCATGAGTATCATCTTTCATATGGAAGTATTAAGCTGAACGATCTTTGCTTTAACCATGTCCTAGAAATGAGACATCGTTCAAGTGTTATGAAATTAAAATAAATTAACCCATCAATCGATGTGGTTAAGAAGGCTATATCTAAGTGTGACCGCTATCAAAGCTCACTCTAAAAATATTTTTCACACACAAACATAGATCTGTATTAGGTATATGATAAACACATTGTGGAAGGCCTAGGCTGTGAAGCGTTATCAGATCTCCCTTGAGGGACCTCCCTCAAAGCCTTATTGCCTCAAATCAATGATATCATGCACATTAGTACGAACATTAACATTAAGACTAAATCCATACCTTTCCATGCCATATATGTAGACGACTCCAATGACTTCAAAGAATGCAACTGTCATCAACGGGAAAGTCCCAGAGAATGAATCGAACAAGTCCAGCCAGTAGTTTCCACTTCCAAGGACAAAGATAAGACCTACTGTGAAAGAGACGAGGCATAGGATACCTAGAAAGGAGAAGAAATGTCGATCTCATTCATTTTTCGATTTTTATACACACCCAAATTGTTATTTTGATATGTATTGATATTGGCTTTGATGGGCATATAGTGCAAACCATGTAACAATTATGAACAGCAATCATACAGTAAATCAATGAATCAATAAATATGTGCATGTTGTAAAATTATTATCAAACTTCAACATATGGTGGGAATGGTCTCAAAGCGTACTTTTCATAGTGAAATCTAAATTTCAATCCATGAAATTCATCTGTCTTTGAATTAAATATTATGATTATATAATTTCCTCTCAACCATGGAACAACATTTCTGAAAAGGGTCAGGGCATGATTTCAATAAGTTTTTCAGGCACTGGGTTCCAAAAGTTTACTCTTCAATAAATTAAAAATAAACGTAAATAAACATTTGGCTCACATGTTAATATAAGTTAAATTTGCAAAAAATGAAATTACATTCATTACTTAAATATTCTATACACACACCTGCAACAATGGGTTTCTTCCTCATCCAGGGGTACTTGTCCCAGGCCATGTCACTGATAGATGTCGCCACCCCCTCAAGAGTTCCCATCTGTGAGCCCAGGCCCAAGCTCAACAACATCAGGAAGAAGATCACACTCCAGAACTGGGGCACGGGGAACTGATTGATGACGGCTGTGAACACCATGAATGCTAGACCAGTCCCACTTGCAGCCTTAAATCGGTAACAAAATAAAATAATAATAATAAGAACTGGGGCACGGGGAACTGATTGTTGACGGCTGTGAACACCATGAATGCTAGACCAGTCCCACTTGCAGCCTTAAATCGGTAACAAAATAAAATAATAATAAACACTTAATCAAGGAGGATTTGCTCCCAGGATTGAAATTCGATATTTTCCAACAATGAAAACGTCAACATTTCATTATTTTCTGAAATTATAACCAGCTATAAATTCAAAATAAACAGTTCAAAAGATTTGAACCAATATCTAGATCATTTCTTGTGAGTTATGGAATTTTTCCCATATATATGGAACAGAATATCGATGTTGCACTCTGGGAGCCAATCTTCCTTGCACTCAATAATTTATGATCTTATTTCAGAATAGGTTAATGTTGAGAGGTCTGATGAGATCTGATTAATACCCATGTTAGTGCTTTATTGAAAATTGTCAGGAACAAGGAGAGAGCTTTCCTTTTTCTGAGATTTTTAAATTAATATTAATCACATAGGAAATGTTAGCGGATTATCATATCTTCTAATATTTGTCTGCAGACTATGCCATATATTTCAAAGGGGTTATGAGTTTGCTATCATATAAGAACAAATTACACTTCCTAATTGGTAAAAAATAAGCAATTAATCTATATTGCCACACAAGAGTTTGCAGACAAATTATTCAATTCACAGAGGTTATGACTTTGATATCACTGTAGAGCTAATGACAATTCCAAATAGGTGAAAGGAATTAGACAATTAATCTCTATTCCCATCCAAGAGATTTGAGACAGATTATTCAAGTTTCTAAGAAATCATATAAATTCTATTATCTAATATATCCACAGACAATAATTCCATTGACATTGACAGGCCTGATCACAGAATATTAATTTGTTGTCAATTTCTTTGGATCTCTCTAACTCTGGTGAACAGCCAATTTCCTGGAATGTTGGCATTTTGTCTGGGGGATCATTACTTTCAAGACAAATCTGTATTCTGAGGTAATCATCCTCATTGCCATGGTTACTGCAAATTGGATATCACAAAATGTGTCCTGATAAGGTAAAACAAATATAATGGATCATTGTCCTTTCTTTTGATCTTAATATTAGTTATTATCTGGATTTTTGGGGGAAAAGTCTGTGGTGACATGAATTTTCACGATTTTGTTTGTTTTGGTTAAAAAAGTTCAAATAATGTTTGAAAGTCATCAAGACTACTGACATTATTTGAATAATTACTGATACAGTAGTCTTGAGAAGTTCAAAGCCAAAATGATATGAATCAGTTTTCTAGTGAATAACATTGAAAAATCAGATGTTGGCTATTTTATGCACATTTTGAGGATTTTTGTGGTAACACCTTATGCCATCTCTAACAAGGAACAGTTATTCAAAACATAGAATATTTGAAAAATAGTGGCATAAATGATTCAACTTCTGAAAGTAGAACATAGGTGTCTCTGTTGCAAATGAACATAACATATCTTACTGAATCTAGATTCTCTTGTAGATCGCATTTCTCTAATTTTAGATCTATGCTCATTTGTAGTGTTGCATTGGTAGAATTGCCTGCATAGTGGCGCTCATATAAAGCTGGCGTGAGTATCGTCTCGTTGTTCCATAGATGGGGCTGCTCGGCTGTTATCTTGGCAATATTTCTGCAAATATTAATTAACGATTTGATCTTGAGAAACCAAGCTTATATTACATTATTCTCATATGCATACAATTGTGATTCTCCTCAGTTATTTGTGGTTAAATGGTTATGGATAAAATTTGATAATAACAATGTCTCATTTAATGTGGCCAAACTGCCTAGATTTTCTAAATTCAAAGTAAGTGTGCTAGACTAATATGACTGACAGGTTATTTTAAAGAAATTTTCCAACAAAACTTTTTTCTGTTTTGATACAGGTAGGTACAAAGCCAAAACCTATGTCCATACCTAATTAATGGTATCATTTCTATCCGTACATTCTCCATCAGATCAACTAAACTTTTTCGACAGAACAATGCATATAAATAAGTTATATAAGTAGAATGTATAATACTACATACCTGTCTATACATGTGTCATACAAAGATGTAGCTTTGTATCCAAGGACAGAGAATATCACGATACTTGCGAAGATAGATGTCGTACAGTTTGTGATTGATACAAGAATAGCATCACGTTTACAGTTGTTCTTTGGTGGATTGTAACTGGCGAATGCAATGAGGCCCCCAAAGGCCAGGCCGAGGGAATAGAAAATCTGGGTAGCGGCATCAAGCCATACAACAGGATCAGCGAGCCTTTCCATCTGAAATGATAAAATATAATATACCATTCACTTGAAGAGAGTGTTTGAAAGAAAGTAAACATACAGCCATTTCGTGTTGTCAAACATAATTCAATGGAAGCATTTCTGCCATTAGTTTTACCAATGACATCAATAGATTCACGAATCTTCGCAACTAAGAATGCACCATATGGGATGTCACAAGATACTTTTGATGAACAGGTTTTCGAATTCATGTTATGAGCTGTCTATATTTTTGTTTGAAAATGAAATGAAAATGTTATTTTTTGTTTGATACCAACTGAACTTTCTATTTTTATGATTTATTTTTATAACAGGTGGTCAACATTCGGATCTACCAGACTCAATCTTGTCAACATCAGATTACCTTTTCAATTGATCTTTTCACTATTATCTTTTCACACTCTGGTATAGACTTCATTAATTCTTTTAATTTCATTATTTTGGTATGGGTACTTTTGGCACTTGTGATATGTTCAGCATGACTTGCCTTTACCCCTAAAACTGATTACATGTAAACTACTTGCAAAAATGTGCTACTCTAATGAATTCTGCTTTTATATGGCAGACGGAATAATATTGCTATAAATAAGTAAAATAAATGGAACATTTCTCCAATGGCTTGTTCATAAAACAATGAAGTTGGCATGGCAACTTGTAGTTATGAGTGGAAATCTCAGAAAATCAATTGTACTTTGGTTTTAAGACTCTTAAAGGTTTCAACCCTTTTAAAACAGACAATAGAGATTTATGTTGCTGATGTAGATGATATTTTTGCTTTCAATTTACTCCTTAATTTTAGAGGATTTGCAATTAAGATTGTCAGTTGTTGTTAAGGAGACAGTAATAACAGAATTATCTAAAAATTGGCACATGTTGGAAATGGTAATGGAACCTATAATACAATCTCTTTTATTGGACTTGTTAAAGCAAAAGGTTAAATAAATCCATGGTCTTCAAGTAGGCCCTCCTAAAAGCGGGGACCCTGTGAAAGGTAATAAGTACATAAGATTGTTTCATAGGGAAGTTCTCTCATCCCCACTCCCCAGCCCCCTGAAGGAGAAACTTTTTCTTTTGATGGAGAAACTTACTTTTCAGGGAGCATAAACACAAACCTGATATCAGGTAAAAATGAATCAATAACATGTAGCTAGTCTCCAAGTTCTTGAGGAGTTACAGAGCGGAGACAAAGCTGATTTCCTGTAATTTAACGACAGACACAATGGAGGTATTTACCCATGAGCCCAATTCAGGATCATGTGCATTATCGTGTCCAATCATTTTGAGAGATTCTCAAAACAAATTCAACTGATTGACAGTAAGAACTGTACATTTTTCATTAAAAGTGGTGTTACGTCTGAATTTAATGCAGACAACTTGCATTTCTCCCATTAGTGGACTAATATAACGATGTCATTGCCTTTGAGATGTGTCTTGGACGTGACATTCAATACAAACATCACCATATTTTTTCATTATCTCTTAAGATACATAAGAATTTCAAAATAATTCTCCATCAAGGTACACTCAAGGTATACAAAAAGTCTTATGAGGATATTTTACAGATATATGTTATATAATATTATTATTATATAGGAGAAATATTAAGAGAACTTAATGATCACCTATTATATATAATGAGTTCAGCGAACTGTGTTGCAGGCTCAAAAGGTTTATAAAAACGCCATTCTTTTGTCAATTTTCCACTTAAACTGTGTAAATTATGTCTTCTATAACTATTTAATCTAATTAGCACTATTTAAATGTACCTCTCTGTCTTCGCATCCTGGCTATGACCCCCCCCCCCCCCCCAGTGTACACTGTGCAATGTATGCAAAAATGAATTCTTAGCAGCAATAGTATATTATGTAAGTACGGTTTATGATTAGAATACCATCAAAATGGATCATTCATTTGTGTGTCATCTATCTTCATTACGATTAAATGAAGTTAAATCCATAATGATTTTGGAGCCAAATTGATCATTCTTAGTATAGGCAAGTATTCAGAGAAAATGTTGATCATAAAATATGACATTTAAGATATTTTTGAACTACTTTATTTGTTTTATCTTTTTTTCTGACAGCATAACGTATGTGGACCAGAAAATGGATGTGAGACTATTCCTCATACATATGTATACATTATAGAATTATAATTATAGCCAATCAATATTACACAAATCCGAATATAAAATGAGAAAAACATATTCCACAATTATATTATTGCATCTTTTATGACATTTCATATCAGTAATACATGATATATTTGTCACACTTATAATTTACTGATATCACCATGATAATCTAAGTCATGTTTTCCTTTTAGGAATTCCTGGGTGTAAGATACTGTATAAGTGGTATTTACTCTGAGTGGTTAATTTTCCGAATGGTCAAATTTCATCATTTTCCTAATTTTAATTCTCCTAATGACAAGAAACCTCCCATTGGATAACATTATAAAGACAATATTTCCGACATTTAATTTTCCGAACCTAGCAAAAATTAGGAAATAGGAAAATTAAACGATTAGGCAAAATTACCAATTATACAGTAAATGAGCGCACTTTTTGTGTTGAAATGAGATTAATAATGGCCACAATACTAACATCTGATTTATTGCACAGAATTATGAAATAAAACTTGGAAACCATAGAAAAAGTCATGTTTTCCTATGCTGTGCTTCGCTTTGTATGAAACTTCCTGATGGATTGACGGGTTCATTCTTTTGTAGATTATTGACATAGACATTCAAAGATACATTGAGACACTGGAGAGCACAATGAAGACACTCTTGGACTTTTTGCATGTTAAGTTGAACATATTCATCTATCTACACAGCCAATATAATTAGGCGCCGTTTCGGCATTGACAAAATTCGGCACTGTTCCGACACCGAAACCTTTCGACACCGTTTCGGCACCGAAACCTTTCGACACCAAATTTGCTACCGGACTAGTCAGTCCATTTGGTGCCGAAATGGCACTGAAACGACGTCGAAAATCAGATTGCATTTTGGGGGTGTATAGCTGATTGGAATTCCTTGAATGGTACTCTTTAAAATTGGGGTTGTCTTGCATATCTACAAGAGTTATTGAACATATCATAAATTAAAATGGTAAGATAACCTATCAATTAACAAATAAAGGGGGGGGGGGTGTCATCGATTGTCCAGAGAATTTTTTTAAGTCAACTAGTATGTTTAACATAGTAGGGCTTAATAAGAAATGAATGATTAATAGACATTCTGTTTAGAGAGACGCAGATGTATCTTTGTAAATGTATCACTATCTATATATATGTAGATGACTTTGCAAAGCTTATTATTCCAATAATGCTGGCCTATATAATAAACAACAGAGTGACTCAGAAAATGAAACTCTGTTTTAATCAACGATATGGAATTTATTAATACAGTAAGTGGCATTTTTGGGGCACCCTGTAAAATAATAATCTGGCTGTTTTTCACATTTCTATAGCATTATGCCAATTTTTTGTATTCCCCACTTATTTCTCCCATTCTGGAAAATTTTGCTCTTAAAATGTAAATACTATTTAGGTTAATGATGGTTTATCTTTTACAATGTACAGTAGTTCTATCATACACTAACAGAGTCACTGACAACGAACCAGTTAATTAATGAAATATTCTGTACAATGTATATGATTCATTGCATATGGCAATTTCTATACAAATCATCACAAACCAATGAATGCAACTGTCAGGGGATGGTGATACGCATTGTATGGCACATCAGGAATGATAAATGCTCCTATATACATCAATACAAGTACATATGGCCTATTTTGAGAAAACATTGAGGGTTCCATAGTTGTATCATACAAAATCATGCAATGTACTCATAAAGTCTTCCAAACTACGAGACTGTGTGCTTGCTTTTTGTTTCCAAGAAGCTCTCTTTTAGTAAGATGCTATCTTTTTGTAAGATGCCCTCTCTTGGAAGATACCTGATGTTTGGAGATGCCCTCTTTTTGAAAGATGCCCTCTTTTTTGGAGATACCTGATGTTTGGAAGATACCTGATGTTTGGAAGATACCTGATGTTTTGGAAGATACCTGATGTTTTGGAAGAGGCCTGGTGTTTGGAAGAGTCCTTTATTTGTATATGACTATAGCCAACCAAAAACCTCAAAAGAATTGAATTGAGTTTGATTAAATGATATTTGACAACTACTGCTGATATTTAGAATATCATCAAATAGGGAATTAATCCTTGAATAACTGCCAGATATGAGTTAATGGTTAATACAGCTCAGTGAAGCAATTAGAACACAGGAAACCAAGATTCATATTCACCAGACTATCCTTTAAGATCATTCCTTCACTGCTTTCATAGCAGCTCAGTACTCTTGGGCCAAGAATGCACCAGACCCTATCTTGCTATGTGAGCATATGTTGAAAATGTAAGAGCTGAAGGATACCACAATATAAATTCAATGCTAATTATACTTAAGATACTCTGTTTTGGAGGAAAATATGAATTAAAATTTTAATATTTTTTTTGACTTTCGTGGATTGCTTTGTTGGTTACTTGAAGTAGGAAGCAAATCAAGGCCACGATATGCTTCGACTCATATAGCCAACATCCTCTGAATGCAAGTATCCACAATGAAGAAATATAATGGATGATGTCTGAAACCCTGCCTTTGTACAGCCAAGTACTTACCCTTGGTGTGAACATGTGTAGAAGCCCCGCACCAGCCCCCTTCAGCGTGACACCCCTGCCGAAGAATATAATCAGGACGACATATGGGAATGTAGCTGTGAAATACACAACCTGGAAGAAAAGAAAATAGAATTATGTTAACTCAGAAACTAAATGTTCCATTGGTTTTTGTTTACAATTTTTTAGAAACTAATTGGAAATTACAGCATCCAAGTCATATTAATTCTACAATGTACTTGATTAATATTTCCTATACTAAAGATATTCATATATGCATCTAGAAGTCGTGTTATTCAATCTGTTATTCAATCAAAAAGAAAATTAATTTTGCCACTTCCTGAAGAAGTAAAGTAAACACCTGAATAATAGGAAAATAGTTTTGAATACAAGGTTTCTGAATAAAGTCAGATTTCAAATGGGTTTTTGAATAGTTTTCAGAAAAATGGGTCTTTGAATGACAGATTTTGAAGTAATGTGAATAAAAATAATCAATGGTCCCAAAATGGCTTCCTCCCTTGGTCCCTGCGTGGGAACACAATCACTCATCCAGATTAGGGTCTCTAAGCTTTGATCTTATTAAATGCGTGGAATAAATCTTATGGTAATCTATTCCCCATTTCTAGTACATTAATCTGATCAGAATCATTGATTATTGATTGGCTCTAAAGTAATTATTCCTTGAAGAGGATGAAACCTGTCCGCTGTTTACAAACATCTTGAATTTGGCAAACTTCCAATCTCACTTATTCGGACCAATCTCTGAGCAGAAATGATTGAAAATAGAACCAAATTAAATCTGTTTCATGATGGATATAACTCAGTATTAGTTCAAATTAAGTCTGAAGTGTTTCTTGGTAATGGAGGAAATATATTGGTGTAAAGATACTGTATGACGTACAGATGTATTTATATTCTTATATAAATTACGAATAAGGATGTGAGTTGGTGACAAGTCTATATCTATATCATTTCTATGGTAATATATTGATAAACAATTGCATAGTGTAGAAAACCATTGCGATGTTCATAGCATCTCTCTAGCTTCTCCATCCCCATTTTTCTTATTCTGGAGCATTTCCTTGTTTGGATTCAGTACTGAAATGCTCCAGTGTGAATGTAGGAGTGTTTGGGTTATACACAGTATACAGGCGTGTAGTAATGATGTTGTAACAATTTTATCAGGTAGGCCTGTTTGAACTTCTACTTCTAAAAAAGGGTAAAACACTTTTAAACGTGGCAATTCAGCATTATCAATAGTAATAAGAGATACAAGGAAGCAAGTAATAATATTAAGCCAACACTACAAAACAATAATGATTGTACCCTTTGTCAGCCTTAATGAGGGTTCAACGATGTATATACACTCTTTAAAACAGATAGATTTTTTATCTTGTCTATACCCAATCAAAACAGGTTGTTACACATTTACTACACAATATTTTCTGATTGTAGCAAGCATTCATTTCAGATTCAAACTACATGTAAGATTCATTTGAGACTTTAGAGATCTTACCAGCATCAAAACTATAAAATCATATATAGCTGTCAGAGTGTAGTGTGGCCAGATGATGAGAATACAGGGTATGAGACACACTCGTTTCCCAGTTTGAAACACAACAAGGAAGCAATTGTTATGTACCATGTTTAAACGTAAACCATGATACCATGGTATACCATGGTTTACCATGGTCTATCATGATCGGCAATGAAATTACCATCAACTCTGACCATGGTGGCAATGATGTTTTTTTGGTCAATTTTTGACCATGGTATACCATGGTTTATCATGTTATACCATGTTTCATGGTATTTCATGTCCAAAGTTTGCCATCAAATACCATGGTATTTCATTGCCATGTTCCTGACCATCATTTACCATGGTATTACCACGGTATATCATGGTTGATTGCATTTCATGGCATTTCATTGTAAGATGTGACAATCAAATACCATGGTATTTCAATGCCATGTTCCTGACCATAATTTACCATGGTATATCATGGTTGATGGCATTTCATTATAAGATGTGACAATCAAATACCATGGTCATACCATGGTATTTCATTGCCATGTTCCTGACCATCATTTACCATGGTATTACCATTGTATATCATGGTTGATGGTATTTCATTGTACACTTTGACAATCAAATGTCATGGTCATACCATGATATTTTATTGTTATGTACCTGACCATCATTTACCATGGTATTACCATTGTATATCATGGTTGATGACATTTCATGGCATTTCATTGTACCGTGTGACAATCAATTACCATGGTCATACCATGTCATTTCATTGCCAAAATCATAACTCTCATTTATCATGGTTTTATCATTGCATTTCATGGTTGGTGGTATTTCATGGCATTTTATTGTCAAACCTCACCATCAAATACTATGGTCACACCATGGTATTTCATTGCCATAATCATAACTATCATTTATCATGGCATATCATTGCATTTCGTGGTTGATTGTATTTCATAGCATGTCATTGTTATACCATGGTATTTCATTGCTAAAAAGAACTCTACAAGAGTCTCAAGTCTAAAATTGGTCAGAGTTGAAATGGATCATGAAATGCAATGAAATACCACGTTTGACCATGAAATGCAATGAAATACAATGATTGATCATGATATGCAATGAAATGCAATGGTCTTTCTTGCAATGCAGTGAAACACAATGAAAGGCCATGTTCAAAAAGTATTTTTTACATGAAATATCTTTATTAATAAATGTTGATTAGATAACCACATTATCATAATTAGTGATTCTGATATTCATCAAAATCACAACTTTATATACTTTTGTTCCTTTATTTAATAAATTAATTTCTATTATGAATAATTAAGTTAATAACCCTAGAAACAATTTTTTTTTTGTTAAATTAATATGCTTTACTTTTATTTGACTGTTGTTGGTTAAATAGGAGATCAACTTAATATTTTGTAAGTCAAACCTCCAGTCTTCGATTAAACATCTTGACTATACTTCATTGCATTTGATGGTTTGCAACCATGAAATACTGCAAAAATAGCAGTATTTTTAAATGCAAAATTTTAAGCATAGTTTCCGCAGTATACCATAGAAGATCTTGATAATTAAATGGCTCCATTGCATATCATGGTTAAATGTCTAGACCATGATATCACTGCATTTGATGGTATTTGACCATGAAATACTGTGAAACGGTGGTATTTTTTAGATACAAAATTACATGTTAATTGACCATGGTATACCATGGTATATCATGATCGTTAAATGGCACCATTGCATTTCATGGTCAGGAGCGTTTTTTTAACATGGAGTTTCCCATTGAAAAAATACTGCCGTTTCACAGTATTTCATGGTCAGAAACCATCAAATGCAATGATATCATGGTCAAGAAACCATCAAATGCAATGATATCATGGCCGAGAACTTGACCATGATATCATTGCATTTGATGGTTTCTGACCATGAAATACTGCGAAACGGCAGTATTTTTTCAATGGAAAACTCCATGTTAAAAACGCACTGTTAACAATGAAATGCAATGGTGCCATTTAACGTTCATGATCGGCCATGGTATCACCATGGTATTTCATTGCATTTCATGGCCATATACAATGGTATACCATGGTCATACCATGGTATACCATGGTATGGCCATGGTCCATTTCAACATGGTATGAAAACAATAGTTAACCTGTGAATATTATTCTACTATATTGTTCTATTAGACTAGCATATCTTTTACAACTGTATAGCAACTAGGATGTGAAAAACAATAAAAGTATCACTTGTTTTGTTTTATTACATGAATAGGATTGTAAAATTCTTTTAACATTAGATAATATTTAATATTAGATAAAAGTCCATATGAACATTGACAATTTTCTGCCTAATTTAGAACCTGTTTCCCCAAATTTTCCAATTGTTTCAAAAATCTTACTAAAAAGCCTTTATCTCAATAACAGGCTAGAAAAATGGATCATAAAATTAAGAATTATCATTTCTGATTCCATTGATGATGCCTATGATTTTCGCCCTTTTTTACCATACACCTCCCATGGCAATATCCAGACTCACATTGACACTGTGTGCAACAATAGAAGACCCAGCATTAAACTATGTGAACCTTACTTAACCTTGCCTATTATTTAATCTTATCAACTGTCTAGCTTAATATTAGATTTGGTTTTTGAATAGGGGCTGCTCTTTCAATAGGTTCCTCATGATTTGTCCTGAGCACTGGTCATTGCCCCATTCTGATACTCATAGCCTCTTTCTGTTTCACCTAACTGAGAAGAATTGAGATGTCATGGTTTATCATGATGTCATTGCCCCATGCATGGAAACATGGTCTGTGAACTAACTTCTGATTATATTTTTCAGGTCATGTTATCCTATTTAAAAGCTAATATGGTCATAAGTTAAAAAGGATAATAAGTAGCAAGCAACTTTTATTCCAAAAACATTTCAATTAAAAAAGTGAATTAATTTAGGCTCAAATTAAGTACTGTCTATTTTCTAAAAATCCAAAAGATAACTTATCTAATGATTTATATATGCGTTCATTTTTCTTTATCAAATTCGGATATATTTTCGCATCTTAAAACGTTTCAACATTTGATCTCTTAAGAATAGAATTCCCCTGATCAATCAATGCTTTGTGAATAAAGATGGATTTGTGACATGTAATTGGATTGTTCTGACATCTTATATTAATTTGTCATTTCATTTTTTAACCTGGTCATGAGGACAAAATCAATCGCTTTCTTGATCAAGCTAACTTACATGCTGTGAACTCAAATATAATTGTATTGTAACAAATTAAAAAAACATAGTCCTGTGGACACTCTCTGCTGCACATCATTGTAAGTAGCTTACCCCCCAGTACCATTCGTATAGGTTTCACACCATACAATTACATGTATGTCACAATAATAACTAGCTATTAGAGACAACATAAGGTCCAAAAGCCATAAAATTCAGGATTTTTGTCATTAAGTTGTAATTTGTAGGTGCAACTTTAACACCCTGAATATCTTCTTATTCGCTAAATAAAATAGGTGCTTTTTTATCTGACTTATCAGTATTAAGAGGGCAATGAGAGCTGTGAGTACCATTTTAAGAGTTTGACCAGAAACATAAATAAAAAAATGTTATTATATGTTTCTGGTTTGACCTATCATCTCCACAAGGGCTTCATCTACACACTACTATACCTTGCATTTGGTGTTCATTAGCAACCCATTTGGCTTATTAGTAATGATTATGTATTTGTTTTTATTTGTCTGTTCCTTATGAATGGTTTATCGGTTGAAAATTAGATGCTAGTAAGGCACTTTCAAAAATATATTAAACAATTCAATTAGACAAACAAAGTATCTTATGCATTTCTAGGTGTTAGGTATAGTAGTGTGATCTAGTCAGTTTGACGAAAGTAGCACCTTCCACTTTCTCTCCACTACATAACCAGTTTGCAATCATCTTTTTCAGGTCTTATGAAGAACAAAGTTGGTGCTAATTTAGTACAAGTCTTGAAATTGTGCTTAGTACTAATTTTTACTTATATTTTGATACTAATTTGGTATTAACATTCAAGTAATTAGTGCTAAATTAGCACTTTTTCTAAAGTATCAAATTAGTATTTTGTAAGTGCTGTCTAGACTCCCGGGACTAGACAACACTACATCAGTTATTGAAGTTTTGATATCATCTTACCTTGCCCGATGACTTGATTCCTTTACACATGCATATATACACGACCAGCCATGCTCCCAACAGACAAAGCAGGAGTTTCCACTTTAGTCCGCCAGCCTCGTCAATCCCACTTGTTATATCCAACGTTTCCCTGTACCAAAAGTAAGATGGCGCATCACTCGCCGCACATTCAGGGACAATCTGTGACGTTACATTATCGATCATTTCCATGGGACACTCACCCCAGGGTAACACTGGCATGAAGGAGTTAGCGAAGTACCATAAACACCACATTATGATCACATTATAATATAATCCAACGATGAATGATACGATTGTACTTGCGTAACCAACACCACCCAAATATGGGTGGATTTCGTTCCATACTCCTACACTTCCCATACGTAGAGTTTGTCCAATTGAGAGTTCGAGGTAAAATAATGGGATACCCTCTGCTATTAACATTATGAAGTATGGGATGAGAAAAGCTCCTGGAAGTAGAAGAGAAAAATATTAGAAATATATATCAGAAATCGGGATATCCATACATCCAAAATCCAATCAGTGTAGATCCACATGGTAAGGTCTATTTGAAATCAATTTAGGTACCCTTTACAATTCATGACTGTCATACTGACATACAGTAGAACCTAGTTCTTGGGAAGTGTTCCACTTACAGAGGTTCATTAACATGGAGTCAATGGGCCACATTGTTCTCTTGGATGATCATATACATGACCTGAATATTGAACTCCAATATGACATGTCCAGACATCATTTGGGCATTTATTGCATTCCAATGTTTAGTTTAATGTGAAATAAGCCTTGGGGATATATCTGCAACTGGCTCATGAAACAAGCTTTTCACCTGTATATATAGCTCCAGTATGATAGGGAGGTCTGCCCAGATTAAAGCACTCTGTCTAACTTAAGCGCAAATATGAATACTGAATTAAAGGCCCCATGTAAAGTTTAAACAACTTTGCCTTATATTGTAGTCTTACCCAATGTTATCAAAGTGTGATATGTGAAACTTTTTTTTTTAATTTCAAAAAGTGGTTTTTGATAGACTTTTTGTTCCAAAATTTGTGAATTTATTTAAAACCAACTTTTAGAGGTCACTCGAATCTTCTAATTAGCCACAATTCATACCAATGCATAGCATACATCCTCCCATGTTTTTTGCCGAAAAAATTAAGAAAATCGGTTGATAAACAAGCGAGAAATGAACTTATCAGTGCATGAAAATGGTTCTGAGAAAAATGCATTTCAAAATTTTAGTTCTCATAGAAACCAATGGTACAATGATATCTAAAACATAATTTATTCTTCCTTTTTACCTGGTTAGACAATCAACATTGTTTTTTTTATGAAAGTCTAGCACATTTAGAAAAGATTGACATCGAAAAAAAAATTCAATTTATTTCAAAAAGTTTTTGTTACCTTAGTGACATCACTTATGTTTCAAAATATTTTTGATAAGCTAAAACATTGAAGTGGCCCATTAAATATGACATTTTATTATTGAAATAGTGTGTCTTTTGTTCAATCTTTGCATTGGGGTTAAAAATATAATCTTTTTTGAAATGCATTAAAAAATATTTGATGATTAAGAAATTTCAACTTTTTTTGAAAAATGGCGGGAAATTTGAATATATGAGAAATGAAATGCTCACAACTTTTTTTTCAAAAAAATTTTTTTGTTCAAAAATCTCTAAAATCACTTTTTAAGTCCTGACAAATAGTAAATGAATGATAAAAAAATATTTTCAAACTCTAGACGGGGACTTTAAGGTAGGCCTATTGCAAAACACCTATAGCATCAATATAGTACAGAGGTCTGCTTAATGCAACCAGATTGTACTATACTGTCTAACTTCGTGCAAATATGAACACTGAATACTGAATTAAGGTGGGCCTTGTGCAACAACTTTTTCACCTGTACAGTTTTTCATTTTTTCATTATATGTATACATGTACATACAAGTGAATGGTCTTTAATCCTGAATTGCGAAGAAGTCATTCTATTTGGCCAGTAGCAAAAGACAGAAAAGCAACAAGTGAAGTATTGATTATATTAGCCAGATAGAAACTTGCTGGCTCGCGGGAAAAATCAAGCAATAATATAATAGATGGATTTTTGTACTTTTGAAAAGTCTGATTGATCTATATTACAGACATACCACACTGTGGATTTGTTATTAAAATATAAATGATAGAAATGTTTTAATCAATATATTTCTCGTGAGTCATTCAGTGCTTTTTGCATGTAAGCTTATGGATTATCACTTGTATAAAGATTTACGAGTAGACAGACTGTTACTTGATGCAAGACAGAAGAAAGGAAAAATTGGAATTTATGAAAACACTGTATAAATATATGTACATGTAAGATGAAGAAATTAAATACATGCATGTCTATTTTCCTTAGGTTTTATATCTAAACTTATTTTGGCACAGAAATATTAAGATTCCCATGATTAGGGTATAATTGAATAACAACCTGTATAATTGACCACTGGTTTGCCCCCCAGATAGTCTCTGTTTATATATATAACAACTAACATGTACTTGTATAATATTATGACTTCATCACGGTGTATAACCCAAACGCTCCTACATGCACGACGGAGCGTTCCATTACTGAAATTAAACAAAGAAACGCTCCGGAGTAGGAAAACTGTCTGGCGGGAATGATGAGCCGTCTGACAATTTCCCCAATAATGGGAATAAGAGGTATGAGTTACATATTTCGAGTATACCATTCGATGGGTGTGATATTCATGTTGTACGTGGCTTGCTGTTGACGTTTGAAGCAATTAGGAAGAGCTGTACGAAGCAGTATAGTTATTAAAATTCAAAAACGCATTTGTCATTCTACCGGTCAAAACCCCTTTTGTCGATACTTGTGATTAGTTGAGCCAAGATTAGAGCACCAACGTATATTTTAGTCAAATTCCAATGCTTCAACGCACCATACATTATCGTAATAGTGATTTGATGACCGAAAATCCAGTCTTAAAAATGATGACATTCTCATATTCAAGAAACGCTCCGATCTGGTTAACACAGTGAATTGGAAACGCTCCGGTGGTCTAGATCAGTTAAGGAAATATATAGCTTGCCTTTTCTTTTCAGGAAGAGAAAGAAAAGATCTATTATACCCCTTGGCATCAATGGAAGAAAGATTAATTCACATATAACTTTTCGTTTTTTCTATAGTTTTATGATTTAGCACATATGTAGGCATGACATCATCTAATGTATAGGCTTTAATCAGCTAGTTGCACGTTTAACACCACCAGGTTCAGATGTTTCAATTTGCCTAACAAGTACAACACGTTTTTGAGAGATAGATTCGATTCGGAACTCTTCTCTAATAATCTGAAAATGATATCAAAACAAAATGGTAAGAGCGTTTCTAAAATTGTGGTCTAAATCGACGGAGCGTTTCGAGGAAAACAAGCGATTTCTCGAGAACAAGTAATGGATTTGGACTGGGATTTTAGGAAATGAGAATATACGAGTTTGTGATCTACTGCTTAAACAGAAAGATTAACGTTTTCATAGAAATACTAGTTTAATTCGTAATTTGTGGTCAAATCGTCATCTTCAGATTCGTTCGATCTACACTACGGAGCTTTGATCAAGCAAATAACAGTTTACCACCAAAAGTTGAATAAATAAGATCTTTGCTCACGGTATTGTTCATCGAATGGTACATAATATTTCACCATGACATATGATATGTAAGAGAAACGAGAGAAACAATACTTACGGTCATAGTAGAATCTTCATTAGCCGCCATTTTATTTCGCTCCGGAGCGTTTCCGCGTAAATGTAACGCTCCGTCGTGCATGTAGGAGCGTTTGGGTTATACACCGTGTTCATGTTTCCATGTGAACTCGCATCACAGGATATTCACTTAGCCTGCCAAATAATCACATATCTATATCAATATCTGTAACACAAAATTGATATAGAAAATCTAAATTGTACTGCTTATCCCTATATTTTATGTTGTATATTTCTCAAGTATTTTTGGAAGCTATATGGTTGCTGTAGATAAAATGTCATCTATTGGTTCTTATTAAGATTTGATGTTGAAATGTTGCCCCTAGTTACTTACCCAAAACATTTAGACATAATTAAATATCATCACTTTAGTGAATGTGTTGTTCAACAGACTTCTAATAAATTGCTTTGCAATTACAAGAGCTTACAATAGGAACTAATACTGATATGTCCCCTAGAGAGCATTTATTTTCATCAAAACACTGTCTTAACCACTCTATTAGCAGACAGGCCCACCATGTAATCTTATTACTACTGCAATTACAGCAGAACAGAGATCAGGCAGAAGCATGTTATACTTGTAGTTATCTCTGATTTGACTCTCTCATGATCGCAATTAAGATTGTAAAATTAGATTAGTAAAGTAAAAATAAATTTAAGGTAGGACCTGGTTTATCAACACAGGGGTTTCACTAGAATTTCTCACCACAGGCTAAATAAATGAAAACAACAGGAAAATTTAATGGAAATCATAAACTTAACATGGATGAAAAGTTGAAAAGTCCCTAAAAACAACAGGCAACTTTGTGAAAACAACCAGAGAAAATCGCCTGTCGCCTGCTGCTAATGAAACCCCTGCAACAGGTAGGTAAGATATTAGTCTTGATAGATTTTAGGTTCAGCCATGTCCTACCTTAATTGCGAATGAATAAAATAAATTTGATTTGTGATTGGTTCTGTGAGGAGGTTAGTCCATTCACACCTTTTACCAATACTTTCTTGCACTCTGCATTGTAGTCTATTGGTAAAAATGTAATACGTATATCCAACATAATAGTTTTTCAACCGAGAACAACTATATGACTTATTCTCTATAAAAGTAGTGTATATTCATAAATTCGGAGGTCATAAATGTCTATTTGGAGGTTATTTCTATGGCTGAGAGGGTCAGCCGGGGATAGAAAATACTGGCAAAGAGTGCTCCAAGAGGAAGAAGCCTATATTTAGGTTACAAGCTAAGCAAGGTTACATTCCATGTTACCATGTTACCATAGACATGATGACTCAATCAGGCAATCAATGATCCCCCAATATGGTTTGAATCAGATGAAATACATTGTAAAGCAGAGATTTTTTATCAGAGAAAATACTGTAAATGATGAGCAGCCATTTTTATTATGATGAGCATGCATCCATTTTTATTATGGTTATATGGATACCCGTAGAAAGCAAATCCAAACACATAATGATGGGTGAGTCTTGCATGAAGTCTTGAATCCCACCCTCCATTATTCATTTCTCTCATCTACTAATATAAGTTAGTGGGGGAGGTCCACATGGGAAGGTGCAAGACAAGAAGAGACAATATCTCAATAACTCTTACTGAAGTACAGCACTGCTCAGACTTATTTTTGGAAAAGTGAAGGTTCAGTGAAGTTTTTTTGTAAGGGCACATATGTTTTCTGTTCATTTATTCTGATGTTCTTTCAGCATACAATACTTGCTTCCCGATGTGATTGTTATCATACCTTGGAAAGCTAAGATGGTCCTTATTAGGTCATTCTGACTTTTAAAAAAGGACTCAAAATTAACTCTCGTGTAAAATCAATGATGATAGCATTTGTATCAAGGATGATAATATTTTAAAGGCTGATAGCAATCATATGTACAAATGAAGATAATATGTTTCAATGATGATAACTTTTGAATCAAGGATGATAATATTTTCAAGGCTGATAGCAATCATATGTACAAATAGATAACAAGTTTCAATGATGATAACATTTGAATCAAGGATGATAACATTTTTCAAGGCTGATAGCAATCCTATGTACAAATGAAGATAATATGTTTCAATGATGATAACATTTGTATCAAGGATGATAATATTTTAAAGACTGATAGCAATCATATGTACAAATGAAGATAACAAGTTTCAATGATGATAACATTTGAATCAAGGATGATAATAGTTTAAAGGCTGATTGATATTTTTAAGCTGATAGCAATCATATGTACAAATTAAGATAATATGTTTCAATGATGATAACATTTGAATCAAAAATGATAATATTTTAAAGGCTGATAGCAATCATGAGAACAAATGAAGATAACAAGTTTCAATGATGATAACATTTGTATCAAGGATGACAATATATATTCAATGGCTGTCAAGTATCAATTACTGGAACTGATTGATAAAATGTTTGAATCTGGCCTTAGAGAATTATAGCAAAATATATGTCCCTGTAAAATATACTGTAAATATTGAACAGAAATAGCTATTAAGTTACCTCAGGCTATTCATGATTTTTGGCTTGATTTTAATCTTATTTCAATTACACATCTGCTTGGATTATAAGGATAATACTACATAGTCTTCTATATTCAATACACAATATTTTTATGTTTAATGTTCTTTTCTACATTCCTTACATTATTAATAAATTCTTAAGATAAAAATCAAAAATCAATGAGCATGAATTAAGCATCAGATGTAAAGTTAGGTCTTATTACCAAATCATTTCATATTGAAAAATATCAAATATTCTGACAGATGATGTTAAAGATGCATTTGCGCATTATGTTTTATTTAGCCAGGTTTGCTCTTGCGTCTATTTGTGGAAATGATAACATGCAAGTAAAAACAAGAAAATAACTGCCTTATCAATGATTTTGTGTGGTATAGTGATATTCATCTTGCTTTTAACAAAGGTACCCGCCAAAATATCCTATGACCACAAATATGTTAAGTATTTACACACCTTGTGTATTATTTAAAGAAACCAAGCCTTTATGTGGTTAGAAAAATCAGAGTTTCTATACATGTATTTATGATTGATGCTAAATATTTCAAGGGTACCCTTGCAAAATATTCTATAGTAACAACTATAAAGTAACTAATAGATGCTTTTTGGGAAAAACTTTGTATGTTTCTTTAGATTGAGTAACTTTATATTTCCTTTTTTCTGGTTAGATACTAAAATTTTTATTGCATTAATGGAAGAAACATTAAATTTTTGCACAGATGCCATGCCTAGATATTCACCTTTTAACTTCCTCACACATTAGATATTCGTGATTTTTACCCATGAAACCACCTCATTAAAACAAATTGACAAATCAAATTTAAGCATTTTGCTGATTCAGAATCATTTCAAAATTTCAACTAGATTTTGATGGATATCCTAAAACTATACATCATGAATTGAAACTTATGAATCATATCACTAAGAGAGCACTTAATTAACATCATTATAAAAATATCAGAAATCATTTATTCACATATATTTCCATATAAGGAGTTCAACACGTTCAGGAAACAATACCCTGATAACAATACAAAATTTTATTTCCTGTCAAAATATATATGGCCAGCATCTGTAAACATACAAAGTATAGGCAGGTGTTTATTACAGATTCTTAATGGAAACATTTGTTTACTTCACCATTATTCGGACATTTGTTTACTCTACCATAATTCAGAAGTTTGTTCACTACATTATGTCATCTTGGTTACAGAAAGAGGTGAAACTAATAAGTATCTCAATTCTAAGAATGAATAATTAGGAAGAATGAACATTTCTCAAAACTTGAATAAAAGATGACGTAAGAGTCAATTTGTTTACTTCATCACTATGCAGACTTTTTTGAGGATATATTATATCATTTTGGTTGCAGAAAAAGAAGATATTGAGTATCAGAATTCTAAGTAAATGAACAATCATAAAAGAATGAATGCTACACAAATCTTCAACAAATGATAATGTAAGGTTTAATACATAATACTTTATATCCTCCAGATATCTCAAAATGTTTGTTACATTTTTCTGGAAGTGTCTTTGTATTTGTGAGAGAAAATCTTGAACTTTTTTAATCTTGACAAAATGAAAGCTTGGTTTTGTGTCTTGCAAGTATTCAAAGTTTTGAATTGCTCTTTTATCTTTTTTACTTTTTCATCCCTCCCCTAGTTCACTTTGACCTCTCCGGTAAAAGCTGAAGGGAGGGCACAGTTTGAAGGTTTTGAATTTCTTTTCACTTTAACATTAAAAAACATCCTTTAAATTCTATTTACAGTGTAATTAAATATAAGCAGTGCTCAGCTGGTGTGAATACTAAAATATGTTAAATACAGACCAAGTTATCCAGACTAACAGTGCCAAGAAATTATGAATAACACAGACTGGAAGTGGAATCAATATAGAAGTTGGCAATATGCCATATTTTTCCTATACTTGGAAAATTCCCATCAGTTTAATATTAGCAGAGTGTATTGACTGGACACGTTAAATATCCATGAGAGATGAGTGGGTGATATAAATTACATTGCTCTATAGTGACATATTGTAAATATTATGATGATGTGTGTAGCATATGTTTTCTTTATAAATTGACACAATTTAAGGCTTGTGTAATGTTTTATGTATTTTGTCTGTTATTTGGGAATGTCTGTTTTTTCAATCACAATACTGTGACTGTGTATTTGTGAACATGTATTTGACTGTATTATATACAGTACTACTAGACTTGGACAATATTTTATTGTCTTTCGCAAGTTTTAAGCAAACATTATAATTTTTTTATCCTCAAAACATTTTTAACCCGAATTCACTGACTTTGTATCCTTATATCCCGCCAGGTGTCTAAAGCACTTAATAGCATTATTTCTATCATTTTCATTTAAGTTTAACACTCCTATGTTGATTGTGTGCTTACTTAACAGGAAAGTAAACCCCAATATAAACATGTATGTAAATAATGGTAATTAACCTCTGTATACATGTACGTCATAGAACTTTATAGGCCTTTTTAAAGTTTCTGAATAAAGTCATAAAATTTGTTCACTACATACCTCCTCCATTCTTCTGACACAGATATGGAAACCGCCAAACATTTCCTGGAACAGAGATAAAGATTTGCATAAATTAACGACTGAGAAGAGACAGACATGAAAAGATGGAGAAATGCTGTTTGCAAGGCTGATGGTGTTATTCCATAATTTGTGTCATTGTGTATATGGATCTGAGAGGTCAAAGTAAATGTTAACCTAATGTATATGCTATTCAACAAATAATTGCCATTACAAAAGATTCATTCATACAATACTGAGTAATATTGATTACAGGCCTTAGTGCCATTTATCAACATGTGAAACATTTGTTCTGGTTCAATTTTACCTAATCCAACAGCATACGAAATCACTGACATCAAAAACTGAACTTTACTGTCCCAACTCGGCCTTTCTTCCTCTTCATTCTCGGATACATTGTCATTATCTCCTTCTGTATTTGCTAAACACGTTGCTGTTTCTCCTCTTTCAGGATCAGATGTACCATTTGTGGCCATTTTGATTGTTTAAAACACGTTTTTCTTGAGAGCAGTTTTGTACGTGTTCCTCCTCTGAATATTCTATTGATATATGTAGTCTGGGTCAGAGGTTATGTTGTTATTGGTGGAATTTAGTCACGTGATAACAACAAGGAAGCTGATTAGTTGAATCATAACTGGGCATGTAGTACAATTATGTTAATGAGGTACATTTATGAATGGAAAATTTTACTATTTGGCAATGGTCAACGTACTTACAATTTCCTATAGTATAATAATAGTGATTATATTATAAGTGAGACGTACTCATTTTGGAGGGAATATTTTCTTGACTAATAATAAACTCATTCCATGTGAGGAAACTGGAATTTGTCAACAGTTCCATGGATACCAGATTGTTTTCATAGTAAAAAGGTAATGTAAACAAAACAATTTCCAAACAGACTGTTGATAAAATCAGCACCAGAATTCTAATAAATAAAAACTGTTTTTCAAGAACAGGGATGAAAATAAAAGTTGAACTAAAAACATATAATTGCATGGAAAATTGGTCAGCAAGATAATTAAATGCACGGTCTAATTTATTTAGTTAATTAGTAATAACTTACAGAAGTTTTATTGACATCTTCAGAATATAGGAATATTGGTTACCATGACAACAAATAAGGGGTATAAGAAAAATGGTGGATGTGTTCTTGTTGCCTCCCTTTAAGGTATGTTAGTCTCAGTTATGAGCTAGTAAAAGTGGCAATTTGGTCAAGAGATATGCACTCTTATCAGCTATATATTACATTTAATCATGTCAATTGGTCATTGTCAAACAAAACATGATTTATCGTTACATAGGATAGGTGTTGGTTTTAATCTTGAAATTCAGAAGGTGATGACTCTTAAGTACTATGTATGTTAAGAGACAAACTAATTATTTCCTTTTTTGGGGCTAACACTGACAGATCCAGAAGCAAACAAGAAGGGAGGGCACATTAAAACCCAAATCATGGGCTTTCAAGTAGAAAGCCCATGCCCAAATTGAGGCCCAAATTTTGAAACTTCGAGGCCCATTTTTTGATAATTTGGCCTAGAATTAATAAATAAGGCCCCAAAAGGTCATGTAATGGCAAAAAGGCCCACTAATGAGGCCCTACAAAATTTATTGATTTTTGATTTTTGGGCCTAAGATTTTTTTCCTTGGCCCATCCTAGGGGGGGGGGGGGTGGATCGGAGGATGGATCAACCAGTGACTATTTTTGAATTAGTTTACTGGTTTAACACCCAAATGAGTTTAAAGTATGATGTCATTTTGACATCTTTTTAATTAACATTGCATTCAATACAGGTGTGTCAGGGTGCTAAAATATCACAAATAAATATTTTCGTAAACTTTGTTTTGTTGAATAATTATCTTTGCTGATTTTCAGAATGGAATCAATTTAATCAAATCAAATAACTTTCAAATAAGTACTCAAATAACAATCACTCTTGGTTACCATCAATTATATTTGACAATTACATCATACAAATGCACTGTACTGAAAAACATGCAAATCAGATACAAAATGCAATACTATGAGTTGAAGAGAGTTGGGTTTTCAACTTTCTGGTATGAGAATGACAGGGTGTGGTCTTCTCGAAGGAGGGGGGTACTGTAATCTCCGTAATGAACCTAGAGGCAGCCTGATCGAGTTTGGGTTGCCAATGCCAATCTAGTCTATAATTTCCTGAGAATTCAGTCTATTGATCAGTATGTCCCTCCTGGTGGAAAAAACAGGAAATTTCCTGCACACAATTATCAATTTTAGGAAACTTCACTTCCAAAAAATAAGCATTATAACAATTCAAGGTACAATTAAGGTACAATTAAATGCTATAAAAAGTAACACAGCATATTGTCAAATGGAATTAAAGCTAGGGGAAGTAACAAATATGCAAATTAATTTACTCAATCGGCCATTTTGAATGGCGCTTCCTATGTAAACAAATAATTTTCAATCCCAAATTTTAACATTTGTCGGCTTAAGTCTGAATATTTTCATTTCAAATTTCAAAAAAATTTCAGACCAGAGAATATCGTCTAAATGCCAATCTCCTGGGCAATCTCCATTGGGGCGCTTTTTAGAAAGAATACGGTATTTGAATTCTGTTCTCAAATAGTTTTAAGAGGAGAGTTTTCATTGGTCATTTGTTCGAAATTGTGTAAGTCGAATTGTGATTGGTCTATCAAAACAAAATGTCAGCCTCCTCAAAAAACTTTTTTTTTCAAATTTATTAGGCTTTCTTCGAATTAAGAACGCATGCCTATATAATGACAACGTTAAATGAGGTTTGTTTATTTTTTATATCATTTTTGATCTAGTCTACAGGGTGTCCGGAAAGTAAAGATACAAATGCTCTAACTTCAATAGATTTACCTGTTGTGAGATGAAATTGCTACAGTGGGGATCATAAAGAATTGCAAAAGCTATGAAAATTACATGCTGTCGCACATGTAATAAATTCTTACCTCAGTGTATTCAGTGCTCTATTTTCTCCGTCTTAGTAAGTCCAAATATAGTGGAATTTGTGTCCCTCATGACAAATAAGAACATCAAAAGTTGAATTGGATATTCACATGTTATGCTGACTCTTCAAATGTTGAGGTGATTTTGTCGCCCGATTGCGCCGGAACGGAGGATTGGCTCCCAGAATGCAACATGACACGTGCCAGCTTTCAAAATGCTGTTCCGCCACTTTGAAACCTGTCATGAGTAAATACGGTTAACTGATGTTGCATTCTGGGAGTCAACCATCCTTGGATAACAAACATGGCGATTCATGAAAACATTCATTCGATTTGGTAGGGATTTATCCATTATTTGCAGGTATGAAGCTTTGGATTCGTTTATTGTGCTACTTTAGTGAACGGGAATTATTTTTCTACCGCTTGGGAGAGTTTGAGACACGAAACTTGGAAATAAGCTCATTGTGATAACTTGTGAACGTTGCGTTTTATTTTTGTCCCCCACTGTACAGATTGTAGCCTACTTGTAGAATGACATTTTCAACAATATATCCTGTAACTGTCATGACATATAGTCTCAAAATGAAAAAGTTATGGTCGTTATGGTAACGGGAGTTGGGGGTATGTGGAGCAGCGTCACAATTAATTTTTATCGTATTTTATAAATCTTTTTCCTATTCATATCATCTTGGCACTCAACCCATTTGTTCCTATAAAACATCAAATTATGTCCCACAACAGCATGAGGATTAGTACTCTAATATTATTTTATCATTTAACATGACTACTATTATCTGATTATGTTTTCCCCGCATTTTCTATATGTTCATGGTGCATCTTAACCAGAGAAAAAGACCGGACAAAACCGCTGCTGTTCGTCTCCAGATTTCTGATTGCATTTGCTTCCAGTTGTGTCTCATTTGAATACTGAACTTCTAACAAATATCGCTTTGAGATGCTCGTTAAGGTAAAAGTCTAAAGGGGCCTTTTCAGGTAAATATGGGGCATTGTACAAAAAGGTTTAGTGTCAAGACACTCCATTTTGAGATTTGTTGGCTTTCCTTTGTGATCTGGTGCATTGTGGATCCTTATTAAGCCAGGGAACTTTTATTTTAAGCACTTGTATAATATTTCTTTGATTACACTATGACATAACATAGTTCTGACATGTATCAATGACACCATTACACATAAGAGAACATAATAGCATAGCCAGGAGGGGGTGCGATGGTGTGATCGCGTGATCGCACCCCCCCCCCATAACCAATGAAAATATGACCATGATGATAGATGAAGAAAAGAGCCTTAAAATGCTTTTTATTTGAAGCTTCTAGCTCAATTTTTGAAGGAAGTTACACACATTTTTTTGTAAATTCAAAACAAATCTTACACGTTTTCTAATGATATATGTTAGTGATATATGTTATATATTCGTATTTTTCGTTTTTTTGGGTACCCGTTTTTTTCGACAGGATACCAGTTTTGAACCCAGCATGGAGGATTTACTACCCGGTACCCAGTTTTTTCTACAAACCCTAAAAAATACTCACTGTGACTTTTATATTAATTAACACCCAGGGGGGGGGGGGGGCACTGGTCTGATTTTTTTACAGGAGGCTGCCAATGAGACTCAAAATAACTACCCACATCAGGCCTTCCAACTGTCCTGCAATTTGCGTATTTGTCACGCATTTGCTGGAAAATTTTGAGGTGTCCAAAGTTTGGTTATATGCAACAGAATTTGACCCAAGGTGCTCAAAATGTGGCCAAGGTGTTCGCATTTGGATCAAGGTGTCCAAAATTTGAACAAAGGTGTTCAACATTTGTAAGTCACTTATGTTAGGTGTTCCCAAGTTGACAGACCTGCCGCATCTAAGGATATTTTTTCTAAAAATGGACCCACATCTAGGGGTTTTCTTTCAAAAATAGACCCACTTCAAGAAAAATTTTAAACACAAGACCTACTTCGGGTGATTTTTTTCAAAAACAATACCCAGTTTTAGGATTTTTCAAAAGTAGACCCGGTTCTAATGATTTTTTATGAAAATGGGACCCATATCTAGTTTTTTTTCTTCAAAATGAGACCCACATCTAGGGATTTTTGGCGAAAAAGTGACCCACTTTAGCAGCACGTCCCCATATAGCCAATATATGAGAGAACCCACCCTTGGGGCTAAACAGTACTTTTCCCTTGGTCTATGTTCATGCCAGGAGCTATGGTCAGTGATATATAGATCCAGTCTACTACCTTTTTCATGGCCAGACTGATTCGCTACGATGTTAGAATTAAAAAATTAAGACTTAGCTAAAGAAAAGAATGTCACCTACCTTCCAGAAGCATTCATGGATGCCAGCATTTGACTTTGTTGCATCAACCATTGAGCATAACTCCACATAACCGCTAGTTAGATAATATAAGTCCATGCTAGAAGTCAGTCTAGCCCAGTCTGTCAACTTTCATGGGAATTGCAGAGAATTCTTTTGCACAAAATAATCAATTTTAGGAAGCTTCACTTCCCAAAAATAAACATTATACATTTTATAACAATTCAATTGAGTAGTAAGGTACAATTAAATGCTATAAAAACTAACACAGCATAGTGTTAAATGGAAATAAAGCTAGGGGAAGTAACAAATATGCAAATTAAATTACTTCATCGGCCATTTTGAATTGTACTTCATGATTTTTGAAAACTGCATGATTTTAAAGAATTTTTGGCAGGGCCTGAATGCCATCTGGCTATGGCTGTCCCTGAATACAAATTCTCTTTGATGCTGTGCCCCAATCAAAAAATGTTAACTTGTCTTTGTTGAAAAATATATATTACATGAACTGACAATTTTACTTTGTTTTCTTTATATTCAGGAAGAACAGAATGTTAATAATACATATTATTGACCCATACAAGGATACAGGTCTAGAAATGACACATACATAACAGTTCAACTAAGTAACACAGTAAAATATCGAGAAGTACATGTACAGATGTACATGTAGCTACAACCTGGATCATAACAATCGGTATGATGACGCTTCCAGTAAACAAGAGCATGTGAGTAAAATAACATTGATCTTCAGATCAACAAACCTTAACTCAGCTGCTCTATTCAGATTTTAGATGCAGAGGGCTGTGAAGTATAATTATCAGATGAGAACAAGATAGGAAGTCACGGATATGGGGAATGCATTATCATTGCTAACGGAAGCACAGCTACAAGAGTATTTAAACCAAACTCCATTCACAAAACCTGAACTTGGTAAAATACTACAAAAGTATGCTACATATGATAAATCGGGAAAAAATGTTCAGGGAATCCACCCGGAAATCCTAGAAAATATGCCAGAATTCTTACTCAATCCATTGGCTTCATGCATCATCGCACACTTTACTGATGACTCAACTGGGTTGATTTTCCCTGCGAATTGGATATCCATGTTCAGTGATCTCAGCTCAAAAGCGCACATTGACCAAAAACGTGCTTTATTATGGAATCTAGTCGACTATCATGGAACTGGTAAATTACAATACGAGGAACTTTGGAGGTTTTATAAATTTCTGTTTGGTGTAGCACTGACAGAGGATCAGATACTTGAGCTTGTGATTGAGAAACTCCATGATCCTGGACTTCAGGAGAAAGGGGAATTGTCAAGAGAGGAATGGGACAATAGCGTTTCTGATAGGGAGATCATTGAGAGACTAACTATAGATTTCAACTATGAATGATTGAATACAAACAATGGAAATTAAAGTTTTCATAAATATTAAAGATCTTATAAACATTAATGCTGATATTAGATCTGAGAACTATATTGTATTGTAACCATAGTTATATTACATATTGTTATTTATGATGCATGTTTTTTTTTTATTAAAGTTGGTTTCTGTATAGCACTTTCTGGGATCCCTTACCATCTGGTACCCATGTGCCTTAAATTGAATGTTCTTTCACTTTCAGTGATCAGTCCATAATGGGAGATCTTTTAGCAAAAAATACTGTGATATAAACAAAACTTCCCCTGTTTGTTTAGTGTCACTTATCCTGCTTGAATGATTTTAATGTTAACTAATTTCTTTTTAAAATGAGGCTTTGCAGCTTTTCAGTGTTCATTGGCTCAATAAAAACTTTTCATCATCCTAGTATTTCAAAATGGATTGATTAGTACTCGATCTTTCGATTAACACCAAAAACACCTCAAACGGGTGACATTAAAGCTTACAATTACAAACCAAAAAATATTTTCTAATCTCTCAATGGCAAAAATTGGATGTCATCGAAGCCAATGGTCTCTGTGTTTTCCTGGCAAAATACTTCTTCTAGGGGTTAACTAAATACGCCATCTATTCATTCATAACTAATAAAAAACACCTATAACACTTTTAAACAGTATGCAAATTGCCTCCCTTTAAATCCAGAAATACTGGCATAGCTCTATGTTAAAATTGAAACAAGTTGTGAAAATAAAATTCAAATTCTGAAATTGAAACTCAAATATAATTGAATGCCTCTTGATACTCTAATTACTTAAATTTTCTTGTTCACCTTTTGTTAACATGAAATGGAACACATATTGACACATTGTAAATCAATTTTTAAAGTTCATTTAAATTTTACTCTTAATGATCACTATACAGTATTAACGTTAAATCACAATCTTCTTGACAACAAGACCATCTTATTTGACACCAATTGAGTTTCACATTAATCCATTAGGATAAATCAGGAATTTAAATGGGTTTTGTCAGTTCACTCCATTCAATGACTAGTATTCTGGCCCTACTGATGTCAGTTCTGCCATCTATTTATCCATCTATAAAGTAAGTCCTCTGTTATGCAGTGATGATTCGTCAACTGGAACAAAATAGTTGAGAAATAAGCCCTTTTAAGGTGAGTTAATTCTTTTATATACCCGCATGTCTTAAAAGTTTTCAAATATCACATTTGCTAATATCAGATGTAAGACATGTCTTCCATCAGCTCATTGCAGAAAAGCTTCTGATTCATTTTCATGTCCCTATTGTACGAATACAGAAAACTTTTGGACACATCTAAATGATTTATAGATGAGATTAAATTTAATAAATGAACTATAAGATCAGATCTTGCATTGTAGAAAATTACGTGACATGTATTGAATATTCTTTGATGTTGTTCAAATGATTCATAAGGGTTTGTTTTGTTTTTGAAATGTTGCGCTTAGTGCCTTCTTGTTTGTTTATTGTGCCTGTTTGCTTTTATTTAGGGAAATCGGATTAGAGGTCTAGATAACTTGTTGCCATTCATCAACATTAGCGTTTTTGAAACTTTTGATGGACATTCGCAGTCTGAACAAGCATTCGATGGAGCTGCTTTGGGTCCATACAGAGACAAGACTCATTGGCTGTCTCATTTAACTACAGGACAGTCCGATTAGGTAAAAACTGTTACACTTCATCGTTAATGACCCTCTAGGTCACTCTTTCTTACTTTTTTCTAGAAATGTCCTTGTTGTTGAGGTTTGTCATACAAGAGGCAATACAGAATAATTAAATAAAATGATGTATTTGTTTCAGCCTATGAAGAAATTCCTGAAAACACGAACAAACCAGGTGGCAGATTTATTGATGTAAAACAAGGTTTAACAAATGATCCCATCACCATTTAACGAGTAAAAAACATATGGAACATAATCTGTCATCAGATCTAGCTGAATTCCTCAGAGAAACTACAAGCAACTTGATTAGTCAATTTAGAATGCATGACCAGAACTATATGAGGTAAGAGAACCATAATACCATGATTAAACTAAGTGTGGGGGATGTATGCATTGAGATAAGATATGAGGCATGAGAAGACCCCTGAACGACCCCCTCATTTGTGATGTTTATCTTCTTTTGTGTTATGCTTTTTCATGTCATTCTGGGCTGTTATTGTGACTTTGAAATCCTGTGAAAGGGCCTTACCTATTTTTAAAAATACAATGCAATTGATCAGCTTCGAGTCCCTGTCAGCTCCCAGTTCTCCCTAAAAATGGTTCCAATACTTAATATAAAACAAAAAATAAAACAAAACAGAGACACATACATTTCAAATAATAAATGTTTTCATATTTTAAGAAGAAAACCATTCAACATATTTATTTTGGAATAGTGAAGTTGAATGGTATCAAATTTTAAAACAGATTGACTTTTGGCTGGTCGTCTTGAATTCTGGTCACTAGGTCCTCATTGGTGCTTTGATCTTGTTCACAATTGCCTTATTTTCAAACATAAAAAGGAAGTTTATTATCAGACGGCATAGCTATAATCGTAATAATCATTAAATTGAAAGTAATAGTTAGTATTTATTTGCGAGCATATAATAATGAAATTAGATTTAGATTTACAATAAATGTATTGTGCAACACATGTTGATTCTTGTAAAGTTGGACATTTTGCAGGCAATGTAATTCCAAGGAAATTCAAAAGATGAGCAAATCTCACAACATTTATGCTTGTTAAATTGCTTAAGTTAAAACATGCAAATGTCTGGTGTTTTGGAGGTAAATGAATAATGGTTTATGAGCTATATTTTCAGTGGTCGTTGTTTCCAGAAAGTCTGGTGCATGTTAACGTTTATTTGTCAAATGTCAATTGTAGTTTTTTGCATGTAATTGCGTATTAATTGAAATTAATTCAATTATCAATTAAAAGTAGATGAGATAAAAATCATTAATCAATTACAATGTCTATTTTAACTGATCATGGTATGCAACTGAATATATATTTAGGACTCAAATCAGACTGATAAATTAGTCCACTTACAAATAGTTACCATACAGTGGCACTAATTTATGTGAATACCATGAAGACACTCTTTAACGACTCATACAGGTTGGTCCTCTGTACATGCATCTTTTTGGGGATGATGTAACTAATATATTTTTTTAAATTAAAAAATCTGATGGAAATGCTATTCAAAAGGTTATGCACATCTTGTCAATGAGGAATACACCCATGTTTTAGCATTATCTATTTGATACACAAATTACTCATGATGAAGTGTTAAAAGTTTATTTCAATATTATATAATATTTCAATCATATTTTTATTTAAAGTGGGACTTTGAAGAACTATGCAATTATTTTTACAGGAAGTTGCTAAAACAATAAATGTTCAAACTAATTTGCAAGTTTGATTTGTTTGGTATTTGTTTTGAAAAATATGTGTAGTGTCCAGTATCATCACTTTGTTTGTAGGTTTCAACACTAAAACTAAAAAGTAAAGGGGCAATAAAGAATAATCACAACCTGAGAGTTAATTGTCCCAATATTACAATATTTTTTGCTCTCATCTTTGTCATCTTCTCATTCCATGTGATGCCTTTGAAAAAAATTTCAGCAGTTTTGACTTTATCTTAGGATAATCCTATTATTTTATTCCACTGTTATCTGGCAAAGTAATTGAAAAAGTGGACTCCCCTTTTTCAATTTTAATGAATTGCACATTTCTGAATCTTAAATCTTCAATAATTTCTATATTTGATCATGTGTCTCATTTCTTTTTTCAGAAAATGAAATTAGGATCCCAATGGACATTTTGGCATGCTTTTTGAAAAGATCGCTCCCATCATTTCACACTCTCCAATCCTTAATGGCACTTTAACAATAAATAAATAATTTAAATTTTGTAATCAATTTTATTTAACAAAATACAAAAGTTTCAAAAGTATCCCATATTTGATAGGCCACCCTGTACACATATTGGTGTTCACAAGATGCAGGATTTGCTGTAGAGTTACATATTTTGCATCTTGAAATATTACACATATTTTCATGACATTATACTGTATGTCTTTATACTGAATACTTTAACTTGCAAACATGACATGTTAGAATAGGAAGAAAGCATGACAAATGAATATTTTTTCAGTTCTCACGAATATTTTGACTATCAGGGGTGGATATAGGACTTTGTTTCATGCACATCTAGTAACAGGTATACAATCAAACAATTTCATTTGTACATTTGATTTAATTAGAAAGGAAAGAAAGTTAATTGATAAGGATACATTTGTATGATTTTTAAAAAAACTTTATTGCTTCCAACTTTTTCATTCTTTTCATTTCATAGACACATTTTATTGAATCCATCCCTGGTGCTATTAAATGCCCTGTCAACAATTCAATAAAATGTATTTTTGTATAAACTCTTAACTTAAACCAAGTATCAAAAGTATTAGTGAACCAAGAGTTTAGTCTGACCTAAAGTTATATCGAATATAGACTATTGGAGTGGGATGTTAAATTTGTATGTGTTTACTGATGAATTTCAAAATTGACATTTAGATCATTATCTGAAGTTCATTGTAAAAATTTGGGCTGGCTGTCCAATAACTGTGAAAATTTTCTGATTTAAATTATACGAATTGACCAAATATTTTTGACATTGAAAACATACCTGTTATCTATCATTTTAACTGTCTGGAGCAGAGAGTATGAAATGTCACATCAAAACATAGCTACTGTATAAAGTATAACTCTACTTAAAAAGTATAACTTTACATTGTAAAAAGGAGAAAGGACAACTTTTAAATACTTTTAAGGATAAGATATACAAAGGATAACTATTGTACAAAGGATAAATACTGTATAAGGATAACTAATGTATAGAGGATAACTTTTGTAGAAAGGACAACTTTTGTATAAAGGATATATACTGTAAAGGATAACTTATATACGGAGGGTAACTTTTGTTAAAGGATAACTAGTCTATAAAGGATAACTACTGTACAATACATGTATCAGTCTAGTAGTCTACTGTACTGTATTACATAATACTCCATAAATGATAAATACCATACAAAGGATACCTGTTATACAAAGGATAAATATTGTACAAAGGATAACACATGTATAAAGTGTTATTAGATCTTGAAGTAGTGGAAGATATTCCCTAATTAACAACTAAACCAAATAACCAAAGTAGCCTGACATATTTGAAGTATTTGAAGAAATATACAAATCTTTGAAACATATGAAACTAAATAGTTAAAGATCTTTTTTGACATGTTTGATTATCAATGTTTCGATCAGTTCTAACAACCGTAGTCGGAGCCTGGCAGAGTGTCACAGGATCGAGACCCATCTATCAGGTAAATCCAACATCAATCCTTTTTACTTTGTATCTAAGTAGTAAGTATGGTCTCCAACTTCTTTGTGGATGGTGGTTGGTGGTCATTCTGATACTCATAGTATCTCTCTCTGTTGCATCGCAGATGGATATCCAGAAGGATAGAGATGGAGAGGGTGTGGCTTACCACGATGGTTGGCAGTTGGTGTTTGAGAGTTTGGCATCTGTAACAAATGTAACATGTAGTGGCATTTTGCATGTTAATGCCTTGTTTAATCTGCCAGAGATTGCCATGTTAAACACTTTCTTAAAGTGAACACCTGCCAATTGGAACACTTTTTGGCAATCTGACATTATATTCAAATAATTTAGGTACACTGTATTACTGTATATTATAAAGTAGATGCAAGAAAATTATTACTCTCACTTTGGGTGTTAAAATGTCAAATCATGATTCACTACACAATGTGCAATTTTAGATATTATTAAAAATTAATCACAAATATGTATAATCTAGTACATGAGTACATTGCATGTTATTTTTGAAGTTGATATGCCCACGCTTAAAAACCATATAAAAGGTACCCCTAAACATAGGTTAAATAGTACATTTAAGTTTATAATACATTTAGAACATTGCCCTAACTCAACAATTTCCCACTCCTTATAAAGATGTGAAAATGCATGTATATAAATAATAGTGGCGCCACAAGTAAGTTGAGTTTAACCCATGTCCATTCATTTTATTCATGCTGAATGCTGATGTCAAATTTTTGCAAAATTGAATCCTAAAATGTAAAAAAAATATATTCTTGCATAAAAAATGAAAAATGTGATTTTGGACCTATCCTTTATGAGCTGATCAAGGTGATTGAATGACAAGGCATATTAAGGTAAAATCGTGTGTATAGACGTTTAAAGATGTCACTGCTGCAGTTTATATTGCTTGATGTAGCTCTCTTTTAGCTATTCCTTGCTATTATGAATTTTATAGATGTTGCATGAGTGAAATCATACATAGACAGCTACATTTTGATTTCAAAATTATCTTTTCTTAAAACATTCACTGTCTTATAAATTATTGTTTTTGTACCAGGTATATACACATTTCTTAATGTTAGATCACACCAGTTCACGATTGAAAACATTAAAACACATCATATCTTCGTGTCTGCCCCTTAATTTTGAACATTGCTTGCAAAGTCATGACTCAGTTAATTGAACAATTAAAGTTTATTTGATATCTACCATTCTGCATTTACTTTATAAATTCAAGGTTATTATTTAAAGATTTAATTAAATAAAACTCAATCTTTTAAATAATTGGATATTGAATGTACAGTAAAACCTGTCTAATCCAAACGCCTCTAAGATCCAAAAAAAGTGTTTGGATAAGCAGGTGTTCACACTAATCGAGGTTTTTTCAATGAAAAATAACAAATTTGGTACAGAGAAAAAGTTTTCACATTGAGAAATTTATATCCAGGATTTTTTTGTTTTACCAAAGCAGATCCATATAGTCTAATAGTTGGATCTGAAAAGGATCTTTTATAAATAGGCGAAGCAAAATTAAATTGGTAAACCTAATTTCAATAAAGTGGGAAATATACTCTCATAAAACTTCATTTGCAGCTTCAGTTACAATATTTTCCTGGAAAACATTGAAAGGCAACTACCCCTTGACTTGCTACACCCATGCATAGGCATATATTGAATTTGAGATCTTTACTAAATATTTCTTATTAAGTATTTGTGAATTTATTTACTTTTTCAAAATGAGATGAGGAGAAATCAATTAAAAATGTAAAAATAACAAATATACTCGTCTTAATAATGTGCCAATATCTAACCAGCTGTATACCTTAAGCTGTGTATGTTCACTATGTATACTCACCTCAATCAGAACTTACAAAATTATGTAAGGCACGTAACCCAATAACACCATCTTTTTAACCTTCATTCATCTGCTTATACTTTATACATGTATAGCCTTCAGCGCCATATGTTATTGATCAATTAGAGAGCTGTTAGGAATAGCAATGGATGAATCACACTCTACAGCTACCTCAGAATCTCTCCATGTAATAACTTCCACGCTGGAGACAGTGATGCAGGACTTGAAAGAACGATGCACTTATTGCTATGTTGATACAATATGCTGTTGCCATGTTAATTATATGTAGTTCAATGACTGATGAAATTTTTATTTCTCAATTTGCCTTCTAATTGCATGACTGAAATATAGCTTTCTAAAGTAGGCGGGAATATGGAGAATATACCAGGATGATATCCATATAAGACTCCTTCACAAAATTTACCATGAGTGGATAAAAATCATATCCTGAGAAAGTCATATGAAAGCAATTTGACTTGTGAACTATTTTTTATTTCTATGCCACTTAATAGTATGCTTTTTTGATGCCTATGAACATGGTAAAGATTGGTTTGCATAACTCAATTTTGCTTTACTTCTGAATTTGCAAAAGCATTTAATTTCAACATTGACAGGTCCCTAAAAATCTGAAGTTTGACAGGTGTAGAAAGTAGCTCTTCAATTAGGAGGTATGCAGGTGTCAGTATTTTTGCAGAATTTCATTTTTTGGCATTTTCCAACTGATCTATAGATATTAATAAGGTATTAATGAACATAGTTGTGTGTTAGGAGTTTGTACATACAATGTGAAGTATCTCTAAAATTGTAACAGCACAACAATAGCCTAAAATAACAGAAAATAAAATTTTAGTATCTTGCTATCAAAACTGAATTTTTATCACACTTTTTCAAAGTGCAACATTGTCTTGTGCTGCTGGGTGTGTGTGTGTCTGTTTGCCTGAGATGGGATTGGAACTAGACATTGGTGGGTGGGTTATTCAAATTCAAATTCAAAGGAAACCACATTTGGCAGCTTGCCATTCTTCTATTTTTTTTACAAGAGCAGCGGATTAGTGCCAAGATCTGATTAGGTTTTGGTCATGCTGGATTACTTGTTGACAATTTTGCATAATTGATAAATATTTATCACTAATGTGTCTTGTCTCACAGAAATAAGTAGATATTAAACAGCTATACAAGATATGATAGCATGCTCGAATTTCTCAAAAATTGTCAATAAAGTGCAATATTATTTGGAAAACTGAAAACATATGTTAAAAACCTTTTGTATATTGTTAAAAAACTTTTGTATATTTTCAGTTATTTGTGGTTTAGCTACAAAAAAAACACATGTGTGGTCTCCTGTGTTTTTGCCTATGTTGTATTTTGATGCATTTCTGACATGTTGTTTTTGGAGGATGGTCTCAAAATTAACATCATGAATGAAACTATGAAAATTACAAGAAGTCACATCTCTACTGCATAATTATCAATCCTATCTGAAATATACAAAAGTTTGGTCTTTAAAACAGTATATACTTTTCCATAGAGTAATATGCTGTTATCTGATGATTGATTTTTAAGGCAAAACAACTAATAAACTAGTAAATCACTGTAGTAGTCTAAATTTGATTTGAATATATTTTATTATCATATCAGAGAGACTATAGATAAATGACATGGGGGTATTAAACAGCAGTAAAAATAGTAAATATAAATCATTAAATGGCATCAAGTTTAGAGACTTCTCCTTTAGGAGACAATGGGATATAGTTGATATGGTTACTTAACGTGGCATCACATGACCCCACCTAAATCAACCAACCGACGGGAACCAGGGAATTGTAAGGGTGGCGGGAGGGGAAAGGTGAGAGCAAAATGTTAAATAACCATTTGGGGATTTTTAGAGTGTTCCCAGAGATGATGATGTATAAGGGTGGCAATGGGAAATATTGAATGACTGTGTCAATGTTTAATTTTTGGATTTTCAGAGTGTTGCCAGAGATGATGATGAAGAAGAGGATGTGTTTGAGTCTGCAACCACCAATAGCTCTGGTGATTGTTCATTTGAGTCTGCGACTGATGATCCAAGCTTTAATCTTGCAGAACAGACAGTTGAGGTAAGGATTGCTCCCACTGAAGTGAGCCTAGATAGACATTTTTGGGCCTCATTTTCTTTGTAGACCTCATTTTTACCTTTTTTCTTGGAAAAAAAGGCTTCAGTTTTCCAACGTTCATGATTAGAAATATGACTCCTTTGTACCCTTCTCCTGATATTACACGTCCAACAAAGTAATAAACAGAGGTCTTGAAATTTTACCACCATTGCATTAAGTAATTGTATCCTATGCCAAGTAGAGTTTTAGGGAGATAAGTTGGTAAGATATATCCCGTATCCTGATTCTGAGGTTTCCATATCCAGAACCTCCATATCTCCCGCCATATCTCCTGCTTCGGTGCATTGTATAAGTTGTATAAGTTCCAAAACAAGGCACAGACTTGAACAATATTGTACCTAAACACAGCATTGTGGTCTTGGTGACCAAGAAAGCGAGATGGCCGCAGAAAAGTTAATCAGCTCTAGAACTTATCACTGTGTAACATATCTAAAAATTTGAACGGTTTGGCTGGAAACCTGTAGACAAGGCTCGATAGACAAGATTTTAGGACGGAAAATCTAAAATGGCAGCCTTAACATTTACCCAGAATGCCCAAAAACTAATCAGTTCTTGAGGTTGATATGTAGAAACATCCCTGAAAATTTCAGATGAATCCCTCAAATGGTTTGGCTGGAAACCTGTAGACAAGTCTTGAAAGTGAAGATTTTAGGACGGAAAATCCAAAATGGCCACCTTAAAATTTACCCAGAATGCCCAAAAACCAATTAGTTCTTGACGTTGATATGTAGAAACATCCCTGAAAATTTCAGATGAATCCCTCAAATGGTTTGGCTGTAAATCTGTAGACAAGTCTTGAAAGTGAAGATTTTAGGACAGAAAATCCAAAATGTCCACCTTAAAATTTAACCAGAATGCCCAAAAACTAATCAGTTCTTGATGTTGATATGTAGAAACATCCCTGAAAATTTCAGATGAATCCCTCAAAAGGTTTGGCTGGAAACCTGTAGACAAGTCTTGAAAGTGAAGATTTTAGGACAGAAAATCCAAAATGTCCACCTTAAAATTTAACCAGAATGCCCAAAAACTAATCAGTTCTTGACGTTGATATGTAGAAACATCCCTGAAATTTCAGATGAGTCCCTCAAATGGTTTGGCTGACAACCTGTAGACAAGTCTTGAAAGTGAAGATTTTAGGATGGAAAATCCAAAATGGCCACCTTAAAATTTACCCAGAATGCCCAAAAACTAATCAGTTCTTGACTTTGATATGTAGAAACATCCCTGAAAATTTCAGATGAATCCCTCAAATGGTTTGGCTGGAAACCTGTAGACAAGCTGAAAAGTGAGACGCCGTTAGGTACGATAAAAATAGTACCCTTGGTACTGGGCTCACATGGTATTTGTTTCTAGTTTTCTGGACAAAAAATCTCTAAAATTCACCCAAATTACCCCAAAACTATAAACAGTTGTGAAGTTTTAACTTCATAGACAAGATTTTATGACTGAAAATACAAAAATGGCTGACCATATTGTGTGCTTGCATGCCCCGAGACATCTGAATGCATGTGGTCCAAATGTTTATGATATTAATGAAGATATGCTTAATAAAAACTTGATTTTATAAAAAAGTATTTATTGTGATAAAATCTACATATGTGCTGGAAAGCATTTTACATTCTATATTATAATTCCATTTTTGATGTTTTTATTCATTCATTGTATTCTACTGTACATTACCCCTAAAAATCCAGAAAAATCATTTCCTAGACAACTTTAAAATTCCCCTCTAAACAAGAAACAATGAACAAACTAAATGGGTATTGAACTGGTATAAAAGTATGCAAGCGAAACACATTCACATATTGATTTATGTACAAGCTACCTTTCAAATTCCGTTTAAATCCATGACAAAAAATTCCATCTTTATATCTCCAGTATCTCATCATATAAAGTCATTTGTTTCATAATTATGTGCATGATTAAGAAGTATAACATCTGAAAAAATAAATGTATTTTTGGAGAACTTTGTGAGGCAGATCCCTCGCTTGTCTGCACTGTGTGAGTTCACATGATCAGAAATATGACTCCAGTGTTCCTCTTCTTCTGATATCACACGTCCAACAGTGGAATCCTCCGCCAAGTGAATTAGCGTTACGTATATCTACTGGGATAGCCTTTAGACCAAATGATTCCAACAAATCAATGGTCGTGGTTTCCGTTTTCTGGACAACAACTCTCTTAGGGTCAAGCATCAAAACGTTAGCAGACAACCACCTTGAGGATAGCCATAGAGGATGATCTACAATATAGCATAAAAAAGGTGTAAATCATCGAAAAAATTCTGCACAAAATTAAGGAGTCAATTCCAGAGAGTATTGAGCGAATTAACCCAACATTATACTAGGTACATGTTCCCTTCCATAAGAACTTTGATTTAGCTGCATAACATTGGTTTTGTGTCTCCTAATTCTTTTCTTATCTTTTTTGTCTCTATCATTATGCTAAGATTGCAGACACATTAGATGGTTCGTCTGCAAAAAAATATTTGCTCAGAACCTTACATTTTTATATGGACTGTTAACCCTATTCCCAAATTGGATAGCAATTTTATTTTTCCTCAATAGCATTTGATAAGCTTAGAAAATGACTGTTAATTTTTTTAAATCACAATAAAGGAATTTGTATTTCCAAACTTGAAAGAGAGAGTGTACCTGCTGGCATCAATGGTCTTGGTGCAGTTAGTATTGTCCACCCTGCCTTCTTAACCATCTCAACCTGGTGACAAGGTCTGTCTGGGTTCATTAGGACCAATCCAGGTCCGAGAATACAGAATGACGAGTCAATGTGCATTGCATGGGGATCCCCAAATGAAAGCTTGTGAACCTTAATACCCTTTGGTGCAAGATGGCGCCGCATCCATTCAATGCCAAAATCATTAGTTACCTTTTGAAAAAGAGTAATAATATAACCAAAAACTAGACAAACTGCCCGGGTTAAAAAGTATAAATAAAATAGAGGACGGCATAACCTTACAGAGAGGGAAAAATTATTCTGAAAAACATCCTTTGGACTTACTTGACTTCTCTGGACAAAGATATCGGTTCCTGCCCTAATGAAGTCAGCTGTATCAAACACTGGTTCAAACTCTGTTGTCAGAAACTGTTCCTTCATTGCCATTTCAAATCGGACTTTGAGCTTACCAATGGGGTAGTCCTATAAAATGAAAAATACATATGTGTGTTAAAACTACAATAAGGGTGACAGACATGGGCAGAAGGAACATTTGAGTTTTCTCAAGAATGTCAGTATTGATTCAACCTTGCCATTGACTGATATGCTAGGGCAATTTAAGAGAAAGTTTCATGATTTGAAAGATATATTCACTTAATTGATAACTAAAGCAAGGATATAGATAGGATAACAATGGCATCATATGCAGAATTAGTGCAGTGACAACAAAAACCGATGCAGATAAATAAGCAGTGTGGAACCGATAGTTATTTTAGAATTTGTGATATTTTTTGTGTCTTCACTTATATCTATATACGTGTATGAAATTGTGAGAAAGATTTAATTTAATTCATTGTTTAGTGACATAGTATATATAAGTCTGCACCTAATGTACATATCTTTAAGATTTATTTATTTTAATACATTGTTCTCTGGTATTGGTACTTACTTCATTATATAGCTCTTCAGACATCTGTGGTTTAGGGGCTGATGTCCATTTAGCACCTTTCCTAAAGTAATCCTTCATCAAAGTTCTATATGCCCTGTATTCAAAGAACCGTGACTGCCATGCCATCGGGGCCTCAATTATTTCATCTCCAACAACCATCCAGATGTCCCGGGGCATGGAAGCATACATACCTATAAAAATAGAGTACATTTTCTCAATCTTAATTGTACAACAAAAGTTTGAAAAACATAAAAACATTTATTTATTTACACTCTGATTTTAGACTATGAAGATGAAATGGTCCAATAACTTCCATATTTTTCCTCAAACATACAAGATCCAATGCTCCCCTTTCCATGTTCTCTGTTTCATTTAGTGCCAACCATTGTCATACCACTTACATTAAGAAATAATGTCATGGAAATTATGAATGAATAAACGCAGTGAAGAATATATAAGACTTAACCCGATTGATAATAACCTAAAAAATAGTCACATTATCTTTGTTATCTTTTTAAAACCACCCCTCACCATGAGATTCAAAGTCTGGCGTTTTATAAGGAACTGAATGGTCTATTATGTCAGGCCGTCTTACTGTAACACCCTCAGCTTCAAGAATTCGGCAAAATTCCGCCATTTCCGCAACTGCTTTCTTGACAACTTCCTCTGGGAAAGGTTTGCTGGCTTGGGCTTTCATAAATGTAAAAGTATCTTCATGACAATTAACCTACAAACAATATGGTGAACAGATAAATAAAGTTCATAACTGAAAATATGAAAAATCTTGAAATCAGATGTTTTCATGTTCTGATTGAAATTAAAGTTTTCGCTGGACTTTTAACTCTCTCTGGCAATCCGTCATGTTAGGAGTTATTGCAAACAGCCACCATTTTTCAAAATTTCCACCTTATTATTTAGAAAATTCATTAAAATACAGTGTGTCATATACAAGTATGCTTTTTATTAAGTTTTTTTTTTGGGGTCACTCTCATAAAGTAACTTCTGTAAAATAATTCCTAAATTGGTTATTGTAACCATAGATATAAGAACATCATAGAAAGAAAACAATAGGCTTAATCTTTCAAATGTGACTGTTAATAACTCATTGGTTGGTCATTTAATTTAAGCCCTCAAACATATTCAATTTTAATTCAATCATTTGATCTTTGAAAATTTTTTTTACACAACCTGACAAAAATGATACATTTACCAATAGATGCGGTTCGTTTATGAGCGTTGTTGTATTTTCTACTCAAATGTTAAGTATATTAACATTATATGGTATATCAAGCGTAATTTACCTGAACTGCTTTATCAAATGGTGGACAGAAAGCATTCTCTGCTCTTCCAACAATAACTTCTTCCAACGGGTCCCAGCTGTTCCATGACCACACCGGACTCTTTGTGTTTGTACCTGACATTATAATAGGTTTGATCAGTCATTGTCATACATGTATGTTTAGATTTGAAGGTGACAATATAAGTTATTGAATGATTTGAAGTGCAATACAGGATATATTCTGCTCGAGAAATTCCGTATTGCGACTGAGAATGTCCCCTCCGTACCAATATTTTCTATATTGCGACGGAGATGATCAATGCGGACATTCTCAGTAGCAATACAGATCGGTGCAGCACAAGAACTGACCAATCAGAAGGCTTCATTTTACAGATCATACGATAATAATGTAGACGAAACGATTTTTGACAAAACTTTTGTGACTCAAAATTTACTGAAGGGGTCACGGCTGCTTACAAATACCAATACGATCATCGCATCTTAGTATTACCAATTTATTAATGCCATCTTACAGTTGCTGAAGGGATCGGAAGGCAGCATTCAGTCATTTCTTGATTTACTCTTACTACTTATATTAAATATTCAAAGAGAAGCTTACCAGGGGGCAAATCAACCAGATCACACTTGCTGTTTACGGCATAGGGAAGTGTCGACTTATTAGTAGGTGTTGTGCGCCAGCTCTCCACTTCTGTAGATAAGTCACGTGACAGCACAGAGGTTACTGGTTTGGCAAGCTAAAACAAAAAGGATAATAAACAATTTAAAGAATGTTCTATCTATATGATCTACTTTCTCCAAATGAGGTTGTGAGCTGTGTTGCACCTTTACCTTTATTTTGCAAGTGGAAAGCTCCTTCAACCTCTTGACATCACCTCAGAAATGACCGTCTTGACAATATTGGCCCAAATATGGCTAAAATCACTTGAGAAGTGCTCAAAATGGTGAAAAACTGCATGATTTTGAAAGAATTTTTGGCCAGGGAGGGGGGGGGGTTCGCCCAAACCCGTTGAACCCCCTGGCTACATAATAATGTAATGTAATGTAATCATCACATTAAATTTCCAGACAAAGTTGATAAGGTTAAAGTATAAGCAGCAAGGACAGATTCGTAAATTGGCAAGGTGGGGGCACAAAATAAGTTCACCCGTTTGAAACCTAATTATCCCATCAAACAAAGTTCAGAAGGATATAGGGAATGTCTTCGTCTGTCCGTGCGTACATCTGTTTGTATGACTGTTCGTTCGTATGTATATCCGTCCGTCCGTCCGTCCAGGCAATAACTCAAATACCTTTGGCCTGAATTTATTGATATTTTGTACGCATATGCCCTATGGGGATATAAGTTTTGCTTGAAAGCCGATTTTCAAAATGGCCACTCATTTCAAAGTGGCTGCCATTTTTGTGCTGATTTTACAGTAATTTAGGTACAGTATATAAAACTGTAATAATTATAAAAAAGTTATATAGGACATTGATAAAGCTAGAAATGTAGATATTTAAGAAATACGAGTGGCACCCATCTTGAAAAATAGCAGCATTAACACGCTATTTTACAATTTTTGCTGTAACTTGAAAAGTAGTGGAGCAATTTTGTTCATATGTGGTATGTGAATACCATAAGCATGGCACAGTGTCTTATGACACTTTGGGTAGTAGGCACAAAAATGAATACAGTAAAGAATAAAATAAAAATAAAAAATAAAATTATCATTGCCGGGACTCTAACCCGCAACCTCCCGCTCACTTACCAAGTGTGCGTTGGCATGGACCTAGCAGGTGTTATGAATCAGAGCAATAATTAACATTTCAGAAATAACTCCTATATATATATATCTTTTATTGACTCTTTAGATGTCATGACCTGACATATTAGTCATTACAAAATGAAATTTCACAAAACTACACTATATACAATTTATACAAAAAACTTGTTATTTACATATATGTTATAATATACTTTAGGTGTGATGCATCCAAAATGTTAATCTCCAGGCAAGTTTAAGTTTTTGAATGATTTTGTAATAAAACTTCCAACTTGCTTTTGCACATATTTATCTTTTGAAGATATTAACATAATGAATGTATTTTCAGGATCATGTTGATCAACATTAATTTTGCTAGTGATGTTGTCAAACAATATTTTTCTATTTTCTCTATGTAAATGGCATTTAATCATGAAATGAACCTCATTTTCTATTTTCCCACAAAAGTTACATAATCTTTCATATTCAGGTTTTGGCCGTGGTTTTACATGTCTACCCAGTTCTATTTGTAATTTATGTGAACTTAATCTCAGTTGTGAAATTGATTGCCTGTGATTTTTGTTTTGAAGGCTTAAATATTGTTCTCTTTCAAAAGTTGTTTTGAATTTAATGTTTGTTCTTAAAACTGGGTATAATTGTAAATCACACTTCCATTTCTCCTTATAATTTTGGTACAATATTTTAGTTAGGTTCTTTTTAAATACATAGTCATCCTCAACAACTTGTTCATTCCAAGTGCTTTGGAGATTACAATCTTTTAAAATATTATGAACCTTACTTGACCAAGTATTTTTAAATCCTAAACTGTACATTTCATAATCATATAGATATGCTTTATAAAGGAGGTTATCTGGACAAAGTTGTATAAGCCGTATCCAATATTTAATAAGATGAATATCAAAGCACAAACTAAGTGGAAAACAACCCAGCTCTCCATAGACTGCTAGGGTTGCAGTTGATGTTTTCACACCAAGGATGCTTTTTAAAAAGGACAGGTGAATAGTTTCAAGTGACTTGATATGTTTTTTACTTGACCATATTTCTGAACCATACATCAAAATTGGTTGGACAAGTGAATCAAATAAATGTAAGGCAACGGATATGGGAATGTCATTAAACTTGTGATATTGTTGCTTTATTTTGAATAAAGCTTTTCTAGATTGTTCTTTAAGATAGCATATTTGTTTATCAAAATTATTTTTACTGTTGAAGATACACCCTAGGTATTTGTAGTCTTCTACACATGCAATCACTTCATCATTGAATTTAAAAGTTTCATCTGATTTAGAGTTAAAAATAATAGCCTTTGTTTTAACTGTGTTGACAACAAGATGATAGTTTCTGCAAAAATCGAAGAGAGAGTCTAGCATAGATTGCGCCCCAGATTTAGAGCTAGCCATTAATACTAAGTCATCAGCCCAAAGTAGATGGTTTAAAGAAACACCTTCAAACTCGATACCATGTTCTGAGGGAAGAAAATCTTTCAAGTCATCTAAAAAATGGTTGAAAAGATATGTACTGAGAACAGAGCCCTGCATAACTCCAATTCCAGTATTGTATATTGGAGTAATGCCATCTTTAAGTTTGAGACATGATTTCGATTTTTTATACATGCTATCAATAATTTTAAACATTTTTGAACTTGGATGTATCCCTGATTTACATAATTTATAAAGAAGTGCTGTCCTGTTGACATAATCAAACGCTTTCCTAAAATCGACCATTATACAATATAGAGGCTTTTTCTGCCTCTTAAAATGTGAAATAATAGTATTTAAAATGAACAAATTATCTGTTGTACAGTGACCAGATTTGTAAGCACCTTGTAACGGGTCTTGAATATTGAGCATTTCTGCGTTGAACACTAATCTTGTTTGAATGATTGTATCAAAATCATTTCCTAAACAAGCAAGTACATTAATTCCTCTGTAATTATCTGGATTGAAACGTGATCCTTGTTTGTAAAGAGTGGAGAGCATACCGATACTCCATTCTTCAGGGTAATCTCCTTTATCAAAAATAAAATTAAAAAGTGCAGTAAAATCCAATGATAGAGCTTTACAATTTTTGATAATATTAGATGGTAAACCATCAATACCTGGCGATTTATTAGCATTAATTCTATTTAAGGCATTTAGAACCTCTTTTTCATGTATGACATTGTTAAGTAAATGATCACTAATTTGTAATGAATCTGTTTATGAATTATGCATGTTATATTCCAATATAAAGATTTGCATTTTCTCTAAAGTTTCATAATCAAAAGAGTCATAATTTAGGTGCTTTTTTAAAAGTATCAAAAAGTACAGAGGTTGAAATTGGTATATCTCTGCTTTCATTTTTACCAGGGATAGAATGTACCATTTTCCAAAATTCTGTGGGATTATGAGATTTAAAGTTTAATAATGATTTCAATAAGTCAGTTTGATATGCTCGTTTTTCAACTTGGCTAAATGGTTTGAAAATGATATTACAGATATTATTAGAATACATGACTCAGTGAAATCTTTAATCTAAATCTGGAAATAATACTGTTTCATTAAGTTTTAATTCTGCAGGTTAACATCCATCTTAGATTCTTGTCCCACAAGAACTTTTACGCGAACAGGACTTGAGTTGCGTAAACTAAATGCGCAATCGATGTTGAAGTTCTACTTTAAAAGATTACACATTTGACATTGAAGAACCTTGAATAATTACAAAGAGGAAAATATAGATTTAAGTTTTACCTTTTTAATATTTGCGCTTTGGCGCAAAAGTATACTGCTGAGTCTCCTAAGATGCATTATTCTCTTGCACGTGATGATGCTCTGGATGTGTGATAATAGCTGTTAACTTTAAGTAATGTCCAGGCGGAAGAGAAATTGTGACTTGATCAAAAGTCCAAAGTTTAAGTTTTTTAGATAAATCAGTATGGGATTGGTGGAAACAAAACATTATGTCATCTCTAAAACCTCTTATCTATAAATGATAAGTTCGAATCAATTATTCACATATCCAGAAGTCCAAAAACAAGTTCTTATGTCTGCAAACTGAAACCAATTGAACTTTGATAAGCTTACATAATAAGCTTCTGAAATTTCTAGTAGTGTTATACTTCTAGAAGCAAAATATATCTGTATTGATTTATATCTAAATTTTTCAAGATCAAATTTTGCCTTGCTTCAAATAAAATAAATCTTTTTCAAACATCATGTACACATTACTAGGAGTTCATATTTGACCTCACCTAACTTAGGAGTTCATATACTGCGGTGTACGGATTCAGGATGAGATGATCAATCACTTTTTGTGGGCAGACGATTTGAAACTAATCTCAACCACTGCCGAGGGTCTTCAAAGACAACTCGATGCTTTATTTAATTTCTGCAAAAGTTATAGAATGATAGTTAATACAATAAAAACAAAAGTTCTCTTGTATAATACAAAGAAAACAGATACTTTCTTTCACTTCAATGGCCAAAAAATAGAATGTGTTACTGAATATAAATATCTTGGGTGTATCCAAACTACCGATAATAAATCTGACAAAAATATTAAACATCTAATTGGTAAATCAAGAAAGGCAATTTTTTAAATAAAAAGCCAATATAAGAAATTTGGTGATGTACCAGTCAATGTAGCTTTACATCTTTTTGACACCCTAGTAACACCCATTCTTACATATGGGTGTGAGATATGGCAAACAGAAAAACATAAATGATCTTGAAATGGTGCACTTGAGATTTATTAAATCAATTCTCGGAGTAAATAGACAAACTGCCAGTCCAGCAATTTATGGAGACTTAGGCCGTTTTCCAATTTCTGTAAAATTTGAGACTGCATTAATAAAATACTGGATAAGAATCCTCCAACTCCCCCCAACAAATATACTCCATAAAGCATATTCCTATGAAAAGGAAATGCACGAATTAGGTTTTCAAACTTGGGCTACAAAAGTTTATGATATTTTATGTAAAACTAATATGACAAAACACTGGGAGGATCAAGATAATTTAGAAAATAAAGAAATGGTACCATTCAATGTTGAAAAAACCTTGAGGAGTAACTTTGTTGATAAATGGAAAACTGATATTAATCACAACTTCCCTATACTTCGCACATATAACACCTTTAAGAATGACTTTTCTTTGGATACTTATACTAAACTTGATAATAGAAAATATAGACAATCAATAGCCAGGTTTAGACTAAGCTCACACAAACTTCGAATTGAAACAGGCCGCTATTCTAAACCTAAACCTATTCCAATAAATGATAGACTTTGCCTAACTTGTAAATCTGTAGAAGATGAAAAACATTTTTTTTATTAATTGTAAAAAACATGATGCACAAAGGAGTGTCCTTCTAGAAAAAATGAAAGAAATATTTGGACCCGATTTTCTAATCAATGAAACAAATTTTAAAATGCTACTGTCTTCGCAAAATATTACTGTTCAAAGGCATATTGGCAAATATGTTTACCATTCTTTCCAAAATTTAGAGTAGACTACAATTACTGTGCTACACTGCTGATATCTTCTTTTTTATCTTTTATGCATCAAGTTTTATAGAAAGCCTGTAGCCTCATACTAATGATTATATGTTACATGTATAAAGTTTAGTTTGAAATATAGTCTAGGGTTTAGTTAATAGTGTAGTATTGTCTTGTGTCAAGACAGCCTAGTTTGTACATAGACTAATGTGTCATGTTTTGATACAAAATGTCAATAAAAGAAAATATATTTGACCTCACCTAACTTAGGAGTTCATATTTAACCTCATCTAATTTAGGAGGTTGTATTTGACCTCACCTTACTTAGGAGTTCATATTTGACCTTACCTAACTTAGGAGTTCATATTTGACCTCACCTAACTTAGGAGTTCATATTTGACCTTACCTAACTTAGCAGTTCATATTTGACCTCACCTAACTTAAGAGTTCATATTTGACCTTACCTAACTTAGTAATTTTAGTAACTCACTAAGTTACTTACTTTTAACTAATTAACTCAGTAACAATCTTAGTAACCAACTAATTTATGAGCATACTTACTTGCTTGCTTACTTACTTGCTTATTTACTTACTAAAAAGCCTTTGAGTCTCTGTAGGATTGCTTACAATCTCAATGTCTAGTTATTTCTTATTCGGTAAAAAAACACCCACAGCTTCAAAATTGTATAGGTCCTTTAAATGGCAAAATGGCCTTTAATAATTAAAAAAGTGAAAAATAGAAACAAAACATAAAAATGAATGAAACTGAATCTGATCTGAAATAACATTGAAGAACCCTTACAAGTTAAAAGATGTCACATTTGACATTGAAAAACCTTGAATAATTAAAACGAGGAAAATATAGATTTAAGTTTTACCTTTTTAATATTTGCAATTTGGCGCAACAATATACTGCTGAGCCTCCTAAGATGCATTTTTCTTTTGTGTGTGATGATGCTCTGGATGTTTGATAATAGCTGTTAACTTTGACAGACGGAAGAGAAATGGCATGGCCAAAAGTCCAAAGTATAATTTTTTTAAATAGATTATCATGGGATTGGTAGAAACATAAGGTCATCTCTAAAACCACTTATCTATTAATGATAAGTTGGTCACTGAATAATTGACATATTTAAAAGTTTTAGAACAAGCTCATACCTTTGTATGTCATCTTTAAACTAAAAATTAAATCCTAAAACGCTTCTTGAGGTCATATGTAATACCTTAGCTATACTCCAGTTTTCTTATAAACATTGGTGATGCATTGCTACATCTTTAACATATACATAAAAACATAACTTTACACATTTAGTAAGCTCTATTAAAACATTGATATCTCAGGAAAAACATCTGACATCTGACAATACTGACATCTGTTTTAACATAACAGACATTGTCTCTTTTTGGAGCACCCAGAGCTAAAAAATGGCAGAGGTCCTTTAAATGGTGAAATGGATTTGAATGCTCAAAAATTGAAAAATAAAAGCAAAATATGAGAATGAAAGTAAAAGAAACCTGAGCTAAAATGACATTGAAGAATTAACTACAAGTTACAGTTAAAAAAGGTATAGATTTTTAAAAAGTTTGATTCTGGATCATACACAACACAAACTGATGTCAAAGATCAAATATGACAAATGACCACCATTATATTAGTCACTGTGACATGAGCTAAAGAACAAGTGCATTATAGAAATAATTTGTCAAGTTATCATGCCTGTTTGGGAACTAGTATTTGCACTGAGAAAACTGTTACATTTGTCATTTTTTATATTGGGATTCATATTAGGATTCAAATTGACATTCAAACAGAAGTTATGAATCCCAATATAAGATCATATTTGTATTGGTATTGAGGTTCAAGCTAAAATTTTGCTGGTGAGTTTGAATCCTAATCCCAATACCTATTTGCAGCCAACTTTACCCACTTTGGATTGTAAACTGTAGAGTTATTAGAGTTCAGGTAATAATAGAAATTAAAAGGGTTAAAGGAATATTCCTTGCCAGACCCTTTCTCTCTTGATATGGTAGCTATAATCATTTAGTTTCCATATTTAGCGAAACATGGGAAAATGTTTTAATATGGTCAATATTGATCATTTAAAAATCTAGTGCTTATTTCCAGTGAGCTGCCATCTTTTAAGATTTCTTGCAGGAAGTGATGTCATCAACTCTCAACTTCTATAACCTTGCCCATAACAGTATAGGAAAGTAGCACAAAATCACTTCTAGACAAGTGATCATTACTTTCTGTGCAAAAATATTTTCAGGGCTTGTCAACTTAGAATAAAAGAAGAGATTTTCAGAAGGATTAAATAAGATACAAAGTTGAAAAAGAATATTTAGCTGGTTTTGTAATTCTTAATAGCTCCTCACCTAATGCTATATGCAAAGTTGAGAGTCGATGACATCACTTCCTGTGTGAAATTTTAAAAGATGGCAGCTTACTGGAATTGAGCATCACATCTCTAAGTGATCAAAAGTTTGACCATATCAAAACATTTTTGCGTGTTTTGCTAAACATGGCAAGCATATATATGGTTATAGCTACCATATGAGGAGAGAGATGGTTTGGCAAGGAATATTCCTTTAACATTAAGAAGCTATTTAAAATGCATTTCCCTCCCTTTCCGATCAGTCCACTCAAAGCATCACGATTCAAATTGTCCAAAGTTGCAAACCCATATATTGAATTCTTAACTAGCTATTATTATCAAGCTGCATTGTATTGAGATACTTTTGGGGGAAATTCTCAGATATTTCAAATAAGTTTAACAGTTTCCTGGTGTGGCTTCATGACTGTTATTCAATCCCAGATCTGAAGTGATTGTAAGCCTGGTGTTTATTAAAGATAATCTACCAGAATTACATCATTTTGATATTTTTATATTACATCCTGGTAGAGTTCATAGAGAGGGATATAAGAGAGAGCTTTCATATTTTTTATTTTTTTGTAGTCTTATACTTATCTTTAAAGATTTAGATTTAGTTTTTTTCTGATTCGATTTCTTGAGGCTATTCTTGATATATCAAAGATTGGCACCTTGACTTGTCTTATTTCAGTATTAAAACAATAAGGGATCAGTATAAAAAGACAGTCACTTAAATAAGTAAACAGTATCATATAATTAATATCATATAATATTGTCTATTTCTAGGACCAGGTGAAAGTATCTCTATGGCAACATCTTGACAGTTTCATAGCAACACTCTATGACAACAACAATGACATACACAATCTCCTAATTGCTGAGATACAGAAATCCTGGAAAAATAGTCAAGCTGCACCTGTTGAAGATAACCCTAAAGAGACTGACTCAAGTTCTACAATTGATGAATATGTGTGCAACTTTGTTCTACCTGCTCTGAGGTTATTGCAGGACATTAAGACACAGGTAGGTGCAGATACTAACATTTTGGGCAAAATCCCGTTACTCTACGTCTTTTTGTGGCAGCAGTGAATCCCTATGGTGAAGAGTGTCACTACTATTTCCAGGTAGTTTTCAAATGCTGATGTAACGGAGGTCTGCCTTTATTTAATTTCTTAATTGGTGTGCATAAACATCGCTACCTGTTGATACCTGTGTAGTATAACCATGGCAATCTACAAATGGGGGGGGGGGGCACATTCCAAATCATGAAAAAAATTTCCGCTGAAACAGTTTATGGGCCCTTAAAGCCAAGTTATGCCCAAAAAGGCCCATTTTTTGAGGCCTTACAAAATTTTTGGCTATAAATTTTTGGGGCCCTAAATTATTTTTTCTGGGCCCACCCTAGGGAGGGGGGTGCCTGGATCCGCCAGTGATTTCTTTGATCACACCATGTCATCATGATGGCGGCGTGATTGATATCATGATTGTGATTGGCATCCTGCTTTTTGTCATCACAATTCAAAGAAAAGTGCTCGTCAGATTTCCAGATGTTGGAGGGTACAAAGTTCTTGTATCATGTATTCTGGTAGCCATTGTATAAGTTTTTTAGATAAATCTTGTCATTGACATTTCAGGAAAACCATGTGATGGTTTCTTCAAATTCATTTAGTTCTACAGTTTATGAACTTTTTTCTTCGTGGTATGATTTCATTTACACCATGCTGTACATTGTATGTTTACATTGTTGAAATGAACATAATAAATGTATAAGTATTGGGAATTTGATATGTAACAATTTTTACACAATTGTAACATTTAATGTAAAGTTTTAAGAGTCAGATAAAAATAAGGTAATAGAGGTTATTACATTTGAGATAGATCCGTATTAGTTACTGTGAGTCCTCCCCCACTTCACAACTCCCCACTACACACCTCCCCACTATACACATCCCTACTACACACCAACCCCACTATACACCTCCCCACTATACACCTCCCCACTATACACATCCCCACTACACACCTCCCCACTACACACCTCCCCACAAGTGATGTGTGAAGTAGATAAAGGACAGGGGTCCATAGTCTTAAAGCAAGACTATATAAAACATTCCTCAACGTTTTAAACTCATTGTCCTTATATGGAAAATTACTGCATTTTCGGGTTGAAAGTTGATATTCTCTACAGCATAATCATCTATAATTCTGAACATTATTCAATGCAGGAAGCAACTTCAAAGCTAGAAATATAATTTTTTAGATTTATCTATTGAAAGATCAAAGGGTCCACAATATGCTATGTTACATTTATGAGGGTAATTAAAAAAACTTGTTTGAAAGCATGATAAAATGACACTCACTAAACTTAAAACATTTGATGATTAATTAATTACATTTTACCTTTTAATTTAATTTGTCGAAAATGTGTTTAAGATTTTGAAACCTGTTACGTTATGAGTCACCTGTTTGAACAGATGCATGGTCATTTTCAGAATTCTACTCAAGACTCGGATATATTAACAGGAATGAATTTTTTTTAGTCTATGGTTTTAGCTCACATTGTGAGAGCCATCATAGAATTGTGCATTATAACATATAAGGAATTGAGTTATAAATCTTGTTGAAGCACTGCTACTGTTCAAGTGTAATATCCTGGCCATAATAACCCTACTCTGGGCTATGTATTTTTTTTTATTAATCATTTTTTATTTCAAGTTCATTTATTATAACATTTAATATCATACAATGAAAATTCAACAAGGTTAATCGATTTAACGTTTATGTATTATAGTATCCATTTGTATTTCTGATACTTAATTAGAAGATCTTTCTTTGGAATAATAGCATATATCAAGGACATTAAAATAAATCAATAAATCTGTTATCAAGAATTTCATGAAATTACCACAAGATACCAGTATAGTATCTTGTCATGAGCTAATATTTAGTTTCCTAAAGTTCAGAAAGTTTCAGGTAACAGAGAGTCTTTATTTAGATAAGGCACAGTTTTTGTTAAACGTTATCTTGAGTGTATAGCCCTGAATTCACTGATTGGAAGTGGTTTGGATCAAAGGTTGAGGAAACGTTATAAAACAGATCTGGTGCAATGTGCTGCTTGACATTTGTAATTCTTAAGATTTTTCAATATTTAGAAAATAATAATTTCAACTAATTTATGCCCATTTCATAATTGTGAGAACAAAATATTATGTAGGAAATTAGAACAGATACTAGATTTAGTACAAAGATCACATTAGGTTTGAGACATGCTTGACATTTTTCAATGTAGGCATTTTGAATTTCAGGTGCAATATTTATCACTCTGTGTCTTGTTATCAAAGATTGTAGAAGGGAAACAATTAGATGTGCTGGTCATTGAAACGTTATAAAACAGAGCTGGTGCAATGTGCTGCTTGACATTTGTGATTCTTAAGATTTTTCAATATTTAGAAAATAATAATTTCAACTAATTTATGCCCATTTCATAATTGTGAGAACAAAATATTATGTAGGAAATTAGAACAGATACTAGATTTAGTACAAAGATCACATTAGGTTTGAGACATGCTTGACATTTTTCAATGTAGGCATTTTGAATTTCAGGTGCAATATTTATCACTCTGTGTCTTGTTATGAAAGATGGTAGAAGGGAAACAATTATATGTGCTGGTCATTGATTTTAGTCCTGATTATAGGTTATTGATTTGCATATACATGTACCACTGTTGCGCCATCTATGTATTGTTTCTCAGTTTGAAAGAACAGCTTTAATGGCTCTATTTTCTATGAGTTGTTTGTTTGTTGATTGTTTATTTGTTTGGATATATTTTTGAATGTTGTCTAGTGACATGTCAGTACAATTTAATGTAAATTCCATTGTAAGGCAGAAAGTCTGTCTCAGTAAGAATGAACCAAGCAGTATAGCTTTCCTTCAGGTAATTTATGGTGTTGAACATGTTTATTGCATATGTAAGTGGTTTATGTATGTAATCATTTCATTTTGTGAGTGTTTCTATGTAATCATTCTTCTGAGTTGGTTGGCTGTTTGAAGTCTCAGTAAGACAATGGGAGGTCTTCTATTGTAAGAATGTAAAATTGTGTCATTGATGTTCCCTCAACAAAAAAATGGGAGGTCAGTGGTGGATATTTAGGTTGGTCTCTCTTTGAGGCCCCAAAAAATTTGAGGGTAAAAAATCTGCTCCTCCCTGCTTAAACTGTGCAATTTTGCTAACAAACAGGCGTTATTGGGCATTATCTTTTAATTTTGGGCCAATTTAGGGCCTAAGCTTTATTTATGCTGAAATTTTGGGCTTTCCTCTTGGTTTTCAGATCTGCCTCTTGAGGTCTTCTATTATCGTCTAGTACATCACTTTAATCCTATAACACTGTTCAGTAACAGTGCAATTTTGTATGACTGATAAGTAAATCCTGTTGCATGTGATATCACATGAAACACATGTTAAAACAAAATCAATAATTATATTCATTAACACTTACTTCCGTACATATGTGAATATATACTTGAATTGTATGATTAAGGCAGTTGGGCATGATGAGAATTTCGATATAATTTTTATGATTCTAATAACCATCAATCAGTGAAATGGTTGATATTTTTCACATTTTTATTACATATTATGGTGAGATACATTGTTCAAAATCAAAGTATTTTAATCAAATGAAACATTTTACAGAATTACTCATATTATTTCTGAGAGTAGGGAACTACCTTAACAGGATGTGGAATAATCTCATATATAGTTATAGTAACACATGTTTTACCATGTGATTGCGAATTCTTTGAATAAGAATGAAAATGTTACTATTGGGTTCACATTTCATATATGTCATCAAATCACACATTCAAGTTTCTGTCCTTATTATATCTCGATGGTCTCATGATATCTATTTAGGTGCAGACTATCACTTTTATCAAAATAAGCACTATAAGTGATAAAAATGATAACAGCAATAAAAACACTTGACAAAATTTTATGAGGTTAAATCTCTCAAAGTGCAAAACCAATGTAAGGCCTTCTGTAAGGCCATTCATGAATACTATAGATGACTTCTATGATATGTCCCCTTGTCTATTAATATTTTGACACTTCCCCTCAACTACCAGAACTTCATTTTCAATTTATCAATTTATTTTAGAGTTCAATACTACTTCAAAAGTTATCATAAAGGCCCATAAATTCAGAAGGTCAATATAGAGTTGTAACATGAAATGTATAATGATTAGTAATCTATTAACGATAACATGTACATTTTCTGTACAGTACATATTTGCCCTGCCAAGAAAATCAAGAGTTTTATATTTTTCTGTAAAATTTATAGGAAACAGATTTTTTCTTACATTTCTGTAAAATTTGTAACTTTAGTTTCATTAAGTTCATGATACATTTTACTGTTTTAGAATTTGTGAGTTCAACATATCTGAAAGGTCATGATGAACATTGAATGACATTTTATATTTATGGCAATAGCTATCTGTGAACATAACACAGGCGGCAATATAACAATTGGAAGCTGATAAACCAGACATCGGTCTATTATGTTAACATTACTTTAGACCTGCTGCATATATGAAAGTTAAAAAGTTACAGAAGGCCAAATTTGATCTCTGAAGTTGTTTTGTTATATGGTCACTTTGTTATAGATCTGAATAACAGTTTTAGAGATATTCTGGAGTATATGACAAATAAGGAGCATTCAACTATAATTTGTGATACATGTATATCCATTTTAGACTCAAAAGTTAGAGAACTCATCATAGTAGAACTGAATAAAAAGCCTACTTAACAAGAATATGTTTATCATAGATAAATATCCAAGGATCAACAGGTATATTCTGTGCTATAGAAAGGATTAAATTTCTAAAGTTGAATATATTCATTTTATGGATGCTGGACTCAAAGAATAGTATCATCCATTTGTGATTTCCTGAGATAAATATGAGGGAGATCTGAGAAATAGACACAGTAAGTACTAGAATATTATTATAATAATTAATTGTTTGT